CCCGATGAACTTTCTTGCGTTCGTTTTCTTGGGAAAAATGCAGCATGCTTTTTATCTTTTAATTATACACAATTCTCACCTGAATCGTCGACCACGTGCGATGGGATGGCGTCAAAGGATAATATTCCCAATTTCAAGGAGTAGCCTAATTCTAGTAGGTAGACTGGAGAACCTGCTCTAAATGACGTCAGGCTGGTTCTTACGTCACTACGCTATTCTGACGTAGGAGCAAGTCTGACGTAGGAGCGAGTCTGACGTATTAGAGCAGGTTATCCAGTCTATTCTAGTAGGATCAATCTGGATTATCAAGTCTCTAAATATCATTCAAATTTAATATAGTCTAAAATCACGATCTGGGCTGCATAGTATTCGGATGATTTCAAGTGTGAAAACTGCATGTATTCAAGAATCACATAATCATTTTAAAACAATAACCTCTACCTCAGACGTAGTAGACTCAATCTGGATTATCAAGTCTCTAAATATCATTCAAATTTAATATAGTCTAAAATCACGATCTGGGCTGCATAGTATTCGGATGATTTCAAGTGTGAAAACTGCATGTATTCAAGAATCACATAATCATTTTAAAACAATAACCTCTACCTCAGACGTAGTAGACTCAATCCGGATTATCAAGTCTCTAAATATCATTCAAATTTAATATAGTCTAAAATCACGATCTGGACTGCATGGTATTCGAGGGATTTCAAGTGTGAGAACTGCATGTATTCAAGAATGACATTATCATTGAACAATAACTGGTACCCTAGAGTTAGAGAAGAACCCGATTATAGCAAATATATAACAGCCATGACACGAGAAGCAAACAAAAATAGGCAATATTCGTGAATATATATTAATAGATCATATATCTTTGTTAAATATATCAACATATATTATTTACAAATATGTTTGTTTCTAAATTTTGGATTTTTTATTAGCTAGATCGTGGGATTGGATTAAGCGGTGGCTGAGTGGGTAAGGTACTAGCGCGCTGATCTATCCATGTTTTAATCCTCGCTAAAACATATATTATACAAGAGGTAAAACTGCCTATTTAAACAGCTTGAATGTCAAATATTCGCTAGCGAGTTAAAGATGCATTATGGTGCAGCTAAATCTGTCTATTGCAGGTCTGTTTTATTTCATTTCATTTTGCGGATTGAACAAACTGTATATTTAATTTTTACCATTTACAGTAGCTTATCTGACAGAAAAATGTGGATGTAGACCAATTTTGATACGGATACCTTTACGAAAATCTTATCTTTATCGTGTAAGCAAGCTTTTTCGGACATGTAATATATCTCTGGAAAATATTCGAACTTTAATATAAGATGAAATGGGGTTTAACGTCCAACTGTTCGGCTCCGACTGGGCTAATGAAGACGGGCATACGCCATACAATGTGCTATGGGGGACTTTTTGCCCGGGCAGCGGCACTATAGCCTACTTTTATATCGAATTCCAACTGCCAAGGCATCTTTTACGTGCATGTCAATGTATTCACAGGACCTCGGTTTTTCGTCCCATCCGAACGATTAAATTTTTGCCTGGAAAGCGGCACTATGGCCTAGACTTATATCGAAATCTAGAGCCAAGGGATCTTTTACTTGTACGCCAATGTATGCATAGGACCTCGGGTTTTAGTTCTTGTCCAGCCTCCGTCCTGCACCACTGACAAGGGGAAACCACGCCGGAAAATCCCGATGACCTTTCTCTGCGAAGGGCAGGATCGAACACGTAACCTCCAGTCTAGCGAGCTAGCGTCTAACCCACATGGCCACCTTGACTCGCCGACCTTTAATATGACATCATTCAAGTTAAAATATATCTTTATTACACTTGTAGAGTATCATAGCTTATACGAACTAGGTCATTGCAATATTGCACGCCGTAAGTACACCTCCTAGATGATAGAAACTAGGTCATTGTAGGCTGTCAACCCATATTAAATTAACTGTGTGTTTAAAGATACATTATGTAAATGAAATGAAATGGGGTTTAACGTCCTACTGTTCTGCTCCGAACTGGGCTAACAAAGACAGGCATACGCCATACAGTGTGCTATGGGGGAAATTTTGCCCGGGCAGCGGCACTATCGCCTACTCTTATATCGAATTCCAACTGCCAACGGATCTTTTACGTGCATTCCAATGTGTACACGGGACCTCGGTTTTTCGTCTCATCCACATTATGTAAGATTTTGATACAGAGCTGGTCGTTCTTCCTATAACATTATTACTGTATTTAAAGATACATTATGTACGATTTAAATAAAGAGCTAGCCATTCTTGCTATAATAGTTGGAACATAGATAATGTAAAATTAATAATTCATTCAAATTACTCTATTTCGAGCGAAGATATTAGCCTTTGAAGGTTGCAATAATTGCAAACACCGTACTAGTTGTTAGAAACTGAACCGTCTCTAATGTATTTTATATCGGAGACATCCGATGCCATCGAGACTTGATTATGGCCTGGATCAGTTAATGAATGTCTAATTAATAATTTAGAAAACATTTCAGGCCTAAAGAAAGACCGACAATAGGCAGATTTAGCTCTTGCATAATGTATGTTTAACAATAGTATTATCAGTGGGTGGTCCAGATAAATGTCTTTTTATTGCAAGAAAATTATGGATAAACATTTTGGCCACTGAAATGAAACGAAATGGGGTTTAACGTTCTATTTTTCGGCACTGACTGGGTTATCATTGAGTCAACTGGCGGGGTTTCGATTCCCCGGTTGTACGTGACAAGGAGTAGGGTCGCCTGTCCAACCTCGCGGGTTTTCTCCGGGTCCTCCGGTTTCCTCCCACTGCTAAAGACCCCTACGCGCAAGCGAATGATTGAAATAAAATTGAACCATGTGTTAGTCCTGAAATGACCTAGTTTGTGTCGAGTGGACGTTAAACTCTCTCTCTCTCTCTCTCTCTCTCTCTCTCTCGGGACAATTTTGGTTTATTCTTATTTCCTATTCTAACTTTTAATGGTTCTTTTACGTGAACTCCAATGTTGAAACGGAACCAAAGTTTTTCGTCCCATCTGAACGGATATACGATGCCCCTTTTCTTTTACATGCTCGCCAGTGTGTACGCGGACGCTCGGGCTTTTCGTCCCATCCGAATGACTAAACACCGGACTCGTGACGCCCTCTGCAAACATCGGGAGCGAGCCCGAGACGCCCTGATTAGGGAGCTAGCGTCTCTCGGCGCTATTGAACTTTGGCACCGGCACCAGTTTCCGTAGTTGTAGACGATGTTAAGGGGGACTAACCATGATCTCACACCAAATGTCAGCCGAATCGATCAGTAACGTTTTATTTTACCGACCTTTTAGCTTCAAAAGAGAGATAAGTTTATCCGTTCGACGCCATTTTCATTGTTGACTATTTGGACTCGAATAACAAGACACTAAGACGGATTCCGACACACTGCGCTTTCTGCCTAACGCTGCAATTTGTAATAATAATAATAATTTTCGTATATTTTAATTTTTGCGTTGACCAGTTGGTTTGAACGTGGTTTCCCCTTGTCAGTGGTGCAGGAAGGGGCCTGACAAGGACAGCTGTCTAGTTGTTCCCATGGCACGATAAACCGAGGTCCCGTTTATACATTGGCGACGACGCGTAAACGATCCCTTGGCAGTTAGAATTCGATATAAGAGCAGACCATAGTGCCACTTGCGGAGCAAGATTTCCCTCATGGCACACTGTATGACGTATGCCGTCTTTATTAGCCCAGTCATAGCAGAACAGTCGGACGTTAAACCCCATTTCATTTCATTTTCATTTCTTACTCACTGAGCCACCGCTACTGCCAGGCCAAACATGTAATAAAGTCGATGGGTGTGATGCATATGTATTATCGTTCTTATTATTGTTAAATGTGTTGACGGTCTAAGTCATGACTCGTGACGCCAACTGACAGACAGCCGCAGTAGTTAGGGGCCTGTATAGGAACGTACTGACCTTGACCTTTGGCCGCCTTACCTTGCACTGAATGACCCCTGTGACTTAGTTCGTCATGACCTTGCACTGAGTGACCCCTGTGACCTGGGGATGACCTTGCACTGAGTGACCTCTGACCTATTTCGTCGTGACCTTGTACTGGATGACCCCGTGACCTAGTTGGGGGCGAGAAAGAGGGGGGCGCGCGCACGGGAAAGAAGTAGGAAAGACAAAAAGAAGAAGAAGAAGAAGGGACAAGAGGACCAAAGGAAGGGGAAACAACTCTTTTTGCAAGATCGCGACGAACTAGGTCGCAGGGGTCACCCGGTGCAAGGTCATCCCAGGTCACAGGGTCATGACGAACTAGGTCATAGGGCTCATTCGGTGCAGGGTCCTGGAGCCAAGGCCAAGGTCAAGGTCGCGAGGTCAAAGTTTAAGATCAGTGCGTTCCTATACAGGCCCCATAACTACTACCGCCATTCAGGGTGGGTTTTTTATATTTAATTTCAGAACGGACCAACTCCAGCAAGACGAGCCAGGGTGGTTGTATTCAGAGGTGACAAGACACCGCCAGTAGTTGAAGAATATATTGTCCAGCCTTTACCAAACCCAACCAGACACGAATTATTCGAGCTTCGTACCAGGCCTAACCCAATTCCTTTTGCCTACAGACCTATTGATCTGGTAGAATTTCTAGAAATCACTAGCGCTCTAGCGATTGCTTTACAAGAAGACATTGGTGACATCCTAAAAGAAAGCTATGATGCAGGGTTCGTTGACTGTGGTGATAAATGTTTAACATTTTACCCCCATCCAATGTCGTCTGCAATCGTTGGAGCTGATACTAGAAAGATGTGGTTTGAAGCTAACCATAACGTACCTTACTACGGTCTACATCCAACTGGTTTTAGGTACTTGGCACAAGTTGAAGGATCTCAATTTTTAATTGAAAAGGTTATATATGGTGGAGAATCTTTTAATGCCGTACAAGACAGCTTACGCAACCGGCAGTTACAAAAACCAAATTGAAGTTTCCAAAAGTAGACAAAAATCTATTTTCAACGCTTGATTACAGAGGCGATGCCAAACCTTCTAAAAGGGCACCTCAATTAGTTGAACCGGATGGAAAACGTTACACTCTGAACCACAGACAAGTAAAATACATGGACTGGCAATTTGACTTCAGAATGTCTGCGTTAACAGGACCCCAGCTCTACAATATCATGTATGGGAAAGATAGTATAGCATACGAAGTGGGATTACAGGAAATAGCTGTCTTTATTCTGGTGCTAATCCAGCAGCTCGATTTACTGACTACGTAGACAGTGGTGTACTTTTAGGGATGGGTGCCAAGAGTTTGATACCAGGCGGGGACTGTCCTGAAACTGCTACCTTCATCCCAGCAACCTTTTTTTATTGAGCTAACAGAAGAACCCCAAACTAACCAAAGAGCATTTTGTTTGTTTGAACAAAACACGGGGGTGCCATTAAGGCGCCATTTGTCTTTTGCTATACCTGAAGGTGGTTTCTATGGAGGGGTAATGGACAATGTGCTGATATTGAGGACAATCCTCACAGTGGTAAATTATGACTACATATTTGATTTTATCTTCCATCAGAACGGTGCCATGGAAGTGAAAGCAGTGTCCACTGGTTACATTTATACCACTTTCTACAACCAAGCTGGGGATAAATATGGTTTTCGTTTCAAAATATTGTTGTGAATATCTTCACTTTGTCGATGAAAATAATCGGATAATTTGAGGATTTCGCCCTCAGTTTCTGTTATTTCAAATTTGATTCTTTTTATTTTGCAATCAATTTCAATTGCCCTTTTTTGGTCTTCTGTTATGTTATTCATAGAATACAATGGTGATGACATGTCACAAACTTCTTTGAAGTCAAATTCTTCATTCGTCACCATACTCAGTTTTACCATTTTTTTCTTTATAGAAGCTGTATTTTTCGACAAATTTTGACAAATTCTTTTCCATATGTGTTGTCCATCTGAAGAAGAAAAAACAACAAATCACCATTTATGAGTCAATTTACCCGTTTTACATGCTACAAATATTTTTTTTAATGCTTTTTTGTGTCGATATGGCAGTGCATGGGAAAACTTGTCATTTCAAATAGCAGTATGAGAAACTTAGTCAACAGTCAGGGATTGACAAAATCAGTGTTTTGACTTAGTGCCAAAACTTGAATCTGAATATTCGGTTTCAAGAAGTATTTGTCAGTTAAATTTTATATTGGGTTTTTAAAAATGCTTCAATGTGAGGCCATCAAATTGTTAGGAATCGATAGGCAGGTCCTAGGGACTTCGTACAAATCTCAAACAAATTTTCAATTGAGACTGAAGCCAGGTTCTTCAATTGAGAATTTGTTTGAGATTTCTACGACCTCCCTATCGACAATAATTGATGACGTCACATTTAAGGATTTTATTGCTCGGTAGAAATCGATCGGGAAGTTTTAGAAATCTCAGACAAATTCTCAAATGAAGCTGAAATCAGACTATCGTCTGTTAATTATATAATTACGTGAAAGAATTTCTTTAATGATCAACACAGCACATTCACTTATAACTTAGGACATACTATACCTACCAGCATATTTTTTCATCATAACACAAAGATGGTGTCTTTCTATAGCCAGTTGCTGGAGTTTATGAAGAATTTTATCTTTATTGTTATCTGCAAATTAAAAGGAGATTAACATGAAACTAGCTCCAAACACGATTCCTTCTCTAAGATGTTTTATAATTTCCAGTTTGAAGCCTATATCATTGTGAGATATTGTTTTGGGGTCCTGGTTGATGAAATGAAATGGAGTTTAACATCCCATTTTCCAGAGCTATACTTGAGTAACTAGACAGGCATATGCCAGACATGTGTAATGAGGGTGAATTTTGCCATGGCAGCGACACCTACTCTTATTATCGATTTCAAACTGCCAAGGTGTCTTTAACATGCTCTCCTTTGAACATGAACCAACGCTTACCGGAATCCAATTGGAAATCATGCAACCAGGTCCATCCTTTCCCACGCTTGGATTTGAACCCAGACCTCCAGCATGAGCAGCAAGCGTCCTTACCACCCGGCCACACTGGGCCCACCCCTGGTTGATGACAGGGTAGTAGTGGACTGATGAAATCATGAGTGAATTTAAAATTAGTATCCATCTACAAGCAAGAATATTTGATTATGTCAAACAATCCCTCCAGGCTGTCAGCAAAAGCATTATTTGACTGCAGTAGAATTTAAATGACCAAAACAAAATGTCTCTTAGTCATGGACATCAATATGCTGGTTGGTAATACCAATTCTTGTCCTTGAACAACGATGTGTTTGCAAATTTGAAAGCATTATAGCCAAATAAACAAATTATTTGAACACCCGAGATGTCAAGTTGACGCCTGGCACTGATGACAAAAAGGTAAATAGCTAATTTAAAATGTACCTTTTGTACCATTATTCCGCTGACATTGATTCTTCAAAATAGAAAACCATGTTCCAATATCAAAGTAGTCTGAAAAATAGTAGCCAAATATTGAACAATTTCATTTAGTGAAAAAGAATTTCACCAGGTACGTTTTTGTCAAATTTACAGGATTGACAACATGGCTTATAATAAAAGCTTCATAATCATAATATGTTGGTCACTTTCAATTATTCTCTCAACTCTTGATATTTCAGTAACATTTTTGTTTCATGATTACAACTTTTCCAACTTTATTGAGCATGATGAGTATATATTGGTTACTAGTAACACCAGAAAGTCTGTCATGCTGTACAATGTGGACAATGTGGTATTTGTGTTCGAATGGCGAGCCATGGTGAATTGTGCTGGTCAGAAAACGTCTGTCTTACTAGTGCAAGTGTTCAGTGAGAAAACTTCTTGAATTATACCTAGATTTTTGCACGTTAGTAGAGTGTTCAACTCTTTACTGCATTTTACATTTAGTTGTTTGGCTTCTTCCAACTTAGACTTCAATTTCTGTCCTATAAAAGAAGAATTTATGAAATCTATAAATCCATGAAAGAGACAACTGTACAGTTGGAACTCATGTTATTAATCTTTCAAACAATTGTTATTCGGTTTCATTTCTGGGATTTTGATTATTTTAATTAATGTTTTTTCACCCGACAGTCAGGCCCCTACGAGGATTATTGACCAAACACAGCTAAGCCACATATATTTAGCATGAAATATAACAAACAAGATGATATATTACCTATTTTCACTATACTCTTATCAGAGTTATACATAAGCGCTTCAGTTAGGAGGTCATTTCTATTGTTTACAGTCATTTCTTTTGATATTTTCTTAAATGGACGTAGGAAAGACCAAAATCGTTCAATTCCCTCTCCGTCACATAAACCAGTAAATTCCACATAGCGTTGTCCAAAATTCAGCTGAAAATAATACAATAGATAGAAATGAAATGAAATGAAATGGAGTTTAACGTCCTACTGTTCTGCTCCTAACCTGGGCTAATGAAGACGGGCATACGCCATACAGTGTGCTATGTGGGAAATTTTGCCCGGACAGCGGCACTACGGCCTACTCTTATATCGAATTCCAACTGCCAAGGGATCTTTTACGTGCACGCCAATGTGTACACGGGACCTCGGTTTTTCGTCCCATCCGAACGACTAGACAGCTTTCCTTGTCAGCCCCTCCGTCCTGCATCACTGACAAGGGAGAACCACGCCGGAAAATCTGGATGAACTTTCTTGGCCAATGCAGGGATCGAACACCTGACCTCCAGGCTAGCGAGCTAGCGTCTTACCCACTTAGCCACGTGATCCCCACAATAGATAGAAGCAAGAACATAAACATTGCACACAACCAATGCTATATAATACAACCTATATCATATATCCTTAAAATATGTAATTACTAGTTACTGATTGCATCAAAAATTAATACAGAAGACTTCCTTACATACATCTACAACTGCTCTTACCTCAAAGCTACCCATTTGGTGTTCTCCATATCAGAGTACAAACAAGGAAGATCGAGATCTCAATATCAACCTTCATTATAGAAGATTCGAAGGTACATAGTTAAAATAAGTTACCTGACAAGACATTATATGAGCAAACCTGTGGAATACAGGAACAGCTAAATTGCATTTTGCCAATAAATCAGGGTTGCGTTTCTAAAAAGAGAGTAAAAAAGCTTTTACATATAAACATCAAGAAAATTATCAATATTGCATGAGACTATGGATTACTACATGTTTTACTGACTTTCAGTCGAGTTGAGTCATACAGGGAATAAAGTTCAGGATCTGAGTTTCTCATTGACCCTAGCCACATGCTCTAAACAATAGACTTCTTAATCCATTATGTAGCCTTGAACCTCACAAACGTTTCAAGTTGACTTCGAAGGAATAACCCTAAATAAATATCATAAAATCACTGTATTTCAGTCAAGAACTTAATCTAGTCTGCTTGATTATTGCAACAAATGTAAAATTTCATGAAAATACCATCAAATATGAAGCCAGAGAACAGGCTATATCATAGGTTACTGTTAACTTTTCAGATCTGTCTTTCAGAAATTGCTCAGTTAGAAATGCTGAATATACTAGACTGAAAATAGAAACCACAATAGCTGTTGCATTTCCTAAAGTCAATTTGTGAATGAAAAATATTAAGGTACTGTCAGCATGCTACATGAGTTATGAGATGAGGGACCTAATTAACCATGTGTATCCTTGCAACAACTATCCATGTAAAGAGTGTTGTTGTTCATTATTGCTATACTCGATTTTTAGCAATTCGATGACGTCACAGTGAACAACCGGAAATGCTCCATAGAAAACTATGCAATTACGTGAAACAATCCCTTTAAACAAACGTAATGTCACGGAGAAGTATTGAATACATGATTTCAGACACTATAACTTTAATTATATATTATGTGTATTATTATTCAGAAAATATCTCATTAGGCCAGACTGTACCGGTACCTTAAAAAAGAACTCAATTGAAGTACCTGACTACTCACCTTTCTCCTTTGGTCATATTCAAAAATAGAAGTGGAATGTCATGTTTGCAGATCGATCCGAATACACCAGTGATGTCAAGTTTAGAATTTTTCACTTTTGATCTCAACACATTGCCTGCCTGGAAATTTGAACAATCCTAGAAAACAAAATTAACAGAAATGCAACAAGAATTATTGCTCACTTGATGACACCAGACATCCTCTTGTGACAGACACTTGATTATTTTTTTTCTCTTTCGGTTTGTGGGCAATCTGGGTCTACCCTCATTTCTATTTTAACTACAAATGTGTGATAAATAACATATTCCACAAGACTAATTGACCAGAATCTCTTTACATGCCAGTTCTTACATGAGAACCTTACATGAGATGTTATATAATTCTAAATATGTTTAGTAGATAATGTGACTAAACATTTTCACCCCCAAAACATGTTCTTCTATATGTTTTGTCTCTCAAGGTAGCTAATGAAACATAATCAAATTCAACTTACAATACTCTTCGGATCCATAGCATAATCTTCCACAAAGTCTAGAAACTTTCTTTGTGTTTTGAAGTATGGGCCTTTGTGTCTTGCTTCAAGACCAGTACTGACACCCGAAGATATTTTGTGCACGAGGCCAAAATTAGCATCATAAGAGACTAGAGATGGAGTCTGAAAAACATGGAATCAGTTCTATTTGTAACTGTATTTCTTGTAAATGTAGTTACATAGACACACACATGTTTTTCAACCTTTTCTCTCTCAAAAGGATTTGAATCTTTTGCAGACATATATTTCATGTGATTCTCAGTCTTTTCGGTCCGTTTTGAGATGGTTATTGGAGTTTTTGAAGCTGTTTTTCCTCAAAAGTACAAATCTACCTCTTTTGACACCCAATTCTGTTGATATGAGGTATCAAAGGTCAATCAGTATGATTAGTCATGTGTTAGGAATATAGTTTGCTTCTTTTACAATTTTGCATCTGTCCAAGAATAAACATTATGATGCCATGTGTAATAGAGCCTTCTGTAATGAATTCAGTGACTAATAATAATAACGTACTGTTTACATTATGTTACCAAGACAAAGTTGATTATTGTCTGATTAATTGCAATATTTGGTACTTACATCCTGACAAACGGGACATTCTTTCCCCATTGTATTGTTGCTAATACCATGTTTGGTGATCAGACAACTACGGTGATACATATATTCAATAAGACAATCACCAACCAAGGCACGATAGATATCTTTTTTCTGAAATATATTAGAAAGACTCACAAACATTCGACAGCTGAAAGCAACAAAATATGAACGAGAGCTCAATTCAAACATAATCACAATTATATGAGCACAAACAACATAACGAAAGATCTAGTACCTCCAACTACAAGCTTTTCAAATATTGTAGAGTTTGCTAATAACAGATTCTGAATGTTTTCCTGGATAAATACAAATGTACTACAATTACAATGTGTAAGTAAAACACCAGTTGAAATACTTACAATGGGCAATTGACGAATCTTAAAATCTATTTGATTTTTGACAGCCTCAAAAAAACTTTTAGTGCTTGTCTGGCACTCCAGCTGCATGACGGACAGTAATTCCATAAATTTCAAGTCAAAGGCTATTTTGGGGGATGACGGTGTTGCTGGCCACAGACCAAACCGAAGTAGCCTCCCAGCTGGTTCTTCGGAAAGACATAGCTTGACAGAAATTTTCCTCAGAATACCTGCAAAAAGAAAACAAACTAAACTACTGGACTTTCAGTAAACAACATAAAAACCTTATGATGCAACTGGAAGAACAAATCTACTGGTGATGCAACTGAATAAACAATTTTACTGGTGATGCAACTGAATAAACAAATTTACTCTCCTGATCAAGAAAGGGACATGAGGACATGTATGTGGTAGTAGTGCTACTGATTAATCATGCTCTGAAAAAAAAATGAAAATTTTAGGTCTGAACGAAAAGATCGACAGATTATATGAGAGTATAATGAATAAGCAGGTAAGTGAGCGAGTCTATGTTTTTTGTACCAACTTTCATGCACAATAGTGAAACTCATTGTCTATGTAAACATTACATTATTTTCCATTTATCTTCAAACATTTTATACCATTCGAAAATATTATATATTGGCTTCTAGCACCGCTGACGAGGGTTTCATAGTTTATCTGGTGCAAATTCTTGCTATTCATTTTCATCTCGGTTGACAAAACATAAGCTAAGATATTAGCATTAATGAAGTTACCTTTGATATCAAATGCTAGAATATTATGTGCATAGCAATGGTCACACTCATGGTCTATCCTGTGTAGCGTGGTCTCTACATGATATGGAAGAAAAACTTTACCCTGAAAAATATAGAAGAAGAGTTGTTGTAATAATAAACGAGCCGTCGCCTCGCAACATCTGCCAACATGGCAGCAAATTTAACGGTATATTACACCAATTCTTCAGTGTGTGGCTTTTTCTTGAATGGAAATTTTAAAAAAAATATTTTTGTCTAATCAAAACCAAATTCAAAAGAAACTGACATCCCTTCAATTGAAACAATAAAATTTTAATCAAAAACCTTCTCGTTTAACTAGATTACAACAATAAAGGGGTGTGGCTAAGGCGTGGCACCTCCTGACACCTCCCCTAACAGTCTAATCAGAACCAAATTTGAAAGGAACTGACCTCCTATCTATTATAACAATCCTACCAAGGTTTGAAAATTTATGTCTATTAGTTTACCAAGTAGAGTGTTTACAAAGTAATTGAGGACAGAATGACTGATCGCATAATGAAAACCGTAGGATATCTCGACTCTCAGTCTATGTACGAATAAGACTGCTAATAATTGTCCCCCGCCTTTCGAAGAAAGCAGGGGACTATTAAAATGGGTTCGTCCGTCTGTCTGTCCGTCTGTCCGTCTGTCTGTCCCGTCTGTCTGTCCGTCACACTTTTTGGGACACAATAACTCTCTTCCTAATTGAGCTAGAATGTTCAAACTTGGTGTATGTGTTTATTAGGTCAATGCCTTGATGGAGTTCGAAGATGAGCATTTTCCGCTAAGGGTAAGCAGAGATAAGCAATTTGATTGGTTGATGCTTTGGGACACGATAACTCTCTTCCTAATTGGGCTAGAATGTTCAAACTTGGTGTATGTGTTGATTAGGTCAATGCCTTGATGGAGTTCGAAGATGAGCATTTTCCGCTTAGGGTAAGCAGAGATAAGCAATTTGATTGGTTGATGCATTGGGACACGATAACTTTTAATTGAGCTAGAATGTTCAAACTTGGTGTATGTGTTTATTAGGTCAATGCCTTGATGGAGTTCGAAAATGAGCATTTTCCGCTTAGGGTAAGCAGAAATAAGCAATTTGATTGGTTGATACTTTGGGGCACGATAACTCTCTTCCTAATTGAGCTAGAATGTTCAAACTTGGCGTATGTGTTGATTAGGTCAATGCCTTGATGGAGTTCGAAGATGAGCATTTTCCGCTTAGGGTAAGCAGAGATAAGCAATTTGATTGGTTGATGCTTTGGGACACGATAACTTTAGTTCTAATTAAGTGAGATTGATGAAACTTGGTGTATAGTTTCATTACAGTAATACCTTGACTAAGTTTGATAATGAGCATTTTCTGCTCAGGGTAAGCAGAGCGATACGCAATTTGATTTTTATATGTGTCCTCTAATTATTTTCCTATTTCGGCGGGGGACATCAGCCTCACTGTTGGCTTGTTATATATAATATATGAGTAAATAAAATGCGACAACCCATCTTTACTGAGACATCTTGAGCATATTGACAGCTGATTGATCAATATCTGACAAAATTATACTATTAGTTAATCAGCTTCCTATGGGGATGTATTCCTCAGATATCTTAGGTTATGATTTCTAGAAATATGCCCCAGGTATAGAAGGTATCGGGTAGAATCAGCCAGCCATTATTGATTAGGAATTCAACAGGTTTTAACATTTAAATGATTACCGGTAGCCTACATGCATTCCTATGCACAACATGAGCACATTTAAATTGTTCGAACTTACGTTCCATATCTCCAAGTCATGAAATACCACATTCTGATGACCAGACCTAGCACACTGCTGGCAAAAATAGGAGGCTGGTCCACAAGTGTTGCATTTCAGAATATAGTCGTCCTGATCCCCACACAATCCACATGTTGTTGACATAGGGCTCAACTCTTCCAATCGGACTGATAACAATCTATCACGAATTGAACACCAGGTTTCCAGTAGTTTAAACTTCTTTTGTTGATAAGAAGCTGTTGAGAAAACAAGTGGAATATATTGAAATATTTTACAATAGTACCAATACAACTAAATCGGAAATTTATCATAAATTCCAGTCCATCGATTGGTTAGAGTAACCTCACAAATTACTCTAACCAATCAATTGACATGAATTTATTCATTGCATACTATGACCTAATCTTGTTCACTTCCGCTCCAGGTTCTATTCTGAGGAGAAAATGTTTCCTCTTCACACCATTATATTAGGGCCTATTGGTAATTTGTTTTTTACCAGAATCCGGTGCCTGTGACGCCCTAGATCTAGTATAGTAGACAGTAGACTGAGTAGTACCAGTACTAGCCTGGTAGTAGGCCTATTTAGCCTTATTCTTAGCAGGGTCGTAGCTAGGAAACTTTGCCTGGGTGGGCAAACACTAAGTGGGGCGCCAATTGCCCTTCTCAGCTTCTGGGGGCGCCAATCGCCCTCCTGAAGGTACCATAGTAAACTATTCATCGAAACGACACCCCCCAGGAGCCGCCCGGGAGACATACCTTCTGTCAGTTCTGACAGAGTCAGAGACGAGAGTCGAGACGGCGAGAGCCCACCCGACTAGGCCTACCAATTTCTTCATCCGAGGGGCGCCGATTTTTTTTTCTGGGGAGGCCTTTTCAGGGTTGGCCGATTTGTCAGATCGAATCATCCATGACATACTCACGATATTTTTCTCTATTAACTGGCAGTGGGGTTGCATGCGGTTGTGGTGCAGCCTGCCCGTGCCCGTGCTGTGTCGAACTTGATGAACTCGAAATGCCAATAGTCGACGTCTCCGGTACATCGATACCTCCACTGTTGTTGTTCGCATTCCTGTACACGATCATGCTAATTAATGCTATCGATTTTTTGGAGTTCCTATACGAAATTCTGGTTACTTTTGGTGGTTGTCTTGTTAGTCTTTTTCTTCGATTCGCCATTATTATAATAAATATTTATAAAAGGCGGGAATATAGACTCGTTTTTCCTGACCTACAGATCAGCAACAGGCACATCTACGTCGGTGATGTTCTAGGCTATAATATTAATAATTATTATAATCTCCTCATTTTACAACAGTGGGAATTAGGCTTGCCTGAGCAACCTGTTTTCAATTTTGCCCTTGGCACGGATCGTGCGAATGTTTCGATCATTACTGCAGAAGGAATAAAACTAAAACCAAAGATCAGAGGAAACCTGTCTGATCAGATATGGGGGACTGAAAATTCCGCTCACCTACAGTTACTCCGGTATTTTTGTTCAGTCTATGAGCTGAGATTGAACCCACATATGTTGTTTCTAATTTTCACTGGTGTTCATTTTCCGAAAATACGTCAGAAATTGACACATTATTTACACTTTATTCACGAAAACGACCAGATCTGGTGGTGCCATGCGAATTTGAGATGTGTTAAATAGGGTTTAAACCACCGACAGTAAGCCCAGGTCGCTCCATGTCATCTTTGAAAATGCCTAAGCAACCAACGGCACCTCTCAAAACGCGCACACACCTCGATTCCCACAATGCTTTACTGTAAAGGCTATTAAAATAGTAGATTTACTCTTGGCAGCAGAGAGGCTGGTTATGCAAGATTACTGCCACTTCGCGCATGTGTGAGTATACATTCTTGTCAATGATTGGTCAATAAATTAACGTTGAAGGCATGAGTGTTGGAGTTAGCCGCTTGAACAGGGCTGTATTATAATACCTGATAATATACACTCTAATGAAGAGGCCTAACTTTACTAACTTAACTTCTGATAAAGCGGCTAACTTCAGTTGTATCGGGTGCACCAGGAGAAAACCCACGAAGTTCGACAGGAATCGAAACCACGCCAGTTGACTCAATGACAGACCTTATGATGCACCCCCCCCCCCCACACACACACACCAGAGACGATACTGGACGATCACAACGCTATTAAAATACGTAGCAGAAGAGAGTATGCGTCACACGTCGACTGTGGGGAGTAATCCCGTGTGCTGTTCATATCTTACCAGTCACGCATATCACGCACAGGGCTAAACTATACGTTGTCCCTTGCCAGGCACGTCGTTCTGGACCACTGACAAGGGGGAACCACGTCGGAAATCCCGATGAACTTTCTTCGGTCGTTTTCTTGGGAAAATGCATGCTCTCCATCTTTTAATTATGCACAATTCTCACTTGATTCTTCCCATCGTCTCATTGGATCACGGGCGATGGGATGGCGTCGAAGGATAATATTCCCAATTTCAAGGAGTAATTCTAGTAGGCTCAATCTGGATTATCAAGTCTCTAAATATCATTCAAATTTAATATAGTCTTGATTCGAGGGATATCATGTATGTAATTCAAGAATCACATTATCATTGAACAATAACTGCCATCCTAGAGTTAGAGAAGAACCCGGATTATAGCAATATAGAACCGCCATGACACGAGAAACAAACAAAGATACACAATATTCGTAAGTATTTTTATAGATAAAATACCTTTGTTAAATATGACAACAGAGAAATGTGTAAACAATTTGAATGTCAACTAAATGGTGAACGAATTATAAAATATCCTTGAAATATTAGCTAGATCGTGGGATTGGATAAGCGGTGGCTTAATGGGTAAGGCACTAGCGCGCTGATCTATCCATGTTTTAATCCTCGCTTATACATATATTATACAAGAGGTAAATCTACCCATGTTGAATGTCAACAACCAAATAGTGAACGAATTATAAAACGTCCTTGAAATATTCGCTACAGAGTTAAAGGTACATTATGCTAGAGCTCAATCTGTCTATTGCAGGTCTGTTTTATTTCATTTCATTTTGCGGATCAAGCAAACTGTATATTCAATTTTTACCATCTAATTTGATATTGATACCTTTACAAAAATCTTATCTTTATTGTGTTCGCAACCTTTTTTGGAAATGTAATATATCTCTGGAAGTAAAAGTTCTAGAATGCTGAGAGTGGCTGCATCTATAAATTGTTTAACGTCCTACTGTTCGGCTCACACTGGGCTAATACGCCATGCACTGTGATATGGGGGAAATTTTTCCCGGGTAGCGACACTATGGCCTACTCTTATATCGAATTCCAACTGCCGATGGATCTTTTCCGTGCACGCCAATGTATGCACGGGACCTCTGTTCTCCATCACTGACAAGGGGAAACAACGCCGGAAAATCCCTATGAACTTTCTCGACAAGTAAGGGATCGAACACGTAACCTCCAGGTTAGTGAATCAGTGTCTTACCCACTTACTTAGCCACCGTGACTCCGACCTTCAATATGACATTATTTAAATTACAATATATCCTTATTACACTTGTAAAGTATCATAGCTTATACGAACTAGGTCATTGCAATATTGCACGCCTTGTGCACACATCATAGTTTATAGAAACTGTATATACCCATATTAAATTAACTGAGGGTTTAACAATAGTATTATCAGTGGGTGGTCCAGGTAAATGTCTTTTTATTGCAAGAAAATTATGGATAAACATGATGGCCACTGAAATGAAACGAAATGGGGCTTAACGTTGAGCAAGCGCACTAAATACAAAATATGCAAATGCAGGGATCGAACATCCGACCTCCTAGATAACAAATCTTACCTCTCAATCCTCCGTGTTTCGAGATAAGAGATGATGCCATTAACTCCAATGTAGCAGATGCGGGAGCGATTCGCACCCATCATTCTTTAAATAAAATTGACAATATTTTTAATCAAAACAACGATTTATTATTGTTATTTATAATATTTCTGCCACATCCAACTACAATTAAGCATATAATCCTACATGAAACGGGTACAAATCGTCAGTTTTAAAACCGAGGCGTTAAGCCGTTACTAAGACCGCCATCTTTTTAAACGATACGCTGTCATCATGAAGGCGGAGATAAAGATAAGGCTTTTATAACAGCCAATCAAAAGGGCAATCTAAAGCATTTTAACTATGAATGTCAGACAAAAGCAACGCTTCATTAATTTAAACGCGAATATTTGGAGTTAGGCGACAATTTTGCCACTACATTGGCCTCTGTAAGTTTAATTAATCATAATAGCATAAACTCATCTTATTTTAAAGATGTAACATGCATTAATAAAGAAATTGAGTTTGCCACTTGGAACTAAAGGCATCCAATCGTAGCTAAAAACAAACACATCAGTATATCTCAACGTTTTTAGCTACGTTCTCGTAGCTACCGACCTCCAGGCGAGCGATCCAGCGTCTTACCCACTTTTTTTTTCTTTTTTTTTTATTAAGGTGAACGCCAATGCTCCCGCCAAAAGGCAACACCTAGTAAATCACGTTTTTCTTATTTTGAGAAAACAAAGGAAAACGTAATGAATGAATATTTAACCCCTGCTTATGCATTGATTTGATTATTGAGTTACTAGGTTTTTCTGTGGCATACTGGGCAAATGAAGGAAGTTGCTAGGTTGTGTCATGGGTGTAACTGCTTACAAAATCAAAAGATTGGAATATCTAGTACAACAACAGGATGCACATACCCTAGTAACTACAAATTTGGTCCTAACTCAATTTTGATAAAAAAAAAAAAAAAAGAGAATTACTAGGTTTTGACTTTTGACGGGAGAATATACGATGCCCCTGTTCTTTTATATGCTAGCCAATGTGAACACGGACCCTCGGTCGTTTTGTCCTCGTAAGGCCCTCTATCCCGAACCACTTGCAAGTGGACACCGCGCTGGAAAATCCGGACGAACTTTCTCTGCAAACATCTGCCAGTGGTGCAGGAAAGGGGTTTCTAGTCGTTCGGATGGTTCGAAAAACCGAGGTTTCGTGTATACATTTGCGTGCATGTAAACGATCACTTGGCAGTTGGAATTCGATATAAGAGTGGTCCATGGGGCCGTTGGCGGGGCAGAATTTCCCTCATAGCACACTGAAATGCGTAAGCCTGTCTTCATTATCCCAGTCGAAGCAGAACAGTCGGACGTTAAACCCCATTTCATTTCATTTTCATTTCTTACTAACTGAGCCACCGCTACTACCAGGCCACTCATGTAATAAAGTCGATTAGTGTGGTGTATTATCTTTCTTATTATTGTTAAATGTGTTGACGGTCTAAATCATGACCTGTGACGCCAACTGACAGACAACAACCATTCAGGGTGTTTTTATATATTTAATTTCAGATCAGAACTGCAGAAAGGTGGGGTTGCGGGCAGAAAATGGATGTTCTTGAGTTTATTGCTTGGTGCTATAGCAGTGGGTCTTTTGATCGCCCTGGTCGTTGTTATTAGAAACCAAGATAAACGTTCACCACCACAAGACCCTCCTCCTTCTATAGGCGGCCAGGTAGAAAACCAGATTGACGCATCCGAATCGCCAAATCCCGGCGTGTTCCATGATTTAACAACAACAGAATTATTATCTTTACAAGAATATCTTTATTCAGACAATGCCTCGGATTTAAATCTGGTGAGACCAGATAAGGTATCTTTGGGTGCCAGCTACGTCTTTATTGTCGATCTACTTCCGCTCAATAAAACTGAAGTTCTCCGACATTTAGATGACAACGGACCAACCCCAGCAAGACGAGCCAGGGTGGTTGTGTTCAGGGGCGATAAGACACCGCCTGTAGTTGAGGAATATATTGTCCAACCTATACCAAACCCAACCAGACACGAATTATTCGAGCTTCGAACCAGACCTAATCCAATCCCTTTTGCATACAGACCCGTTGGTCTGGTAGAATTTATAGAAATCGCCAGCGCTCTAGCGACTAGTTTACAAGAAGACATTGGTGACATCCTAAAAGAGAGCTATGATGCAGGGGTCATTGACTGTGGTTATAAATGTTTAACATTTTACTCCCACCCAATGTCGTCTGCAATCGTTGGAGCTGATACTCGGAAGATGTGGTTTGAAGTTAATCATAATGTACCTTACTTCGGTCTACATCCAACTGGTTTTATGTTCTTGGCACAAGTTGATGGCGCAGATAAATCTAAGTTTGCAATTGAAAAGGTTATATATGGTGGAGAATCGTTTAATTCCGTACAAGAATTCAAGACAGCTTACACGAACGGCACAGTAACAAAAACCAAATTGAAGTTTCCAAAAGTTGACAAAAATCTATTTTCAACGCTAAATTACAGAGGCGATGCCAAACCGTCTAAAAGGGCACCCCAACTGGTTGAGCCGGATGGAAAACGTTACACTTTGAACCACAGACAGGTAAAATACATGGACTGGCAATTTGACTTCAGAATGTCTGCGTTAACAGGACCCCAGCTCTACAATATCATGTATGGGAAAGATAGGATAGCATACGAAGTGGGATTACAGGAAATAGCTGTCTTTTATTCTGGTGCTAACCCGGCAGCTCGATTTACTGATTACGTAGACAGTGGTGAACTTTTAGGAATTCATGCCAAGAGTTTGGTACCAGGGGGAGACTGTCCAGAAACTGCTACATTCATCCCAGCAACCTTTTTAGGTGAGCACACAGAAGGACCCGAAACTAACTCAAGAGCTTTTTGCTTGTTTGAACAAAACACGGGAGTACCATTAAGGCGCCATTTGTCTTATGCTGTATGGGAAGGTGGTTTCTATGGCGGGGTAATGGACAATGTGCTGATATTGAGGACAATCCTCACAGTGGCAAACTACGATTACATATTTGATTTTATCTTCCATCAGAACGGTGCCATGGAAGTGAGAGCATTGTCCACTGGTTACATTTATACCACTTTCTACAACCAAGCTGAGGATAAATATGGTTTTCGCTTAAATGACAACATTCTGGCCAATCTGCATCATCACATGTTCCATTTTAAAGTGGATTTGGATGTACTAGGAACTTCCAATAGATACGAGACGCTGGATATAGAGACTGAAGATTTGGATATTTCTGGAGAGACTGGTAATCCTGGAGATAAATATAACCAAATATTCTACACCAAAAATCTTAAAAATACAGAAACAGAAGCTGCTTACAAATTCAATTTCGATACACCTAAATATCACATCATTCATAATAATGCGGTGAACACAAGCTTTGGGGTTCCGAGAGCCTATCGAATTCAAATGAACGGAATGTCAAAACAAACTCTAAAAGAGAACAGTGGAAACGAAGCAACAGTATCCTGGTCACGGTACCAAATGGCAGTTACAAAATATAAACATGATGAGTTTAGCAGTAGTTCACCATATAAAATGTTTGATGGCAGATCACCTGTTGTAAACTTTCAACAGTATATCGATGATAATGATAATATTGTGGACCAGGTGAGTTGAAGGTTAAAGGGAGAGTGAGAGAGAGAGAGAGAGAGAGAGAGAGGTGTAGGTTACAGGTGGAGAGTGGAAGAGAGGATGGGGGGGGGGTACATGTAACAATAATAATATAGGGTTCGAACTAATTATAGAGATATGGCCCTTGATTGGTGATAAACGTACATTAACATTTCTCCAGGCGATATTTGAGGTTTTACCAAAAGTAATTCCAGAGTTATTGCCCTTGGGTGATGTGAATGTAATTAATCCTATTATATGGCCGCCATCTTGAATGTAGATAATTTAATATGTATATATTGTGCTTGTTTTCAGGATTTGGTACTATGGTTAGCTATGGGAGTTCATCATATTCCACATACAGAAGATCTTCCTATAACACCTACACCCGGTGCTCATCTAAGTTTTGCTTTATTGCCTTATAATTACTTTAAGGAAGATCCTTCCATGACGTCACATGATTCAATAACTATAGTCCATAAAGATCCAACCAATCCTCAAAATGGCGTCATATTTAGGAGATACCATAATGCAACAGGAAGACCAACAAATGTAAATTTGCCTTCAGATAATTTATCTGACTATGAAGATAACCCAGATCTTGTTTTACAGAGTAGAAAAAAAATTTCTTTTTTTTAAAACATTTTTATTCGCTAACCTTGAATTTGTCGTGTGTTGTTTAAACCGCTGCCTGTCCGCCCGTCGTCCACGATTGCAAATGGTTGCCCGAGAGGCTAAAGTGGCCATACTGATGATTTCAAATGATTAATACTTAATATCAAATTATGGCTGTTGACATTCTTACACGTTTTTGTAGGCCTAAGTTTCAGTGTGGACGTATTATGCCGTCACCCTATCCGTCGGTCCGTCCATCAACAGTTGGCTAGTGGACACCATAGAGTATACAGTTTTTAACAGATTTCTTTATAATTTAGTGTGAAGCATCGTGATCATGAGAAGACGAACCCTATCGATTTTCAGCCGCCCGTCAGTCGTTCTGAAGTTTCCGCAAACCCTGTGAACGATTTAACGGCTATAGTTTTCGACAGATATGGTCTGAAGCCTTGTGGTCACGAGGGGACGGAACTCTGTCGATATTTAGGGTTCTACGACTTTCCGCCCGGAGTTATCCCCCTTGAGCCTTGTGGTCACGAGGGGACGGAACTCTATCGATATTCAGGGTTCTACGACTTTCCGCCCCGGAGTTATCCCCCTTTATCCCCCTTGGGCCTTGCGGTCACGGGGGGACGGAACTCTATGGATATTCAGGGTTCTACGACTTTCCGCCCCGGAGTTATCCCCTTTTCCGAATTCTTGGAAGCGCGATAGAGGCTACATTTTTTTAACGAATATTTTTTTTCAAATTTGGTTGTAACCACTGGGGCCATGAGAGAATGAACCCTTTTCGGAGACCCCCCCCCCCCCCCACCTCAGTTTGCTGATATCATTGTGAATCCGATAGAGGCTACATGTTTTAACGAAAGATGTTCACATTAAATTGTTAGAATTGGGTCATGTGAGAATGAACCCTATCGATTTTCAGCTTCCACACCACCACCCCGCCCCCGTTACCGTAAACCTTGTGAATTCGATATAAGCTACAGTTTTTAAGAGATTTTTTTTAAAATTTGGTTTCAAGAGAGGATGAACCCTGTCTACTGTCTAAAATCTTGTGGAATGTGGTGCCATTTTTCTAAGTCAAATATCTTGTGGCACTCTTGTGGTGATCAAACACCACAGAATAAAATCTGGTAGAATATGCTTTCCCCCACATCTTAAAATGTTCCAGTAAAATAAATAGAAAATATTTCATAAATTTTTCATGGACCAACTTTTCCAAACGCTCCCAAACCTTGCCATGTCTAATCTTAGACAATCTATTGGCCTATATTTAAATGAATTGACACATTAATTTTACAAACGCCCCTAAACCTTGCCATGTCTACTTTATTGTGGCTTCGAATCTTCAATAAATTATTATTTGGACATTTATTTACATGACAAGCCTATAAACCAACTATCTAAGACAATCTGTTGGCCGATATTTAAGTGGATTAAACATTAATTTAAAAATGGTGAATCAAGGATAAGTCTCGATGGTCAAGTAATTCCGGTACGATAATAAACAACCGACATGTTTGTTACATCTTGTCAAATCTCATAAATATTCATTTTATTTCATTATCTATTTTGTTAAAGTTACAATTTCATATTTTTAAGTTATATTTTTAAAATGTATTAAAATAAAGCCCTAAAATAGATGGTATTTATAAACAGTCATACCTTGTAAAAGAATAATCCTATTAATCCTATAATTCACTATTGCCAGTTGAGAAATTTTCAACTTCAAATTCAAACGTTTGAAGATAGTTATTCCATGGTTGGGAATAGGAAAACAAGGGAGGTAATTGTGTTATTATTTCCGGTGTAAAGATAACCTATGATCGTATAATAGTGAGTTGACAACCTATTGAGCAAAAGACATAGAAATAATTATGTTTGACATTCTTAGAAAGTATGAAACTTTAACTATTATAGCAATAACAACTCGCTCTTTAACTAAATCTTACGAAAATGGATCTAAAAACAAACATTAATGTAATATGGATGTATATAAAGTGATTTAAATCTAATTTTTAAAGAGAATTATTGTAATTTATAATCAGTTATGTACAGTGAAATAAACGGTTGTCCATTCTACACGTTTTTATATATTATTAAGTCTCTTTTGTGAATCGGCCATTACTAATTTCTTCCTGGGGGTACAGTCTACTCGACACAAACTAGATCATTTCGGGACTAACATAGGGTTCAATTTTATTTCAATAATTCGCTTGCGCGTAAGCTTCTTTAACAGTTGGGGGAAACCGGAGGACCCGGAGAAAACCCACGAGGCTGATAAGGCGACCCTACTCCTTGTCACGTACAACCGGGGAATCAAATGAAATGAAATGAAATGGGGTTTAACGTCCTACTGTTCTGCTCCTAAACTGGGCTAATGAAGACGGGCGGGCATACGCCATACAGTGTGCTATGAGGGAAATTTTGCCAGGGCAGCTGCGGTACGGCCTACTCTTATATCGAATTCCAAATGCCAAGGGATCTTTACGTGCACGCCGATGTGTACACGGGACCTCGGTTTTTCGTCCCATCCGAACGATTAGACAGCTGTCCTTGTCAGGCCCTCCGTCCTGCATCACTGACAAGGGGGAACCACGAGGAAAATCTGGATGAACTTTCTCGGCCAACGCGGGGATCGATCACCCGACCTCCTGGCTAGCGAGCCAGCGTCTTACCCACTTAGCCCGGGGAATCAAAACCACCCCAATTGACTCAATGATAGATCTTATGATACAACGCGCACGCGCTAACAATTCGGCCATCCAACCCCCCAGATAACAGAAGACTATTTTTTAAAACACACGTGGTTTTTGTTCCAACGTATTTCCATCCAATTATAGGCAAGGGACGCAATCCATGCTTCGTTTTTAAAACAATAAATTGTATTTCGACTTATTGAACGGATATAATTAGTCGATTACGAACATATTTAAGGAGTATTTGTATTCCAAAGAACTTACGAAATTCGATCATTTCAATGAATCCCTTGATAAGAAAGGATTCATATCAATATTATCAAATTTGAAGTCCATTTTAGGCACAACCTATTCGTTTATACAAAGATGTACAGTGCTAGAAATTAATATACATAATGCATCTTTAAAAGCCACTAAAAATATGCCTTAACTGTTCTCTCATAAGGCGTGTGCAACGTTGGGTAAATCATTGACCTCTACCCTAGGTGTAGTTTACATCTCGTGATGTATGACGAAAAATTGAGCTGAACTTATCATTTAGCACTAACCCATGTTTTCCTAATAACTAAACAGGTAGCCGCATCACAAATGGGGGGGGGGGGCGAATGGTTAGCACGCGCGCGCTGTATCATACGGCCTGTCATTGAGTAAACTGGCGTGGTTTCGATTACCGGATTGTACGTGACAAGGAGTAGGGTCGCCTGTCCAACCTCGTGGGTTTTCTCCGGGTCCTCCGGTTTCCTCCCACTGCTAAAGACCCTTGCGCGCAAGCGAATTATTGAAATAAAATTAAACCATGTGTTAGTCCCGAAATGACCTAGTTTGTGTCGAGTGGACGTTAAACCCCATTTCTCTCTCTCTCTCTCTCTCTCTCTCTCTCTCTCTCGCATCACAAATGTATAGGTGTAGCTACATATCACTTACGGTCATACAACCGAGGTTAGATGTAGGATACCAGAATCCATCGAGGTTTGCCGAATGGCCTTAGGGGCATCCTAGCATCCTATTGATATTCAAAAATCTCAATAATGACTGTCAGAGTTATTCCCCCTGTGGGATCTCTAGAGGCCAAATTGAAATCCATGCACCATTGTTGATGTTCATGCGACGAACATGTAATGTTATGAACTTGTATATATATTCCCGACAAGATATTGATTGAAATAGACTAATATTGATTGAAATAGACTAATATTGATTGAAATAGACTAATATTGATTGAAATAGACCAATATTGAATTCGTGTTTTTAATTTCGAATATTATGAATGATGTTGAGTTAAATGTTTACGTCCTTTAACTTACAATTAGACAAAGGCGAAGACTCGCTCATAAAACGGTTTACTGGTGTCCTTTACAGCATTAATGCGAAAATCTCCTTTTAAACATAAATTATGAAAGGGCTAAATCTGCCTGTTGCAGGTCTTTCAGGCCTGAAATGTTTATATAAACTATTAATTAGACATATATTAACACGAAAAGCCCTTAATCAACTCTAGATGCCGTCTTATGTGTCGGATTTTTACTGGATTTGAATCCGATCTGCTGCTCAACGTTCATTGATGATTAAATCCAAAATTGGATAATCGAGACTATGTTTTTTATTATCGTACCGACTTTAGTAATGATGATCGAGGCTAGCCTAAAATTCAATAGCTAACATCTCGGCTCAGAGTTGAGCAATTTGACTAAAATTTTCAAAATATCCCCTTTACATCATTTAGTTTTTAACTATTATAGTGAGAACTGTCAGTTCTTTATTTAATCTTCCATAATGCCCCCTTTAACTTTATACAAGATGGCTATCCTTTAAGGTCGCGTATATAGTTCTAAGCTTTTAAAGGACAATATTGGTACCAGCCATTATCACATATATGATAGAACTGGTTAAACACGATCTAAATATCATTTTATCACAGAGATCATTGCTACGATAGATGAGTAATCAAAGTTTCAACAATCGGAAGTGACGAACGCAAAAGGAAAACACGAGTTATCCCTCTATATAACTGACTGAAGTGACGAGTGATAACAGATACACGGGTGAATTTCTGCTCACTAATAATTCCTTTTAAGACCAAAAGTTGTTCTATGAGACTGTAAGAGGATATCTGACAATTCAAATGTAATTTAATGTCTTTAGATAAGAAAACGCGATAAAAATAGAAATAGTCCGTACATTACTATGTTTTTATAGAATGAATAAAAACAAGGGAATGCACGGAATATTTATATTTTACTGAAATCACACTCATTTACATGATTTGTTTACAAGTTTAAACTTTATTTACACGATTTAAATATCATATTTTTTTATTATTTTTTAATTTGATTATATATTTACTTGAACGATATCTATATTTTTATAAAATCTTTTTTTTTATAATCTATAACAATAATCTATATTTTTATAAAATCTTTTTTTTTATAATCTATAACAATAATCTATAACAAAATCAAAGTATGTATGTAGCCGCAATCCATCACAACATATGTTGTATCAAAGTGTTATGGGGGAAATTTTTCCCGGGCAGCAGCACTATTGCCTACTCTTATATCGAATTCCAACTTTCAAGGGATCTTTTACGTGCACGCCAATGTTTACCCAGGACCTCGGTTTTCGTCCCATTCGAATGACTAGACAGCTGGCCTTGTCAGACCCACCGTTCTGCACCACTGACAAGGGTAAACCACTCCGGAAACGCCCAATGAATCAAACAAGTAAACATACCGTGCGAGAATATTGTCGTTTTTCAGATATCACTTCTTTCCCAATCTGCATCACGGGTTGTCTCGCTCGGAAGTTGTATGGGCAATAAAGTGACCGTGTCCGGCATTAAGTAAATGTCGAATTTACACCTAGCTCCCAAGAGCGATATTTTAAAGACAACAATTTATTAGTTAAACATACATTATGCAAGAGCTAAATCTGCCTATTTAAAGTAGCTAAGTCTCTAAGTCAATATCATCCAAAACCTTCGACAATGAAAACACGAATTATTTGACAATTTTAACCAACATTGATGTTGTGATCTTACCGGAAAAAGATGGCCTTCTGATATCCAATATTTAAGACAAAATAAACATTTTACGATTGGTACACGATTCGTGTACCATAATGCGTTTAAGCGCAATTTGTAACAAGCTACTCGAAGAACGAGGTTAGACAAGTCATGTCAAACGGTGACCCCATATTCTTATTTGGAAAGCATGCGCAATAAATACTGTCGATGTAGACTGGAATAACCAGACGCTAGAGATTGCTATTCGATTGAGACTTCTGGCGTATTTCGCTGAACATAACTGCTTTGAATTTAGAGTAAAACGGAAGCGATTGAATGTAAATCAGTTTATTTACAATTATATTACACTATTATATACGCTGCGACCCATTTGTGTCAATTTGTAGGTCCCAAATATTAGCGATTTAGCTCCTTTAAGGGCTTTCTTTAGGCCTGAAAGGTTTTCTAAATTATTAATTAGACATTAATTAACTTATCCAGGCCATAACCAACTCTCGGTGGCATCGGATTTCTCTAATATTAAATAGATTAGAACAGTTCAGCCATATTTCAATTTAAGCTAAAAATGGAGGAGCGAGACCTAGCTTCGAACAACCAGTACGGTGGTTGAAATGATTGCACACGTCTTGTCAAACCTTCAAAGACTAATATCTTCGCTCGCAATAGAGTAGTTTGAATGAAATTTTCAAATTATTCATTTTTAATTATCTATCTTCGGACTATTATAGCAAGAATGGCTGGCTCTTTATCTAAATCTTACATAATGTATCTTTAATTGTCCCCATAATGCTAGACAGTAACGGGCGGACATCTTTTATTTTATAATTTGATTAATCAGCTAAAAGCTAAAATATCACGTGATCTAACAAAATTTACGGCGGTTTAGACATTACAATTCCATCAATGGGCAGTGCCATTTTGACTAGTCACAAGATCAGCGATGGTATTCAAATTACTTGCAGGCACACGTAGTTTACATTTCGTCAGCATCACTGGTTGCCTAAAGTTTGTTCGTTGCTTTAACAAACGAAAAAAATCGTCCGTGTGCGGTAGGTTAAAAGATTCACGAGCCGAAAGCAAGAAGTCAATGTACATGTATCCTTTCTGCTCGTGAACTCTGCTGATCACTGCATGATGACCATCAGCATTATGGCCAGCACTAAGAATTATTCTGTTCGACATCTTTTGTTTTTCGTTGGGTCATAATTTGTCATGGCTTCGTACGTTACAATTAACACCACTTTACATCCTGGAAACAATCCGCAACACGAAATGAAATGAAATGGGTTTTAACTGTCCTACTGTTCTGCCCCTACTGAGAAAAATAAATACGGCAACCGTAACATGAGATAAAAAGACACGGGGTTTAACGTCCTACTTTTCTGCTACTACTGGACTACAGTTGTAAGTGACAAGGAGTAGGGTCGCCTGTCCAACTTCGTGGGTCTTCTCCGGGTCCTCCAGTTTCCTCCCACTGCTAAAGACCCCTACGCGCAAGCGAATTATGGAAATAAAGTTGAACCATATGTTAGTCCCGAAATGACCTAGTTTGTGTCGAGTGGACGTTAAACCCCATTACTCTCTCTCTCTCTCACTACTGGACTAATGAAGACGGCAATCACGACCCTCTCCTAAAGAATTGACCATTTATTTTTACTCTGTAGCAAACCATCGGGACTATCTGTTAAAGCTGTTAAATTAAACGGCGTAGTAATACATCTATGCCTAGGTAGTTCTTCGTCCGATTTAATAAGAACACCATCCGCGGGGTTCTGACTGTTGTTGTATTGAACACGTATCCCGTCCTGGGAATCAACTGAAGGGTCTCTAGGGAAATAATTGAAGGGTATAATATAGAAAGTGGATTGTTTGTCTACTGTAGATGTTAATGGTAGGTCTTCTGTGTGCGGTATATGGTACATTCCCATTGTAATCCAGATAACAAGATCCTGGAATAACAAAAACAAAAACAAAAGAGTAAGACGTTTTTAAAACAGACAGGTTGGACTACGTGCAGAACAACATCCTGGAAAAAAGGGTTCGATAACTTCTAAAACAATGGCTAAATCTAATTGTTAAGGCCAGCTCAATTTTTGTCAAGGTCGCTGAGATGTAAATAAGGTTAGGGCACGTGATTGTTGGCGAGATTGTAGATTAGGGTTAGGGTAAGCATTGGGGCTAGGTCCAGGGTAAGGGCTAGGGTTGGGATTAGCGCTAGCCCTGTTTACATCTCGTGACCAATGACGAAAAATTAAGCTGGCCTTATCATTTAGCACTAACCCTAAAACAACCCCGTTGTTCCCGGCGAACATTGTCATATTGCGTTTATGGACAAACCGTCCATAAAAGACCTAGATGAAGACAAGTTAAAAATATTATATTTTGATAAACATGGTAGTCCGTACAACAAAATCTGCATCGACATGGTATTTTTACTTTATGCATATTATAATAATCTCATATCCATCAAATTCATATTTTTATTATTAAAAACCTCATATTCTAATAAATAACCGCTTATCGCAATTAATAACTTCATATTCTAATTTATAACTTCATATTCTAATAACATCATATTACAATTAATAACCTCATATTATAATAAATAACCTCATATTGCAATTAATAACCTCATATTATAATTAATAACCTTATATTATAATTAATAACCTAATCAATCAAATGCATATTATAATTATTAACCTCATATTATAATTAATAACCCCATATTATAATTAATAACCTCATATTAACTAATAACTAATAACCTCATGTTATAATTAATAATCTAATCAATAGATGCATATTATAACTAATAACCTCATATTATAATTAATAACCTCATATTAACTAATAACTAATAACCTCATATTATAATTAGTAACCTCTTATATTATAATTAATCACCTCATATTATAATTAACAACCTAATCATCCAAGTGCATATTATAATTAATTACCTCATATTATAACCCGATATTAGAATTAATAATCTAATCATTCAAATGCATATTATAATTAATAACCTTATGTTATAATTAACAACCTAATCATCCAAATGCATATTATTATTAATAACATAATATTATAATTAATAACCTTATATTATAATTAATAACCTAATCTTCCAAATGTATATTATAATTAATAACCTTATATTATAATTAATAACCTTATATTATAATTAATAACCTTATATTTTAATTAATAACCGTATATTTTAATTAATAACCTAATCAATCAAATGGATATTATAATTAATTACCTTATCGATTATGTTCTCGTTATCTGCTGAATATTGGGTAAAATTTACAACTGGGTTCCCACCATCAAACTGGGCGTAGGGTGAACTGCTGGTCACTTCTGATGGTTTAAATTGGGTTACAGTAATCTGATGTTGGGCCCAAGGTAAGCTGGTTTTATCATCATCTGGCAAACGTAAGTTAGACATACTCTGGATGTACAGTCTCATGGCTCTTGGATTAAAAAATTTATCTTTCATTTTGTTATTATAAAACAGATGATATTTAGGCCTGTCGTAGTTGTAAATGTAGCCGGATTCACTTTCCGTTTGTTTTAAGTCATAGCGATAGACTTGTTGCGTGAATTTATTCCTTTTGCTACCGGCTTTCTTTGAGAGAATGTCTAGAGTTTGGTAACGATTCGAGGTACCGAACACGTCAAGGTCGACTTTGAAATTAAACAAACGATGATTTAGATTAGCTGCTAAATCGTCTCTTAGACGATGTCCGAATCTGTTGTTATAGTGATACGAACCGTGCAGGAATCCAGTACACGTTACCTTGGTTTCCAGAATTCCGTTTTGGTGAAAGATATAATCTATTATGTAATCGTTGTTAGCAATGGCCAGTATGGTGCGCATGACTAAAGACGAGTCCGCCATGCCTTCATAGAAGCCTCCTTCTGTTGTAGCATAAGCTATGTGTCTTCTTAAAGGAGTTCCCGTATATTGTTCAAAGATGCACATGGACCGCTGCGCTACAAAGGGTTCATCCGACTTCTCCACCATAAAGGTAGTATTAATAAACGTGGCGGTTTCCGGGCAGTCTGTTCCGGGAATTAAGGGTTTCGCGTGAGTTCCAAGTAGAACACTGCCATGTATAAATGACGAGGTCTTTGCGCCTTCATTAGATGCATAATAAAAGGCGGCTATTTCCTGTAGGCTAACTTCATACGCGTGTCTTTCTTTTTTCAGATGAATATCGAATAATGCTGGACCAGTAAAGGGAGACAACCGGAAATCAAACTGCCACTGCATATATTCCACTTTTCTATGTGTTATTTTGTATCTTCTCCCGTCGGGTTCAACCAGCCTTGGTCGTCGTCTTTTTGCTTCTTTCGGCAAGGGATTATCGGTGTTAGATTTTGAACTTGTAGTCAGCGAAGGATATGAAATGGAGGATTTGGTTATAGAGCCTTCGATGTATCTATCTTGTAGCTCATGAACTGATTTGAATTCTTGGTCACCGTAGAAAATACGATCGATGTAATAGATGGAAGGGTTGGTTTCATTTGCCTTGAATAACACCATCAGATCCACGGGATAAAGTGAATAATGTTTGACGTCATAAAAAGCCTGAAACATCAGACGACGGGACGGAGATTCGTCCATTTCAGCCGACAATGGAACAATTTTTAGAGTCAAGCATTTCTTTTTACAGTTTGTAAACGAAGCATCGTAACTTTCTAGCAAGATTTCCGAGAGATCGGAATCTAGTTTTTCTAAATGTTTGACTCCTATCATGGCATCTAGTTCGGTGAGGGAATAAGGTTTAACAGCATCGGGTATAGGATTGGGGCGGTTTTCAACATTGAGTAAACGATGATAGATGGGAGCCGGAAGTGGACCTACAATATATTCCTCTACGGTGGGTGGTGTAGCATCACCTCTGAACACAATGACTTTTGCTTCTCGTGGCGGACGTTCGCCACCCATTTCCGTGTGAAAGAGAACTTTGTCTTTTTCAATTAGATGAATGTCTGCGGTGTAAATAAAACTTTTACCCATGGAAGTAGCATTAGCTTTCACGAGACGTAAATCTTTAGCAGCTTCTGAATGAAGATATCGCCTTAAACCTCGTATTTCCGTGGATGTTAGATCATGGAAAACACTGGGATAATCCGGTTCGGAAATATCTATTAAACTACTCTCGTCGCCGCACAAACGAGCTGATCTTTCGTCCAGATATCTGTTTTTAATGATGGCCACCGCCATGATTGCTATCACCAGCACGGAACACACAAGCAGCAATGTTACGGTAACACAGCGCCATTGTCCAATTCGTCTTCGGTGCTTCTCTCCCATGGCTCTGAAGTAAAGATTTTGATTATCAAAATATGTGTTAATGTCAGAATATATATATAGAGAGAGAAGGGGGTGGGGTTTAACGTCCAAAAGATATAGAAAATAGGCTCTACCCGAGCCGTGTAATTCCTCGGAACGGCTGTTTCATCATCGAGCTGTGTAATTCCTCGGAATGGCTGATTCGTCACAGAGCAGAGTTCTCAACCTTTTCCGACTGGAGGGAATCACGTGGCTAAGTGGGTAAGACGCTGGCTCGCTAGCCTGGAGGTCGGGTGTTCGATCCCTGCATTGGCCGAGAAAGTTCATCCAGATTTTCCGGCGTGGTTTCCCCTTGTCAGTGATGCAGGACGGAGAGCCTGACAAGGACAGCTGTCTAGTCGTTCGGATGGGACCAAAACCCGAGGTCCCGTGTACATATTGTGTGCACGTAAAAGATCCCTTGGCTGCCCGGGCAAAATTTCCCTCATAGCACACTGTATGGCGTATGCCCGTCTTCATTAGCCCAGTTTAGGAGCAGAACAGTAGGACGTTAAACCCCATTTCATTTCATTTTCCGACTGGACACTAAAGCGCACGGTTAAACCACTTGGTCAACGGGCCAAAATAAGCGTTAAATATTGTCTGTATTATGTCGTCACCATATCCGTCCTTTCGCCAACTTCATTTATTGGATACGATGGGGGGCTACAGTTATTGAAGGATTCTTTTTTATCAAATTTGGTGTAGTGCAGTGTGGTCATGTTCCGAAACCTCGTGAACATAATAGAGGCTGTAGATTTTTAACGAAATTGTTTTAAATCTGGTGTGTTGCTTTGGGGTCATGAACGGACGAATAAGCGTAGTGGGATTATATATACCTCACTTGTACCGGAAGCGATATAGGCCACAGTTTTAACAGATTTTGTTAAACATCCAAGTTTTTCTTTTGGATAAATGGCCGTCAAGAAATGGCTGCTATGTGGACGTATTTGCACTCACTGCGTGGCTATCTTTTTAAAAAGATATTGATCCAAAAATGATTCAAATGAATTAATTGAAAAGAGCAATAATTTAGTAAGGGAATTGGTATTTGTGTATTTCATACCGCCATCGTTCCTACAAGCTAGGTGGGGGGTTGGATGGCTGAATGGTTAGCGTGCGCGCGCTCTATCATAAAGTATCATTGAGTCGACTGGCGTGGTTTCGAATCCCCGGTTGTACCTGACAAGGAGTAGGGTCGCCTGTCCAACCTCGTGGGTTTTCTCCGGGTCCTCCGGTTTCCTCCCCTCACGCAAATGAAGTGATGACGCTACCGATATGAAGTGGGGATGACACTAAACCGAGACGTGCTAAAGACCTGTACGCGCAAGCGAATTATTAAGACAAAATTGTTTGTCCCAAAATGACCTAGTTTGTGTTGAGTGGACGTTAAACCCCATTTTTCTCTCTCCCTTTTTAGTTCTGAAATATTGTGTAAAGGACTGGCTTGGGGAGAACGCTAGATCGGAGACGGTCCTGCTCATTTTTGGACACATGACGTCATATATGTGGAATGTGGGTAAGGGTTAGGGCTAGGTGTAGTCTCGTGATATAAACAGGGCTAGCGATAACCCTAAACCTAACACTGTACCAAGCATAACCCTAACACTAATGCACAATCCACATATGACATAGCGTTCTCCCTGGCTTGGGAGTCGCACTGTCACATTTGTCCAGTGAATGGAGAGAGCGAGAGAGATGGGGTTTAACGTCCACTCGAAACAAACTAGGTCACTTCGGGACAAACACATGATTCAATTTTATTTCAATAATTCGCTTGCGCGTAGGGGTCTTTAGCAGTGGGAGAAAACCGGAGGACCCGGAGAAAACCGACGGGGTTGGACAGGCGACCCTACTCCTTGTCACGTACAACCGGGATATCGAAACCACGCCAGTTGATTCAATGACAGACCTTAAGATACAACACGCACGTGCTAACCATTCGGCCATCCAACCCCCCACCCAGTGAATAAGACGCATTTTTAGCCCCATAAAACGTTTTTTCCCAAAAATCAATTTCTTGCAACCGCAGTTTATTGCCTCTTCCATACGTGCTAGGTATTAGTATTCTACGCATCCTGGCTACAAATTTAATTTTTTAAAACACGGGAACAGTGCTTGCGAAGTTAGCCTAGTTGGAGGCGTGGCGTGTCTGTTAGGGGTAACCCACCGCACAAACTGTCTGGCAATGGTCATTCATGACTCCTGTGGTGGTACTGAACAACTCCAAAGCTGTTTTACGGGTACAGATTTGAGCTATTCTAGCCTAGCTTTGGTCTAAATATTAGATAACTCTTGTCAGGGATACTCCACCACTACAAATGTCTGGCAATTACATAGCTCTGTCAGGGGTACCCCACCTCTAGAAATGTCTGTCAGAGTGTTTTTGTAATACCTGAAGATGTACGGTAGACTGCTGTACGATTTTCAGTTGGTTCACTTTTGAGCTAATCTAGCCTAGTTGGGGGTCGTGGCATTTAGGGCGTGGAATACCACACCCACCACCAAAAACCCGGCAGACTTACATTCTGATGATACCAGATATACATACATTGATACCATATAGGAGAAAATTGGTACACTTTTTAGCTAGGTTGACCCCTGGGCCCCCGGTCTAATAATATGCGTATTAAGATTATCGTGCACATGTGAATTAATAAAATTATCTGTAGATAACGGATACATATTTCTACACTAGTGAAACATTTTAATCATTTTACTGTTGTTAAGAAAACGAGATGATGAATGTCTGCTTTCCCCAAGTTTAATATCAAGTACAGGGGGACCACACAAACCTGACGAGAGAGAGAGAGAGAGAGAGGGGGGGGGGTGTTTAACGTCCACTCGACACAAACCTGACAAGACAGACAAGACAAATTACAAGCAATAAACAACAAATAATGAAAATTGAAATGAAATGGGGTTTAACGAAATGACATAGTTTGTGTCGAGTGGACGTTAACCCCCCCCCCCTCTCTCTCTATCTCTCTCTCTCTCTAGTAAGTCTTGTATTACCTATGGGTTGGATGGCTGAATGGACAGCGCGTGCGTTGTATCATAAGGTCTTAAAGTTTTTCTTTAAACCTGTACCGGGGTATTCTTCCAGGGTAGGTTTTTTTTTTCCATAAGAAAAAATGGTATAAAGTTTTTCTTACTGGAATTCTGGATATTCTCATTTTATGTACATGTAAACATAGACGGTTTATAAGAAAGATAAAGTCCTCTACTTCGGTTATGCTGGGGACGAAAGAATTCAAAAAAACCCTCGACAGAAAAACCTCGGCCTGCCGGCAGTCTTTCTTTCCCCAGCATAACCTCGGTCTCGTGCTTTATCCTATACTTAATCCAAGCCAAGAGGTTATCGAGCGTTGATTGAATGTAAAATAACCCATCTCATTACATTTCAGCATAGATTATAGCCTTGAGAAATTCGATATTTTTCGTAAAATGTAAATCGCGCACAATTACTTTTAATAGATGAAATTTATAAACAGAGACAGAAAGAAATGGGGTTCAACGTCCACTCGACACAAACTAGGTCATTGGTTCAACTTTATTTCAATAATTCGCTTGCGCCGAGGTGTCTTTAGCAGAGGGTGGAAATCGGGGGACCCGGAGAAAACCCACGAGGTTGGACAGGCGACCCTACTCCTTGTCACGTACAATCGGAGAAAAATTTATAAACAGTAAAATTAAAAATCTTGAAGAGTTGACAGTTCTAGCTATAATAGATAAACCAGCGGCTGCGAGACAGAATACGCCCACATTTTACAAGAGATGGATAAAGAACAAGCTGAACAAAATGCGATTTTTCGTACAATCAAGGGCCATAATTGAGGAAGGTACGATCTGATATGCGCAAATTTTGAAAGGAACCAAGATCTTTGGGTTATAAACATGCATTTTAAGTTTCACGAAAATCGGATCAAAATTATGACCCCTAGTGGTTCCACAACCTTGATATACCATTTTGACACTACTTGCGTACGAGGGGCGGTGATTTTGTCCGGCAGGTTTGGTCTGATTTTCACGAAATTCGAACTCCAGCATCATTAGAGTGATATACTATAAACTTTTTTAAATCAAATGACCTCTAGAGGGGCCACAGGCTAAAAACGCGATTTTTCGTAATCAGGGGCAATAAATCAGGAAGTTATGAATTTCAAGTTTCATCAACATTAGATGAAAATTTTGACCTCTAGAGTGTCCACAAGCTAAAAACGTAATTTTTCGTACAATCAGGGGCCATAATCCATGAAGTTATGGTCCGATATATGCCAGTATCGAAAGGAATCGCGATCTTTGGGAGATAGATCTATATTTTAAGTTTCGTCAAGATCGAATAAAAATTGTGACCTTTAGACGGGCGTCTGGACGGACGGATAGGGGCGGCGACAACATACGTCCACATGAAAATGTTGGCGTATAAAAATAGATAACGTAAATAGAATATGCTGAAAATTCCAATTCCAATCCGCTAAATATCGCAGGCTAGCAATGACAATGAGAGATGATTATGGCCTGGATAAGTTAATTAATGTCTAATTAATAATTTAGATAACATTTCAGGCCTAAAGAAAGTTTTCTCTACATTGTTCACAATACCAGGAGATTATATAGCGTTAATATCCTGATCAACGTTAAATAATCTGTTTAGCCTACATGGATAAAAGCCGTGAGAAATTCGATATTTTCCAAAAAATGTAAATCACGCGTTGTTACTTATAATAAATAACATTTCTAAACACTAAAATTAAAAATTTTAACTACCTCACCTAATTTTTCTTTAAATCGTTCACCATACCAGGTTTTAATAAACAATCCGAAGTTGACTTCGCTTTTCAAATCGTGAGGGACAGGGGTAAATATGACACTAGTTGAGATAACGACGGATATATGACTATATCTACACTGATGAGAAATAGGAGGTCAAACTAAACAAATTCTTAATTTACCATGTTTATTGAGAATGCTAATAAGATATCGAATATACGTATTTATATGGTTAATGCTAAATGATAAGGCCAGCTGAATTTTTCGTCATAGGTCACGAGATGTAAACTAGGCTAGCGCTAATCACAACGCTAACCCTGGACCTAGCCCCAATGCTTCCCCTACCCCTAACCTACAATCTCGCCAACAAGCACCGTGCCCTAACATTATTTACATCTCAGTGATCGTGACAAAAATTGAGCTGACCTTAACAAATAGATTTAACCGTATTTATATACAATTTTTCACGTAGAACGGGGGTTGAAGCCTGATACAGGGGCGGATCCAGGAATTTTTGCGGGAGGGGGTTTGCCAGGCTCTCGTTAAAGCGGGAGAGAGAGAGGGAGAGAGAGAGGGGGGGAGAGAGAGAGAGAAAGAGAGAGAGAGAGAGAGAGAGGTGAAGTTTAACGTTCACGCGAACAAACTAGGTCATTTCGGGACGAATACATGGTTCAATCCAATTTCAATAATTCGCTTGCGCGCATGGGTCTTTAGCAGTGGGAGGAAACCGGAGGACCCGGAGAAAACACACGAGGTTGGATAGACGACCTTACTCCTTGTCACGTACAACCGGGAAATGTCTTAATGACAGACCTTATGATACAGCGCGCATGTGCTAACCATTCGGCCATCTACCCCCCCCCCCCCCTGTAACTCAATCTGACAAGGACAGCTGTCTAATCGTTCGGATGGGACGGAAAACCGAGGTCCCGTGTACATGTTGGCGTGGGGCATCACGTGGCTAAGTGGGTAAGACGCTGGCTCGCTAGCCTGGAGGTCGGGTGTTCGATTCCTGCATTGGCCGAGAAAGTTCATCCAGATTTTCCGGCGTGGTTCCCCCTTGTCAGTGATGCAGGACGGAGGTCCTGACAAGGACAGCTGTCTAGTCCTTCGGGTGAGACGAAAAACGGAGGTCCCGTGTATACATTAGAATGCATTAGAATGAGACGAAAAACGGAGGTCCCGTGTATACATTTGGCAGTTGGAATTCGATATAAGAGTAGGCGATAGTGCCGCTGCCCGGGCAAAATTTCCCTCATAGCACACTGTATGGCGTATGCCCGTCTTCATTAGCCCAGTTTAGGGGCAGAACAGCAGGACCTTAAACCCCATTTCATTTCATTTCATTTCTTTAACTCAATACCATCCAAAGTCTTCGACATTGAAAACACGAATTATTTGTCAATTTAAATCTACATTGATGTTGTGATCTTACCGGGAAAAGATGGGCTTCTGATATCCAATATTTAAGACAAAATAAACATTTTACCATTGGTAAATGCTCTTTGACGCCATTTATAACAAAGGACTTGAAGAACGAGACTAGACATATTCCACAAGTCCTGTCTGGAGAGTATGTACAATAAGTAATATCGGTGTAGATTGGAATAACCAGGCGCTAGAGATTGCCATTCGATTGAGACTTCTGGCGTATTTCGCCGAACATAACCGATAAACGATTGAATGTAAATCAGTTTATATACATTCATGTTACATTATTATATGCGTTGCGGCCCATTTGTGCCAATCTCTAGGTCCCAAATATTATGTATAGCTCCTTTAAGTTGACAATGCATGGTGCCATCATCGTCTCTACAATACGTAGGCATACATACACACTGCGCTTTTTAAAGTGATAAATCCAACAGCCCGTTTGATGTCAATTTTTATAATGAATTAATAGGATGACATTGTAATCCAATTTTATTGCGATATCACACATGACTATATCATTATTTCTCGCCTTGAATGCCAATCTCATCCCATCATCTGATGATAAAGGATAAAGCACACGACCGTTACACTTTTTTCATAAAGTGTTGTTTTACAATTTTATTTATGTAGCTGAGCAGGGTGGGGTATGACACTAATCCCCCCCCCCCGCCCCTGGATCCGCCCCTGTGATAACATATAATATACACACGACAGCTATATTTATAGTAGATCATTTATTTTACCCTTCAGTTTCTGTGTATGTTCAGGTATTTATCATAATAAACAATAATTTATAAGCTGGTTTTAAGAGCCTGGTTTGTAGCGGCTGGGCTACTGAATGTCTGATTTGTACGGTAGTCAATAAGTTTTAATTATGTACCGTCTCGGAACATTACGGCGAGTGTATTCATTTCAAGTATTTTCAAGAAACGCGAAAATAGATAAAATTGAAATAAGGTTTAACGTCTAATTAGGACGGGCCAAATTGTTGTTTTTTAGTATTTTTTTATAAAATGAAATGAAATGAAATGGGGTTGAACGTCCTACTGTTTTGCTCCTATACTGGGCTAATGAAGACGGGCATACGCCATACAGTGTGCTATGAGGGAAATTTTGCCCGGGCAGCGGCACTATCGCCTACTCTTATATCGAATTCCAACTGTCAGGGGATCTTTTACGTGCATTCCAATATATACACGGGACCTCGGTTTTTCGTCTCATCCGAAGGACTAGACAGCTGTCCTTGTCAGGACCTCCATTCTGCACCACTGACAAAAGGAAGGTTTTTTTATAAGCTATATTTTTTTTCAGATTTGTATCTGAATAGGAATTATGGAACAAAGTTCTATCACATATGTGATAATGACTGACACCAATATAGACCGATTTTTATTTTTTTATTCAGATTATTGTCTAATTTCACTGGGGAGCCACGGTGGCTAAGTGAGTAATACGCTGGCTCGCTAGACTGGAGGTCGCTTGTTCGATCCCTGCATTGACCGAGAATGTTTATCGGTATTTTCCGACGTGATTCCCCTTGTCAGTGGTGCAGGACGGAGGGCCTGAAAAGGACAGCTGTCTAGTCGTTCGGATGGTACGAAAACCCGAGGTCTCGTGTAGACATTGGCATGCACATTAAAGATCCCTTGGCTGTTAGAATTCGATATAAGTGTAGGTCATAGTGCCGCTGCCCGGGCAAAATTTCCCTTCCAGCACACTGTATGGCGTATGCCCGTCTTAATTAGCCCAGTCGGAGCAGAAAAGTAGGACGTTAAACCCATTTCATTTCTTATTATTCAAGTACGTGACGATCAATAAATAATACACTATGTGGTCAGTCAATGTAAACATTTTAGTTGTTAGCCAATTTTACTGATTGTTGATTGGGCGCTATCTGGTAAAGTTATGTAGCTTCATTTTTCGGGCCTAAACATTGCTTTTTCGTGTGCGTCAAAATTGACCGACTTCGACAGGAGTTGAATTATTCAGTTTAGAGGTTTAAAGGGAGATTACCCAAAAACAAAAATGTAGTTGTCTCCCTTATATCACAAATTCAATTCTGAGTTAAATTTAGAATTATCGTGTTACTCGTTCTGACAAGACCAAAGTTCACTGTAAAACTCCCATCGAGCTACCACGACCAAACATTCTTCTTTATATAGGTATTTTCATGACATTGCTAATGAAGATGGACATACGCCATACAGTGTGCTGTGGCCTACCTTACCTGTTTTATTGAATTCCAACTACCAAGAAGATAGATATCTTTTACGTAGGCTACATGCCAATATGTACATGGGACCTCGATTTTCCATACCATCCGATCGACTATATACATTGTCCCTCTGTCCTGTATCAATGTCAAGGAAAAACCCTGCAAGAAAATCCTGATGAACTTTCTCAACCAACACTGGGTGGGATCGAACACCCGACCTCCAGGCTAGCAAGCCAACATCTTACTCACTGACCCCCCCCCCCCCCCCCCCCCCACAATGAAACCACGTCATTTGTCCATTAAAGACAGCGATGGCCGAATGGTTAGTGCGTGCACGCTGTATCATAAGGTCTGTCATTGAGTGAATTGGCATGGTTTTCGATTCCCCAGTTGCATGTGACAAGGAGTAGGGACGCCTGTCCAACCTGATGGGTTTTCTCTGGGTCCTCTGGTGGTTTCCTCCCACTGCTAAAAATCCTTATGCAAAAGTGAATTGTTGAAATAGAATTGAAAATTGAACCATATGTTTGTGTCGAGTGGACATGCAAAAACTCATGCTGAAAACTAGCTGAAGGGAAGCTAAAACTCATGGGGCGCAAAACCCTGGGGATGCAAAAGTTCTAAACCCATGACGCAAAGTGCATCATTGCATCTCCTTTACTTAGCCCCTGGTTTAGTAACAGATGATTTTAAATATATCTCTTGTGTTTTCTATTTCAGAAACCAGAATCCGAGAATGGCATTAAAAGGCATCAAAGTTATAGAAATGGCTGGATTGGCGCCAGCACCGTTTTGTGGAATGATTTTGTCCGATTTTGGTGCAAGAGTTATAAGAGTAGATAGGGTAATTCGGTTGTTAGTTTAGAAATATAGGGAGCATGCAGATGTTTAGCTGTGGAAACCGAAATACCCGCCATATGAACCAGGAGGTTGGATCTGTTCCTCGTCTTGTTCAAGTTGGGAAGTTGAAGCCATGCCACTTATCTAAATCAGTGTGTTGGGTGTGTGCAGTGGATCATAAGGTCTCTCATTAAGTCAAGAGACGTGATTCCCTGCTTGTACGTGACAAGGAGTAGGGTCGCCTGTCCAACCTCGTTGGTTTTCTCTGGGTCCTCCGGTTTCCTCCCACTGCTAAAGACCCCTACACGCAAGTGAATTATTGAAATAAAATGGAACCATGTGTTAGTCCAAAAATGACCTAAGTTGTGTTGAGTGGACGTTGAACCTAATTTCTCTCTCACTCTATTATCTACCCCCCCCCCCCCCCCCCTTAGACTTTTCACTAATTTGATTGCAGCCGTAAGGAAAATTTGAAATTGGTCTTGTATTCTATGGATGTTTGGGGGGGGGGGGGGGGGGGATGGCCGAATGGTTAGCATGTGTGCGCTGTATCATAAAGTCTGTCATTACGTCAACTGGCGCTGTATCATAAAGTCTGTCATTAAGTCAACTGGCGTGGTTTCGATTCCCCGGTTGTACGTGACAAGGAGTAGGGTTGCCTGTCCAATCTCATGATGGGTTTTCTCCGGGTCCTCATGCAAGTTTCCTCTGGACTTAAACCCTATCTCTCTCTCTCTCTCTCTCTCTCTCTCTTTTGTCAGGTATTTATAACCTGATTTCTCCAAGGCAGTCAAGGAAAGTGCCTAGTCAAGTAGTCGTTCAGATAGAACGGAAAACAGATTTATAGCATTTTAAAAATTCTTGGAGAGTTGAAAATCAAAATAAGAGTGTAGCACAGCTGTCGGCTGTCAGGAACTGTCGTCAAGGCCAAATATCTCTCATTTTATTGTATTGCAGCCTAAAACACTGATGAATGCCGATCGTTTGAGTCGAGGTAAACAATCAATAGCGGTTGATTTAAAGAAACACGAAGGTAGAGAGGTAGTACGCAAATTATGTCAGACTGCTGACGTACTATTAGAACCCTTCAGACCAGGTTAGTACTTTTAACCAGGGCAGCACCAGCATCTTTGGCCATTTTATAAATCTTTGTGGAGTCAAACATCTGCATTTACCATCACCAACTCCTTGAGGACTAATCCCATGTGAAGTTTTGCTCTGGAATTGTTGGGGGTGGAGGGGGGTATCCCCACATTTAAATCCATTGCAACCTTTCATAAGAGCATTCAGGTATTTTTCATGAAACACCCCCCACCCATACCAAACCATATTTGGCTATGTATTACCTATTATACAATTACCAATGCATCTTACAAAGATATCTCGGAATCACCTATAGCCAATGAATGATCACGCTACCTAATATTAATGAAATGAAATGGGGTTTAACGTCCTACTTTCTGCACTGGGCTAATGAAGAGGTTCATACACCATGCTGTGTGGTATGAGGGAAATTTTGCCCAAACAGCAGCACTATGGCCTACTCTTATATCGAATTCCAACTGTCAAGGGATGTTTTACGTGCACGCCAATGTGTACACAGAACCTCTTTTTTTTTTCGTCCCATCCAAACGACTAGACAGCTGTCCTTGTCAGGACCTCCGTCCTGCACCACTGACAAGGGAAAACCACACTGGAAAAACCCAAGAAAATTTCTCTGCCAACCCGGGAGCTAACCTGAGGCCTGAGACCCCTAGCTTATAAAATATTTTATTAAATTGATGTGTTTTTATATGTTCAGGTGTAATGGAGAAGCTAGGATTAGGACCAGAGAGATTAATGAAGGATAATACAAGTTTAATTTATGCTAGATTGACAGGTTATGGACAGAATGGTTGTTTATCACATCAAGCTGGTCATGATATTAATTATATAGCTACTTCGGGTTAGTTCTACAATTTTATACTCTTCTATCAGATCATCCATTCTGCCCTGAATTGGCTAAATACACGCTCCAGATCATTTCCAATACCAGAAGCAATTTTTTGCTTGTGATTTTTAAAATTAGAAGCAAAAACAAAGTGTAACAAGCAAAAACTTTCAGTAAATCTAAAATTAATACAACATTTTTCTGCCTGGTGCCAAATGGAAGTATTGGAACAGAATTTGATCGTTTGGATCCATTTAACCACCACTTATTCACAAATGTGTATTTTATTGGTTTTTGCATTGACAAAATGTGGTAATCGTTGTTTAGACCAAAATACTACGTCAGTCAGTAGTATTTTAGTTACGTCTGTGTAAACCGTGTGAAATGGCCCGTTCGCCTTCTTAGGGTCAACACAGTTAGGGATAACATGATTGGTCAATAATATCACATGGTTTCAGTTTTGCATATATTATTTGTCGGGAAGGTGACATATTGTTATTTCATTGGTTAAGTTACGCGTGGCGGATTATATCTGGTCTCTTAGTTGAGACTTGGAGTTTGTTAAAGGAAAGTGAGTCTATACGCAAAATGGCGTCTTACGTATAATTTTATCTCAAACATTTTCAACCTTTTCACAGAATTAAGCTATAAAAAAATTAAAGTTTTCATATTTTAGTACGTTTTTTGCGTCTTTGCGTCCGCTAATTTTGAAGCCTGTTAACGTCCTATTTTTCTGCATATTCTGCAACCTCAGTCTGATTAGAATACAAATCTATAAAATTTCATTTCGTTTTTTTATAGTTTCGATGGCCTCCACTACTTGAAGATGTGAGCAGTTGTAGTGGGAGGTCGCGTCAGGGGTCATACGAGCGACTTTTGACCCTATGATGTCAGATATTTGATTAACTAATCAGCGTTGATGTTTCTAGTGGGATACCCACAGTTCCATGCATTGAACGCCAAGAACTGGCTTCAACAGACCGTTTCATTGGCTAATCCTTCACATTATCTAGAATGTGGGTTATATAACAACTCTTCCAGATCCTAGTGTTGTAAAGACAAGTAAAACGAAATTTTGAACTATAAAAAAATGAAACGAAATAGGATCTGTGTTTTAATCAGATTGTGACTTGTCTATGTCTAAATACACGCTAATGTGTACTTAAATTTATTATTTAGCGTTTAATTAAGAAAAGAAAATCAAAGTATCAACCTTAGGTAATCTCTTGGATTAAAAACAAACCGATCAAAAGGTTTTAACCAACAGGTGACACTTAACTTGATTATGTCATCTGCTGCTGAAATGAAATGAAATGGGGTTTAACGTCCTACTGTTCTGCTCCTAAACTGGGCTAAACTATGTCATACAGTGTGCTAGGAGGGAAATTTTGCCCGGACAGCGGCACTACGGCCTACTCTTATATCGAATTCCAACTGTCATGGGATCTTTAACGTGCACGCCAATGTGTAAACGGGACCTCGTTATTTTGTCTCATCCGAATGACTAGACAGCTGTACTTGTCAGACCCTCCATCCTGCATCACTGACAAGGGGGAACCACGCCAGAAAATCTGGATGAACTTTCTCGGCCAATGCAGGGATCGAACACCCGACCTCCAGGCTAGCGAGCCAGCGTCTTACCCACATAGCCACCATCTGCAAAGGAAATTGAATGCTGAGAGATAGAATTGAACGATGTTTAAAATGATATTGCTTTGAGATTGATATTCCTTTTAGAGATTCAATTTTCACAATATTGTAGTTTACAAGGGATTCCAAATTCTTCAATTTTTACAGGTGTGTTATATATTACAGGTGTTAGTTACAGGTGTGTTATATATTACAGATGTTTTATATATCACAGGTGTGTTATATATCACAGGAGTGTGTTATATATCACAGGTGTGGTGTTATATTTCAGGTGTGTTGTTATATTATAGGTGTGTTATATATTACAGGTGTGTTAATTATCATGTGTGTTGTTGTATCTTACAGGTGTGTTATCAAGTTTAGGAAGAAAGGGAAGTAAGCCCCATGCTCCTATTAATCTTGTTGCTGATTTTGCTGGAGGTGGTATGACCTGTGCTCTAGGTATAATGATGGCGTTGTTTGAAAGAAATACGTCTGGATTAGGTCAGGTGATAGATACCAGTATGGTCGAAGGTTCCGCATATATATGTAAGTAGGAAATAGAATGAAATGAGGTTTAACGTCTACTTTTCAGTATCTACTGGCCTAATAAAAAGAGAAATGGAGTTTAACTTCCACTCGACACAAACTAGGTCGTTTCTAGACTAACATATGGTTTAATTCTATTTCAATAATTTGCTTACGCATAGGGGTCTTTAGCAACGTGTGTAAACCCACGAGGTTGGACAGACGACAACCAGGGAATCGAAACTACAACAGTTGACTCAATGACAGACCCTATGATACAACGCGCAAGCGCTAACTATATTTTATGTTCTTAAATATCTATTTAGCAAAGTTTTGTTTTGTTTTGTTTTTTTATTTAGCCAAGTTTCTGTGGTCTACTAGAGACATGATGATCTGGGGTAAAGAAAAGGGAGATAATTACCTTGATGGTGGTGCAGCTTTCTACGATACGTATAAAACATCTGATGATAAATATATGGCTGTTGGCTCGTTAGAACCACAGTTCTTCATACAATTATTGAAAGGTAATTAACAACGAGGATCTTAATCAACTGATTATTACGGTGGCCTATTGGTGCAATTCATATAAGGTTTCCACCACAGAGAAAGGATTTTTTCATGGTTGTTTTTTTATTTACCAGTTTTCATTGTGAAAGACTTGTTCATTGTATTGCGAGAGAGAGAGAGAGAAATGGGGTTTAACGTCCACTCGACACAAACTAGGTCATTTCGGGACTAACATATGGTTTTTAATTTTATTTCAATAATTCGCTTGCACGTAGGGGTCTTTAGCAGTGGGAGGAAACCGAAGGACGCGGAGAAAACCCACGAGGTTGGACAGGCGACCCTACTCCTTGTCACGTACAACCGGGGAATCGAAACCATGCCAGTTGACTCAATGACAGGCATTATGATACAGCGCGCACGTGCTATCCATTCGGCCATCCAACTGCCCCTCATTGTATTGCAGAGTGAATGGTTCTAGAAAAAGGTATATGAATCAGCATCTGCTGTCATAAATCAGGGCTCGAACTAGTGGGCAACATGAACGAAATAGACGTCCAACCACCGCTGATTTCACCCTCCAAAGAACCTAGGGTGAAGTTGAAGTCGCCCTCGTGTCGCCGTATATTTATTGAAGGGCAAAAATATTCTGGAAACAGATTTACTGTATGTAAACAAACACGTGTGACTCAATGTGAGGCTCAAAGGGAAATGTGAAAATCAATCTATTTTCGGCTGAGTCACGAAGAGTCGATTAATTTCCAGCTAAGACTTGACAGTCATATATGTATAATATACATGTAAATCAATCTACTCTCAGCTCAATCACACAGTGTTGATTATTACTTGTCAATCAACGAGAATCCGCTTGTATTGAATATAGATTCATTCAGTAATTAGCATATTAAAACTGAAGGGGACGTTGTTGGGTATAATATTACAGACAATTGCCATTACCAGAGGTAATCCTCTGTATACAGAAGAGTATCCAATTTTGATGAAACTTAAAGGACAATATTGGTGTCAGTCATTATCACATATGTGATAGAACTGGTTAAACATGTTCCAAATTTAATTTTAACACAGAGATCATTGCTACGATAGATGCATAATGAAGGTTTCAACAATTGGAAGTGACAAACGCAAAAGGAAAACACAAGTTACCCTTCCATATAGCTGACACAAGTGACTACAGATACACTGGCGAATTTCTGCTCACTAATAATTCCTTCGAAGACCAAAAGTTGTTATATGAGACTGTAAGAGGATATCTGACAATTCAAAAAAGTAAATGAATGTCATTAGATAAGAGAATACGAGAAAAATAGAAAAAGTTTGTACATTCCCTTGTTTTTATTCATTCTATACTTAATAAAAACATGGTAATGCACAGACTTTTTATACGCCCACATTTTCATGTGGAAGTATATTGTCGTCGCCCCCGTCCGTCCGTCCACAATTGTTTGTGAACAGTCTACAGCTCACAATTTTTATCCGATTTCAATGAAACTTGAAATATAGGTTTATCACCCTAAGATCTCGGTTCCTTTCGATGTTGGCATGTATCGGACCGTAACTTCATGGATTATGGCCCCTGATTGTACGAAAAATCACGTTTTTAGCTTGTGAACACTGTAGAGGTCACAATTTTTATCTGATTTGTTTTAAACTTGAAATGTATGCTTATAACCCAAAGATCTTGGTTCCTTTTGATATTCGTGCATATCAGAACGTAACTTCCTGAATAATGGCCCCTGATTGTACAAAAAATCGCGTTTTTAGCTTGTGGACCCTATAGAGGTCATAATTTTTATCCGATTTAAAAAAACGTTTATCATATCACCGTTACACCCTAAGGATGACCGAGTTCGAATTTCGTGAAAATTGTCACAAAACTGACAGACAAAATGGCCGCCCCTCGTTCTCAAATTGCGTAAAAATATGGTATATCAAGGTTGTGGACCCTATAGAGGTCACAATTTTTATCCGATTTTGTTGAAACTTGAAATGTAAGTTTATAACCCAAAGATCTCGGTTCCTTTCGATATTTGAACATATCGAATTGTGATTTCCTGAATTATGGCCCTTGGAAAAATCACTTTCGTTTTAGCTTGTTTTCTATCCATCTCTCGAAAATGTGGGCGTATCCTGCCTGGCAGCCGCTGGTTCTATTTTTCTGTCGTGTTCTCTTTTCTAGTGACAGTCAATTCTTTTTATCCCAAATTTTAATTTTTCTCAAATTTATGAAATAAAAGTATTGTATTTTGCTTTTTTTTCCACAGGTTTGAACCTAGAATCGGAAGATATCACTCAATTTGATGATCAGAACGAAATGAAAAAAACATTCACACAGAAATTCGCCACAAAAACCAGAGACGAATGGACGGAAATATTTGAAAAATTAGACGCTTGTTGTACACCCGTATTAAGTTTAGACGAAGCCTCGTCACATCCACACAACGTGGAAAACAAAACATTTTTAAAATCCGACGATGGAAACGTGGAGCCAGGTCCAGCTCCGAAATTATCGAGGACACCTGCTGTAAATAAGTTATTACCGTTTCCAGTGATTGGTCAGGATAGTGTGGATATATTAAAGGAAATGGGTTATAATGAGAATAATATCGATAATTTAATCAAGAATAATATCGTAGAGCAGAACATGACGACAAAATCTAAACTCTGACATGAACATTAAATAAAGGATATATTTTTGTTATGGTTAAACACATGGTCACTTTGTTATTTATATGTAAAATTAGCATTGGAAGACATGTAGGCCCATAACACACAGCATGGCTTATGTCTGTCTTCATTAGCCAGGCCCAAGTTCACAAAGCATTCTCAGATGAAATTTAAGGTCCTACTGTTCTGCTCCGACTGGGCTAATGAAGACGAGCATACGCCATACAGTGTGCTATGAGGGAAATTTTGCCGGGGCAGCGACACTATACCCTACTCTTATATCAAATTCCAACTGCCAAAGGATCTTTTACGTGCACGCCAATGTACACACGGGACCTCAGTTTTCCGTTCCATCACAGCTGTCCTTGTCAGGCCCTCTGTCCTGTGCCACTAACAAGGGGGAACCACACCGGAAAATCTGGATGAACTTTCTCGGCCATTGCAGGAAACACCGGACCTCCAGGCTAGCAAGCCAGTGGCTTACCCGCCAATGTAATAAAATAAACAACCAAGTACTTAATTTAATGATTTAATTATGAGTTGAAAGTATTTTACATCGGAATCCAATTACAAAAAAATTTGTATATTTTATAATGGTCTAACTAGGTATAGTATAAATCTCTACAACCATATATATATATTATATATATACAACAATATTACATACCAAACAACATCACATAAACTTATCACTAGCCCCACCCCCTCCCCTAAAGTAAAAACAATTATTACTAGGCCTCCTCCTCATCTCACTAACACACCCACCCACCCTAAAATAAAAACAATAATGAGGACTCACTCCACTAATGATCACTAACCCCTCCCCACCCCCTAAAATAAAAAACAAATAATCATCACTAACCCCTCCCCACCCCGTAAAATAAGAACAAATAATCATCACTAACCCCACCCCCAAATAAACATTACTAACACCTCCCCTCCCCCCCCTTTAAATGTCATCGGAAAAGCTTTATAATTTTTTTAAATAATACAACTAATTATGTGAACATATCCTTTCCATAAGAATAACACGAACCTGAATGTCAATATTACCTGCAATAGGTAAATTTCAACTTTAGTAATTTTCGCCGTTCTCCATGGGTAGTGGTAACTATTCGTCAATAAACAATCTGTGACGTCATTTTAGTCCTTATGTTGACATAATTACTTGCTTTATTTAAAAATTTTTTTAAGCTTTTCCCATGACCTTTAACATAAAAACAATCATTACTAGCCCTCGTCCTCAACCCACTAATCATCACTAAGCCCCTCCCCCCACCCCCACCCCTAAAATAAAAACAAATAATCATTAGTAGCCCTCGGCCTCAACCCACTAATCATCACTAACCCCTCCCCCCACCCCTAAAATAAAAACAATCATTCCTAGCCCTCCTCCTCACCACACTAAATCAAAACAATTTTAATCACAATATTATTATTATTACACTTTCTACAAAATAAAACAATTTTATACATTGAAAGACATGAATATTAGCATATTATATATTAGATATTATTTTATGATCAGTAGTGGAATACCGCGATTTATCAGTGAAATAAAAGTGTTATTCCACTGGCTAGTTGTTTTTACCTAAAATGATTGAAAAATCATAAAATAAATAGAACATTTGTTGTTTTGTCGTGAATAACATATTTTATTTCATCTCTAAGCAAGAAAACGTTTATATTTTCACTCATGCTACGCATTCGTGAAAATATAAGTTTTCTTGCTTCTCGATGAAATAAAATATGTTATTCAAGACAAAACGACAAATATCCTCTATATATTGATTCTTGAAGGTATAATATAAAAGTTCAGGACCCGATTACTCGAAGCCCATGTTAAGTTATGTGTATAGTCTTATAGAGCTATAAAGATTTCTGAATTAACCCTTTTGAACAGATTCACAAAAACTTTAACTAAAATATTTTAAATAAGTTATGTGTACTGTTTTATAGAGCTGTAAACATTTCTGAATTAACTCTTTTGCAACTGGAATCAGATTCACAAAAACTTTAACTAAAACATTTTAAAAAGAAAGCTGCAAAACAAATCAACAGCAGAAACGTTTCACATCACAAGTTATTATCACTGTAGTTTTGACAAGATGTGTGCATTATGGTAACCAGGGCACTGTATATTCAAGACTTTGCCTCGCTTTCCCATTTTTAAATTAAAATTTTAAATGGCGAACCGTTCTAATCTAGTAAAAATCTTGAGTATCCAATGCCATCGAGAGTTGATTATGATTTTGTTTTGTTAATAAATGTCTAATTAATAGTTTAGATATCATTTCAGGCCTAAAGAAAGACCCGCAATAGGAAGATTTAGCTCTTGCATAATGTAGGTTTAAGAGAGATTAAATCCTAATGACAGTCATGTTTTGTTTTTAAAGAGGATGAAAAAAAACAAGGATTCCGAGTCCTCTACATTTACATCAGTTGCTGACGAAATTTGCATAGAGAAAACACAAAAGATTATAATTGGCCTGTTATGCATAATTCATATAACACATAAACTATAACACAACCATTTATATGGAATACATTCACTGTGCTAGAGATAGAGAGGGCCACTCGACACAAACATGGTCATTTCGCGACTAACATATGGTTCAATTTTAATTCAATAATTTCCTTGCGCGTAGGGGTCTTTAGCAGTGGGAGGAAATCAGAGAACCCGGATAAAAACCCCCGTCCTGCCTCACTGACAAAAGGGAACCATGCCAGAAAATCTGGTTGAACTTTTTCAGCCAATGCAGGGATCGAACACCCGACAACCAGGCTAGCGAGCCAGCGTCTTACCCACTTAGCCACTGTGACCCCACCAGTAAGAGAAAGATGGTAGACTAAATATTGCGTTATATGTAGAGAGAGAAAGAAATAGGGTTTAACGTCCACTCGACACAAACTAGGTCATTTCGGGACTAACATATGGTTTAATTTAATTTCAATAATTCGCTTGCGCGTAGGGGTCTTTAGCAGTAGGAGGAAACCGGAGGACCCGGAGAAAACCCACGAGGATGGACAGGTGACCCTACTCCATGTCACATACAACCGTGGATTCAAAACCACGCCAGTTGACTCAATGACAGGCTTTATGATACAGCACGCATGTGCTAATCATTCAGCCATCCACCCCCCCCCCCCCCCCCCCCGAGTTATTTGTATTACAAACAGTGATAGTATGCTATATAAATGGCCGAGATTTTTACTCAATTCTAAATGACTCTCAAGGATTAAAATTATAGCCTTGTTCATATTAAAACAATATTTTTTTTTAAAGAAAATTACATATAAAAGTTATAAAAGCACGCTGAATAATGATTATTAAAATCAATGATTAAAGTTGATGTCAACAGAATAATAGGAATTGATAAATATTATATTATAATACAAACTGAACATTTAAATATTACAAACAAACTATTTACAATTTTTGATCAGGAAATGTTTTTTAAAACAAAAAGACGTCTAAAAGCTGTAGAAAAAAGAGAAGATCATTTTCAACAAAAAACTACTAATGTAGTGGATTTCTTGTTGTTTTGACGAGCTTTATTTCTAACTAGAACTAAAAATGGAATATTGTGAAATAAAGACCTGTTTCTCGAAATCTTAACTAAAGATAAAATCCAAATTTTAGTAGATACTTCAATTTTGAAAAAGCTAAGCACTAAAATCAATCTAATATTGTAACATGCTTAAGGGTGAATCTTGCGTTTTGATTGGTCAATTAGACACTGTCGATTGGACAATAACACCCCTCTGTTTTAGTAATTTCTTTTAAAATCCTAAAATAGAATGTTACAATGTCGATAAACACTTCCTGTTTCGCATTTAGAGGGGTGTTATTGTCCAATAGACAAGACAAATACCACAACAAGTAGAATGTAAACCTATATTATCATAACTTTCCTTATAAATATTCAATTTCCAACTCAAATCTAAAAAAAAACTTTAAAAATTGGTATTCAGCAGATCGCTTTAAAAACCATCCGGAGCAAAATCATGTCCACAATAAATGAAGACTTATAAAACTTTAAAAACTGGAGCATGGCCAAGTGCACTAAACACCCACCCTGGAGCAAAGTCATGTCCGCACGTGACAACGATATATATGTCTATATGTCTACAATAAATGAAGGTATATAAAAACTTTAAAGGAAAATTGTCTTGCCATTTTAGAATTGAGCAAATGACCTAATAATGAGAATAATCTCCGTATATAGAATAAGTAGAACTGCGTTACGATGTTATTAACTGGATGGAAAATGGCGAAAAATGTCCAAGTTTTGTACTTTTAACTTTACCTAACTTTTAAAGATACATTAAAAGAGATTTAGATAAAGAGCTAGCCATTCTTGCTATAATAGTTCGAAGATAGATAATGTAAAATGAATAATTTGAAAATTTCATTCAAATTACTCTACTGCGAGCGAAGATTTTGAAGGTTTGACGAGACATATGCAATAATTTCAGCCACCGTACTGATTGTTCGAAGCTAATTCCCGCTCCTCCATTTTAGCTTAAATCAAAATATGTCTGAACTATCTAATATCAGAGAAATCTGATGCCATCGAGAGTTGATTATGGCCTGGATAAGTTAATTAATATCTAATTAATAATTTAGAAAACATTTCAGGCCTAAAGAAAGACCTGCAATAGGCAGATTTAGCTCTTGCATAATGTATGTTTAACTTTCACATAAAACTGGTTTTCACAACAAAGTGGTGGGGTGTAAAATGATGTAATTTATGATCAAGCTATTTTTGACATACTTTACAAAAAATCTACAAACAAGGTCTATAAAGACAATTTTTTTAAAAAGTAAAAGTGATTTCGTTTTCCGCTTGAATAAAAGTTAAGAAAGAAACGACTGACTTGTCTATGACAGGGTGTATAAATCTTTTATGATTGGTTAATTAATCACATACAGCAAGCACCCTATTTAATAATATCAATAATATCAATAATAATATGAAGAGCCCGGGGGAAGAACGATCTAAGTCACTTTTTCAACGAAATCCAGTTAATGACGCCATCTAGTAGCAAATTGTATAAGCTTTCTGTGGAACAATAAATTTCAGGTAAAAACGATCGGAGTCGCATTGAACCAGGACGCTTCTGGAATGGCCTCACGGACAAATACAAGTCCATTGTACCTTTTATTTGACCTTAATTTGGCTGAAAAGTTGAAGTCAGTTGTTGTACTGGTAATTATGATTCGTATTTAAACATCATTTTGAAGTTGTAATTAAACCCACTCGTTGTTCTGTTTGCGTCAAGTATTCTCGTCCAAAAGTCGGTTTTGCCTTTTATGCGAAAAGACAAAAATGTGACTTTGATCGTTCTTCCCCTGGACTCTTCATATCAATATTATTACAATATCTGTAATATTGAACACAAACCAGTGTTATTAGGCCGTATAAAAAAAATATTTTGGTTCTGGTTCTCAGTTGATCCTGTGTCACTTCACTGTAACCCGTGTAATCATTTAATCTTGTGTATCTAGCACTAACTTCATTTACGTTTGTTTAATATCAAGTCTTTGTTTAAAAAATCGTTAAATTCGTTTAAAATCACCCAAAAATCAACTAATTTGTACTTATGTCCAGTTTAAAGCTGACCATTCAATTTTGGTAATGAGTGTCCAATTTAATTTACAAGCATTTAATTTCTGGATCACTGTTAAAAAATAAACAACGCAATTTGACAAAATAAAAACACAATCACAAAAATAAAAACCTCCGTCCCTCACCAGATTTTTGGTAAGGATTGTTTAGGAGAGAGAGAGAGAGAGAAATGAGGTTTAACGTCCACTCGTCCACTCGACACAAACTAGGTCATTTCAGGACTAACACATGGTTTAATTTTATTTCATTAATTCGCTTGCGCATAGGGGTCTTTAGCAGTGGGAGGAAACCGGAGGACCCGGAGAAAACCCACGAGGTTGGACAGGCGACGGATTGTTTAGGAACCAGAATATTTCATTTGTATGGCCTTAATATTAGTAAAATGGTTTTGAGCAGCATTAATGCTTTTAAGTTCAACTGGAATAGAAATTAACTTCTATAATGGTTAATCCAGGAACCAATTTGTTAGTCTAAAACTTTACATTCCCAGTATTAAAACACATGTAATTTTAAATACTTAAAATCAATCTACAATTAATTTTTTCCTCGGTCTAAAACTTTACATAATCCAGTCAACTTAAACTCGGGATGCAAAAGAGGCAAACTAATTTTTTTGTTAATATATTTTAATTTATTTTACTTAAATCAGTCCACAAAGATTGATTAATTTGTTGATAGATGTAAGTGGTTAGTAAGTTATCTGTATCATGATACAAATTAATATCAGACCATTGGGTTTTTTTCATGAGATATTAATGATTAATATTACAGACACTCTAGAAAAGTTACTGGTCAGAGATCAAGACTTTCACTTCTTCGCTGTCAATTTTCGTCACATTTTATTTATCAAAGATTATCAGGGGCGGATCCAGAGGGAGGGGGGGGGGAACCCCTCTGCTCAGGTATAAATTTAAAAAAAAAAAAAAGCACTTTTATGAGAAAAGTATTACAGTCGTGTGCTTTATCCTTTATCACCAGATGATGGGATGGGATGGGCATTCAAAGCGCGAGATAATGATATAGATATATGTGATATCACATTTAATGCTTAGCATCAATGGAATTGAACCACAATTTGATCCTATTAATTCATGATAAAAATTGACGTCAAACAGGCTGTTGGATCTCTCTCTTTAAAAAGCTCAATGTGTATGTATGCCTACGTAATTTGGAGACGATGATGGCATCATAATACATTGTCAACTGTCAAATTTCTTTAACAAGAACCTGGCGAACCCCCTCCTGTAAAAATTCCTGGATCTGCCCCTGATTATATGCTGATTTTTTTAACATTATCCTGATTTATTTTTATATTTTTAAGCATTTCTACACATAAAAACTACTTTGAAAACTACTAGTTAATTCCTTTGCAATTCTAATTTTATAAATTGACTGACAATTTGACTGTCAGTCAGTCAAAACCAGTAAATATTAGTGAAACAAAAGCCCCTGCAACAGACTAAAACAAAACACAGACGATGGAACATTTTAGCCAAACATCCATGAAAACATCGTTCCGATCGATTTGTTTCCACGTCTGCGGGTTTAAAAAAACACAAACAAAAATGTTTCGATAAAATGTTTGAGAAATCACACTTGTTAGATTTTTGGGTCATCTGTGTTGAAGCCGAACATTTGCGGAACATTTGTTTCCACATCTGCGGCTTGGAAAAAACATAAACAAAAAATATGATCGTAATATACACGGGTTGACCGAGATAATTGCCATATTGTCTCTGTTTGTATATAGTAGCTGACCATATAACTGACACTGGTGGTCTTCAATCCATTGGATGTTTTAATCCACGTCGTAAAAACCCTGTGTGTTCTCGAGAGCCGTCACTAATTTAGTCCGTAATTCATGATAGTCCTCATATGGTGGCAAGTCTAATCTGTTGAAACTGGAAATAAAACGTAAATAATTGAAATGGGAAAGAGAGAATGGCATTTAATGTCCACTCGACATTTCGGGACTAAAATATGGTTCAGTATTATTTCATCATATGGCAACAAGTCTAATCTGATGAAACTGGAAATAAAATGTAAATATTTGAAATTGGAAAGAGAGAATGGGAGAGAGAATTGGCTTTAACATCCACTTAACACAGAGAGAGAGAGAGAGAGAGAGAGATGGGGTTTAAGGTCCACTCGACACAAACAAGGTCATTTTGGGACTAACATATGGTTTAATTTTATTTCAATAATTCGCTTGCGCGTAGGTGTCTTTAGCAGTGGGAGGAAACAGAAGGACCCGGAGAAAACCGACGAGGTTGGACAGGCGATCCTACTCCTTCTCCATTACAATCGGGGAATCGAAATGACTGACCTTATGATCTAAAGAACACAATCGGTACAATTTAACTTTCTAGGCCAACACTGGGATCGAACCTGGGACCTCCAGGTAAGCGAGTCATCCCGACGACTCCACACACGCCAATATCATAATAGTGAAATGGGGTTTAACGTCCTATTGTTTTGCTCCGACTGGGCTAATGAAGACAGGCATACGCCATACAGTGTGCTATGAGGGACATTTTGCCCGGACAGCGGCACTACAGCCTACTCTTGTATCAAATTCCAACTGTCAGGGGATCTTTTACATGCACGCCAATGTGTACACAGGACCTCAGTTTTTCGTCCCATCCGAACGACTAATATGATAATAAATGAGAACATACCATGTATGAGCTCTGGGTAATTGCGTTATCTTTCCCCATTTTTCTATCGTAAAAAGTTGCGGACCATTACTGCCGTAGAGTTCTGCGAAACCGTTCATGGGAACTCTGGATGTTCCCGTTACAAATTGTAGAAGACGGGCCCTCATTTCATTGGGGAATGAATAAACAACCTGTAAGATATAATTCAAATGTTCAGTTTATAAAAAAATACAAAATATTGTGTTCCAGTTACGATGTCGGGGAGTGCTCCTACGGATAGCCGTAAACTGTTAGAACTGGACGGTTAAACGGTTCGAATTCAACGGTATGGTTATTCGGATATGTCCCCCATTACATAGAGTTGTGTCTGATTATATTCCTCTTGATAACAAAACTTGCCCGTTGTCATTTTGAATTTGATGTTTGAAAATCTAACATGTAACAGTCATCCTACGATGTCGACTGCTAAAAAATAATACAATTAATAGCACTCGTCGTAGTCATACGGCAAAGTCAACGGACATTGTTCTGACTTTTGCTATTGTTAATCCAATCTAAATACTTCTCGGCATTTCTAACTATATTCTACTTTATTTATTATTTACTTAAAAACGTAACCACCATTCAAAATATAATCATAAAGGCTAGAAAATGACATTATACTAGATTCGTTACGACATTCAACACGTTTCATATCTCGTAATTTATCGCGAGAATTCTACTTTGGATTTTAGTTAAATTAACCAATCATAAAAATTCTACTTGCAAGCGAGGAATTATTTCTTAATTGTCCAATCAATAGACGCCTTCCAATTTACTTTATTCTATTCTTTGTGTAACATTGTGTAATCGTAATATTATCGCCATATGTCATGTACGAAGGGAAACAGAGTATTGTTTTGTATATTATTGTAATATTGAATTAAAAAATGTTTCAAATGAACCAAGTAAACCAGGTAAACAAATAACTATGGCCTTAGATAGTTTAAATTTTCATTAAAGAATTGTACATTTCTATGAAACAATTTTTGCGCGTATAATGCTTATTAGGCAAGTATAGCGTGCGCATGAGTAATGACTCGCACCTCCTGACAAGCTCTGTTTTATGTTTAAAATTGATACCATACAGTTAAATGGTTACTAACCGGTTAATAGCTACGGTTATTCAAATAAGAAAAAGGTCCTAACCGTAGGAGCACTAATGTCAAGTTCTTAAAAATATGTAGAAGAAAGTTTTAAGGTTACAATGTCAAGTTCATAAAATAAACTGCATACACATACTTTTTCGTATGATTCATGGAACGGACCCTGACCAGCAAGTTGTCAAAATTCATTTGGGGTACCCGATGAGAAGAAGATTGTCTTGTCATCGATTTGCAATATTTTGATTTTAATCAAATGTTAAAGATACATTAGGTAAGATTGGGTAAAGAGAGCTGGCATTTCTCACTATAATAGTTAAAAACTAGATAATGTAAAGGGAATATGCTGAAAACCTTATTTTAACCTTATGTCATTGTTAGCTCCGTCACGATAAGTAACACAGTCTCGATTATCCATTTTTGCGATAGACGTTTGACCACAAATCCAAAGAAAATCGGACAGATAAGATGGCATCAAGAGTTGATTATGGTCTTTTCATGTTAATAAATATCTAATTAATAGTTTATAAAACATTTTAGACCTAAAGAAAGACCTTCAATAGGTAGATTTACCTCTTACATAATGTATGTTTAAGTAATCAATTTTAGTGTGGAATTAGCAGTGAAAAATGCCAAGGATGATCATTGGCTATAAAAATAAACTGCTGACTGAAAGATAAACTGTTAATGTTTATTGAGCTGCAATAGACAGATTTAGCTGTTGTATAATGTGTGTTTAATGAGTTTACCTTCCAGAAACAGATAATAGTAGGGTGATTAGGGTTATATTCTCCTTTATATGCTGTATGTGACTTCCAATCATTGACATCTATATCTTGTAAACCACACATCAATAACTATATAAAAAATAAATATACATTCATTTATATCCTCCTCAAGGGGGGTTGGATGGCCAAATGGTTAGTTTTATCATAAGGTCTGTCACTGAGTTAACTGGCATGGCTTTTCAATCCCCTGTTGCACGTGACAAAGAGTAGGGTCGCCTGTCCAACCTCGTGGGGTTTTTCCGGGTCCTCCGGTTTCCATCCACTACTAAAGACCCCTACGTGCAAGCGAATTATTGAAATAAAGTTGGACCATGTGTTAGTCCTGAAATGACCTAGTTTGTGTTAGGGTACCTTGGTAGTCAAGGGGTAATAGCCTCTCGACCAAAGACTATAATGTACAACACCCTACTGTTCTGCTCCGAACAGGGCTTTAAAGGAAATTTAGCAGAGACAGCGACGCTACGGTCTATTCTTATATCGAATTCCAACTCCCAAGGGATCTTTTATGTGCATGCCAATGTGTACAAAGGACCTGGGTTTTTGTCCCATCCAAATGACGAGACAACTGTCCGTGTCAGGCCCTACATCCTGCACGACGCCAGAAAATCACGATGAATTTTGACAGCCAAGACCAGGACGTAAACCATGATTTAAAGTGCACATAAGATGGGTGGAAAAACTTTTTAATGGGTGTAGCGAGTAATTACTATATCCACTTTACGCCAAGTTCACGCCAATCTGGTTGAAATTAATTCAGCTATCTTCACTCAAAGTCGTAAAAATTGACCTTCCGTGAAAACGACTTTGCCAATTATCGAAAACACTCTTAATCCCCTCAGACGCCAGTGACCGAATGCATATTCGGAATGTTTATTCCTTAATTACCTATATACAGCCGGCGTGTGTATTCTTTAACGCCTGAAGGATTCCTTAATCCCCCTAATTAAATAAAACAATTGACTACGGAATAATTTGTTTTGTAATTCATTTTGATTTAAGATCCAATTGAGAGTGCCTACAACTTTTAAACTTTGAAGTCTTGAACTCTTAATTAATTTTTTACAATATGGAACTTATTGGACGAACACTTTTAATATGTAAATAATATACGGGTCCAGCTATGTGGTTTTTACTGCGAGCACTTCGCTTTTTCACATAAAGTGTAGTGTCGTTAATATCTGTCATTAATTAATCAATCCGGCTATAAAAGTTATACGATATCTGCGATATCACCTCGGTGGAAGCGGGCGTAAATTACAACTAACTAACGACAACAACGAGTTATACAGGCATGGGCCATAAATTAATTTACACGTTGGTGTTAGCAGTGAGTGTTAGTGGGATTAAGAATGTTGATTAGGTAATTATCTTTTTTTACGCCGGCCAGATCAAAGACGTCACTAAGTGGAACGTATGCGTAATACCTCACGAACGAACTAATGGTAGAATCATACACACACACACATTAATTGTATAAAATAATTAAGTTTTACTAATAAGTTGTTTAAAATTACTATATATCCAATAATTATTGCTCACTGGTGTTTTTGTAATCAAGTTGCCTCGTATTATTTGTTGATTGGCGTTTAAAACACATTTAATTGATGGATGGATAAACGTTTTTGATACCATTATGTTATAATGTCTAACATCGGTTATTTTCTTTATAATAAAAGTATTTTACAATTGCATTGACAGTTTAATCACTCACCAAACGGCACCAGGAACCCCACGAATGATCCCATGCAATTTTCGCGGCGAAGTTTAACTTCATTTACTACACCCGTAGTACATGGAACGGTACATGGTAATAAGATACCAAGCGTTGATTGGCAGAGAAATGAGTGCGATCTATTGTACATGTTATGCATAGTCATCGGAAAATTCCATATTCACTGCAGTTGTTCTTTATGTATAGAAATGGTTTTTATTATTATATATAGCTAATAATGAATATATCGACAAATGACTGGCACCATTTGTATTTCTGTACTTAAGTTTGGGATATCAAGTATTACGGGGTTATCCAAATTACCGGTAAATGCGCTAATTTCTTGAGTCATCTTCATTTGACACGTGGCCTATTTAAACAAAGGAAGCTGAAAATGATCTACGGCATGATACAGCATTTTAAATTCACTCTAAAATATTCCAATCACAAATGTCTAATCTATACCAATGAAAGACGATAATTCGGTGATTATGATCAGGCCAGTCACGTGGTAATTGGACCGTCAATAGACGCTTGTCCAGTTGCCGTGTGTATTGATAGTGCAATACTGTACAGACAGTGAGATATTGTATAGATAATGTATATCCTATGTGTAGTGCCTGTGACGTCACCAGCCAATCAACCGGATTAAGGTCGTAATTGAAAAATCGAAAAGCGTTTTTGCGTGTCGGATACTTAAACGTTAACAGCGGACTTAATTTTAATCAGATTGGTGTGAACTTGCCGTAAAGTTGATATAGTAACCATGGGCTATACATACATGCAATTTAGATTTTTGATCTTACGTGGTCTTTAAAAACCTGGGACAAGCACGCAACATTTGGGGTCCAACCAAACATAATCTGATCAAAATAGATCTACATTTCGTTTCGTTTTTTTATACTTTCGATGGCCTACACTACATGAAGATCTGACAGGTTGTAGTGGAAGGTAGCTTAATGTGTGCTGTCCTAAAGTTGAACTAATTTCTACCATTTTTAAAATAAATAAGGTTAATTACAATAATCAATCTCACCTCTAATTCATTTTCATCAAATATTTGTATAAGATTCTGAGTTAATATCGTGTTAAAACCCTTCATTAATGACTTCATCTGTGATTCCACTCGAGATACAAAACGATATTTTATCACTAACCTGAAATACATATACATAAAATAAAATGGATGAAATAGTGTCCAGTTCACATAATTTAAGGCATTTGTTTGTAACTTTTGAAATAAATAGGTAAACTACTTAGGGGAGAGAGAGAGAGAGAGAGAGAGACAAGACTTTTTAGGTACTGCACCATTGACAAGGGGGAACCACTCTGGATAAACCAGATGATCTTTCTCGACACCCTCCTACCACACAGCATGGCTTATAATTAGTCAGGTTGGATGTTAAAACAGAGAGAGAGAGAGAGAGAATGAGAGATGGATGGGGGTTTAAAGTTCACTGACACAAACTAGGTCATTTTGGGACTAACATGGTTCAAATTTTATTTCAATAATTTGCTTGTGCGTAGGGGTCCTTAGCAGGCTGGAGTCCAACACTGAAACTATTCAGTTGTTTTTCAGATAACTAGTATCATTATGTATAACAATCGTTGTGAAAATAAATTGGAGAGATTTCGATTTGACATTTTTTTATTTTTGAAACAGAGAGAGAGAGAGAGAGAGAGAGAGACCCTGAGAAAACCCACGAGGTTGGACAGACGACCCTACTCCCCTACTCTTTGTCGCATAAAACCCCATGTACATGGAACCTCAGGTTTTCATCCCATCCAAATTGACTAGAGACATTGGTTTAAAGAGAGAGATAAATGAGGTTTAACATCCACTCGACACAAACTAGGTCACTTCAGGACCAACACATGGTTCAATTTTATTTCAATAATTCGCTTGTGCGTAGAGATCTTTGGCAGTGGGAGGAAACCAGAGGACCTGGAGAAAACCCACGAGGTTGGACAGACGACCTTACTCCTTGTCACGTACAACCGGGGATTCGAAACCACCCCAGTTGACTCAATGACAGACCTTATAATACAGCATGCACATGCACTGGATTAAGAGAGAGAGAGAGAGAAATGGGGTTTAACGTCCACTCGACACAAACTAGGTCATTTCGGGACTAACATATGGTTCAATTTTATTTCAATAATTCGCTTGCGCATAGGGGTCATTAGCAGTGGGAGGAAACCGGAGAACCCGGAGAAAACCCACGAGGTTGGACAGGCGATCCTACTCCTTGTATAGCTTCTCCTTGGGCTTCAGGGAATACTCACTCAATATATTCTAATTTATTATCATTTGTCACTGGTATATTAGCTCCATTTGGTTTCAGTTCAAATTCTTGAATCTATTTTATATAAAACAAAAAAATACGATTAAATTAAAATACTGAAAACTACTGGATAAAAACCATGTCATTTCGGGACTAACATATGGTTCAATTTTTTTCAATAATTTGCTTGCGCATAGGGGGTCTTTAGCAGTGGGAAGTTGGACCTTATGATTCAACGTGCACGTCTTAACCTGTTTACATTCAGCCAATCAAATATTGGCTTTCATAGCGATAGTTTGCTCTTTACTTCCTGTCGAAGTGAAAGATTGAAATGACTGTGCCGTCAACATTATGTTATAATTAGACTCAATACAATATCAATGAAATAAGAACACTTAAAATAGGGTTGTTCACGTAACCATTTTACTTGCTTCTATTAAGAGACTCTAAATCATGCAGATGTAGAGAGCAAAAAAGCAAAATTTTGATAATTCTACTGCGACCTCTGATTATCAACGTGACTAGGTGGTTAAGACACTGGCTCGCTAGCCTGGAGGTCGGGTGTTCGATCCCTGCATTGGCCGAGAAAGTTCATCTGGATTTTCCGACGTGGTTTCCCCTTGTCAGTGGTGCAGAACTGAGGGCCTGACAAGGACAGCTGTCTAGTCCTTCGGATGAGACGAAAAACCGAGGTCCCGTGTATACATTGGAATGCACGTAAAAGATCCCTTGGCAGTTGGAATTCGATATAAGAGTAGGCGATAGTGCCGCTGCCCGGGCAAAATTTCCCTCATAGCACTCTGTATGGCGTATGCCCGTCTTCATTAGTCCAGTATAGGAGCAGAACAGTAGGACGTTAAACCCCATTTCATTTCATTTCATTTTGATTATCAACACAATTATTTATGAATTATTTTACCAATATTTAAATAATTGGAAACTAGTTTAAAAATCCTATACAAACTCAAATTACCTCGCCAAACTGGTCTTCTTCTACTGAGAAATTTAATTCTAAATCAGCAGGATCATTTTCTTTTATCCAGATCAGAGAATTATAATATTCAGAATCCTGAAGAAAAAAAAAGGCAAAAAATAGGTTGCCAGGCAATGAAACATACGCCAACAACAGCTAAATCGTCCGAGCGGTTGACAAGGGTTGGTGCATTTATTCTTTTGTAGATAATTGGGGGCATTTATTTACAAGACAATTTCATACAGATCAGATTATAATTTTCTTTGTTTGAAGGTTCTATAAATTGAAAGAAGTAATTTACAGAAAATGTTGAAATTCGACAGGTTTTTTTGTTTTACTTATTCAAATAATGCATATAAATTCTATACAGATCCGAAGATAATTATTATCGTTCAAGCGTTGACATGGTCCAATGAAGTGAAACAAGGGCCATAACTCTAAAAGTAATTAACAGAAATAGGTGAAATTCTACCAGCTTCTTCAGTTCACTAATTTAAATGATGCATATAAATATAAATTTCAAACAGATCAGATGATAACTTTTGTCATTCAAGCATTCACAAGGTTTAACAAAGCCAAACAAGGGCCATAACTTTAGACATAATTAACAGAAATTGCTGAAATTCGATAGGATTCTTCATTTCACTAATTTATATGATCGGATGACAATTTTTGTCGTTATCACAAGGTTTAACAATTTCTCATAAGTTGTCTCCCCTTTTGAACACAAATTTCAACTGAGTCATGTCTAGAAATCGTACTTACCACTGACTCCATGTCTTTCAATGTGATTGGTTTCCGTAACATCATTTTATAGAACGGACGAATGAAAAAACCTATAATAAAAAGTTCATTTGTGTTAACTGGTTTAACTGGTGACCTTTTGGGGATACTTGATTGAAAGTTTTGGAATTGATATCTCTCAAACCCTCAAAAGGTGTCAATCAACTGTGAGAATTTCCGGATAAACTTAATATAATGCTATGTTCGCATTATATCTGTTTTTGGGACTGATAAAACTATGCTTCAAATGTATTTCAATAATTTGCATGCGCGTAGGGGTCTTTAGCAGTGGGAGGAAACCGGAGTACCCTGAGAAAACCCACGAGGTTGGACAGGCGACTCTTCTTCTTGTCACATACAACCGGGGATTTGAAACCACGCCAGTTGACTCAATGACAGACCTTATGATACAACGCGCATACGCTGTCCTTCGGCCATCCAACCTCCCTAGGAAATACAAGACTTACCATCTAATAATTTTCCGTGATATATAGCCATACCAGCTATTCTTCCTATAAACTCAAAGAATGATAGATGATCTTCATTGGCCATCCATGATAACGGATTAATCTGAAGTGTGTAGTTATCTCTGAAATATTCATAAACACTCTACGTACCAAAATATATATAGAGAGAGAGATGGGGTTTAACGTCCACTCGACACAAACTGGTCATTTCGGGACTAACATATGGTTCAATTTTATTGCAATAATTCACTAGCGTGTATGGTTCAGTATTATTTCAGCATATGGTGGCAAGTCTAATCTGTTGAAACTGGAAATAAAACACGAATATATGAAATGTGAAGAGAATGGGAAAGAGAAAGGGATTTAACATCCACATAACACAAACTAGGTCATTTCGGGACTAACATATGGTTCAGTATTATTTCAATAATAGGCTTGTGTGTAAGGGTCTTTAGCAGTGGGAGGAAACCGGAGGCCATGGAGAAAACCAACGAGGTTGGACAGGCGACCCCACTCCTTATCACATACAAGTGGAGACTCGAAACCACGCCACTTGACCCTCTGATCTTACGCGCATGTATTAAACCATCCGGACACCAACCCCACATTTCAGTTAATAACTTACGTGGCTGAATATTCAAATAAACCATAATAAGGATTAAACATTTCTTTAGATAAAAGATAAAACCATTCTCTAGAAACACCACCGTAATCTAAACCTGTTTCACCATCAAATTCTATCCATAACCTAAAATACAAATAATTATCATCTTTAAACATACAACAGATAAATCTTCCTATTGAAGGTCTTTCTTAAGGCATAAAATGAAATGAAAAGGGGTTTAACGTCCTACTGTTCTGCTCTGAACTGGGCTAATGAAGACAGGCATACGTTATTCCAACTGTCAAGGGATCATTTACGTGCACGCCAATGTGTACACGGGACCTCGTTTTTTTTTCGTGCCATCCGAACGACTAGACAGCTGTCCTTGTCAGCTGTTTAGGCATGAAATGTTATATAAATTATTAATTAGACATTTATTAACATGACAAGACCATAATCAAATGATGCTTCCAATTTTTATTAGATTTGAATCTGATCTGCTGCTCAACGCTCATTGATGATTAAAGGCAAACATGGATAATCGAGACTATGTTTTTTATCGTACCAACTTTACTAATGATAATCAAGGCTAGGCCTGAAATTCAATCGCTTATATCTCGGTTCAGACTGAAATTTCAGCATATTCCAGTTACATTATCTAGTTTTTAACTATTATAGTGAAAACTGCCATCTCTTTATCAAATCTCCCATTCTTGATAGTTTCCAAGGGGGGAATCATACTGACATATTCTGTTTAAGAGAGTCGGAGCCATACTCACTGTGCCACTGTGCACCCTACTATTACATGAACATTATAAACAACCATTGTTTCAAGATGTTCCGTGGCTCCCTAATTACGTGAACCATATAAACAAACCTTGTTCAAGATGTTCCGTGGCTCTATACTATTACATAAACAATATAAACAAACCTTGTTTTAAGGTGTTCTGTGCCACCCTACTACTATATAAGCAATATAAACAACCATTGTTTAAAGGTGTTCTGTGCCACCCTACTATTATGTGAACAATATAAACAAACCTTGTTCAAGATGTTCAGTGGCTTTATACTATACTATTCAAAAAAAGTAGGGGATATTTGATTTTTAAGTGTTATTAAAGTCACCTAATGAAACTGACGAAGAAACAAATGACAAAATGAAATGAAGTTCACATTCATCGATTTATTCCAAATGATCGTTAGACTAAGTAAGGCACAGACTGACCATTATAAGGGTAAAATGATACCCGGGGTCAAACAGCAAAGTTACCACAGCATCACAACCAAGTCAGTAACGGGTAAATCCTCCTCTGTTTGCCAAACAAGCATTGATCCGACGTGGCATACTCCTAATGAGACGTCTATGGTCATTTTGGTCCAGATTGTCCTATTCCTGTTGCAACGCAGCAGCAAGTTCTTGGACATTGGCAGGACGTTGTTGACGTTGACGTAACCTCTGTCCAAGCATGTCCCAGACATGCTCGATGGGGGAGAGGTCGGGACTCAGTGCTGGCCAAGGTATTGTGGTGATGTTCTGTTGTTGGAGGTAACCTGTAACGATCCTGGCCCTGTGACATCTTGCGTTGTCATCCTGGAAGATGAAACGGCGGCCATGACGTCGTGCGAACGGCACAACATGGACTGCCAAGATGTTGTCCCGGTAGTACTGGCCTGTAACACGCCCTGCAACAACATGTAAAGCCGTTCTTCCAGCAACAGTGATGCCTCCCCACAGCATAACAGAACCACCCCCAAATCGATCATGTCTGATGACGTTAACGTCTTGGAAGCGCTCGTTTCGACGACGCCACACCCTCCTACGTCTGTCCCAAAAATCAACAGTGAACCTTGACTCATCTGAAAACATCACATTGCGCCAGCGTCGATTATCCCAGTGTTGACGATCCCTACACCAACGACGTCTTGCCTGAATGTGATGATCTCTCAAACAAGGGATCACGCGAGGACGTCGGGCGCGAAGGTGACCCCTATGCAGTCGATTCCGAATCGTCTGGCCACTCACTCTCACACCAGTGTCTGTTTGAAGACGAGCGCTGATCTGATTTGCTGTGATGACACGATTTCTCAAGGCCAAGGTACGGATAAATCGATCCTGGGCTTGAGTTGTCGCCCTTGGTCGACCTGAGCGTGGTCTGTCCTGTACAGATTGTGTATCACGGTATCTGGACCATAGCCTGCTTATGACAGACTGAGAAACATTCATCGTCCGCGCCACAACCGCCTGTGTTGTGCCGATCTGTAGCATGCCAAGGGCACGTAACCTTTCATTTTGGGTAAGCCGACGCATATCAAAATTTGTTTTCTGGTCACTAAAACAATTAAACTGATGTTTCCACCCTGGACTTCAATGCCACAATGACTGTAACATTCAAAGTCAGAGTCGTGCAAATCTTGGGTTGGACCCCCATGATGATCCCAAGCATCACCTGCATTCCATGCGGTAACTATTGGTGCGTTTGGGCGTCACATGTAACTGGAAATGTTTCTTCTGTTAGGTTCTATAGTGACTTTTTTCGTAGTCATTTGCATATTTTAGTATTATGCCCCCAAAATCAAATATCCCCTACTTTTTTTGAATAGTATATTACATACAAAATATAAACAAACCTTGTTTTAAGATGTTCTGTTTCCTTTATATTCATTACATATCTATAAGATTCTTCAAATACATTCTTCCTCGTTACTTTGATATCTATTTTGTTCGGTGCACTTGCCTTATAAATAAAAAGGAATAGTTGTACATACTAATTGTCAGGTATTGATAAACTAGTACCCAATTGTGTGTGTGAGAGAGAGAGAGAGAGAGAGAGAGAGAGAGAGAGAGAGAGAGAGATGGTTTAATGTCCAATCCCGACTAACCTATAGGAGGAAACCGCAGGATCTAGAGAAAACCCACAAGGTTAGATAGGCAACCCTACTCCTTGTCACGTACAAGGGGAGAATTGAAACCATGTCAATTGACTTAATGACAGACGTTCTGATCCAACATGCACACATAAACCATTCACATTAAACATACTTCAAACCATTATGGGGGGGTTGCATGGCCGAATGTTTAGCACGTGCGAGCTGTACCATAAGGGTCTGTCATTGAGTCAACTGGCATGGTTTCGATTCCCTAGTTATAGGTGACAAGGAGTAGGGTCGTCTGTCCAACCTTATAGGTTTTCTCCGGGTCCTTCCACTGCTAAAAATACCTACGCGCAAGCGAATTATTGAAATAAAATTAAACCATATGTTAGTCCCAAAATGACCTAGTTTGTGTCGAGTGGACATTAAACCCCATTTGGAGAGAGAGAGAGAGAGAGAAATACGGTTTAACGTCCACTCGACACAAACTAGGTCATTTTGGGACTAACATATGGTTTAATTTTATTTTAATAATTTGTTTGCGCGTAGGGGTCTTTAATGGCGGGAGGAAACCACAGACCTTATGATACAGCGTGCACATGCTAACCACATTCGGTCATCTAACCCCCAATTACCATATACATATATCTCTAACCTTAAATATTTTATAACAATGTACACTTACTGGTTTCCTTAGTTTAGATCTAAAATAATCATATTTCTGTTTGTAGTCTCGTGAATACGGTACAGCCTGAAATATAAATATATTAACCAATCAGTGACCAGTTTTTAGGCCCTTGTTTCTCGTAGAAATACATTATCCAATCAGAAGTCTGTGTTTGGGCTCTTGTTTCTCGTAGAAATACATTATCCAATCAGAAGTCTGTGTTTGGGCTCTTGTTTCTCGTAGAAATATATTATCTAATCAGTGATCAGTTTTTAGGCCCTTCATTCTCGTAGAAATATATTATCCAATCAGAAGTCTGTATTTAGACCCTTGTTTCTGGTAGAAATATATTATCCAATCAATGGTCTGTATTTAGGCTCTTGTTTCCCGTAGAAGTACATTATTAAAGATACATTCCCGCGTACAAACTGGGTGATTTAATGGTATATATGGACTAAAAACATATTCAAACTAATTGCTTCAAATCCTTCTCAAACATTGTAATTGCGAAGGAATTCTCTGCTATTAAAATTCGATCAAACCAGGTCATGTTTACGTCACGTGACTTACAAGTCAGAGGAGAATCCATTGCAGACATAAGACGATGTTGTCTTTAATCGCTTACTATTTATAACAAATATCGAATCCTATTTAAATTCTCGGATTATCCACTACCCGCGTCCTTTTCCGGCATTTTTATCTCAGAAAGTGTTGTACGTCTAACACTTCAAAGCGTTTATCAACTTGTACATCAAGCGCTCAATGTTCGTGTGTGACCTTTGACATCACGCGTGCAGAAATTCCTAATCGTCGGGCTGTTGATTAGGGGAACCCTTACATTTTTGTGCTGTATACGCTCCGTGAGTGTTTTTCGGGGAATCCAGTATTTTTCTAGTAAGATTGGATATCTTTACTTTCCATATATACCAAAATTACCATACTTTTATTGGAAATAACCACCCGATAAATACTTTTCTGGGAACCCATCTTTAATATAAACTGATTGTACTCAGTACACAACCACCAATCTTCATCTCATAACCTAAAACACTGTGTATAAATATATATATGTTCCCGAGTATATCGTGGACAATAATTTAATGTGCTACCAATGGTGTACAAGGGGGTTCTAAGAAATGAACTTACCGGTCCCCCTAATTTCTTTAATCTAGGATCTTCCCATTGTGTCTGGTGTGTATCTGTATAAAATAAAAAATAAAAGTAGAGAGAGAGAAAGAAAGAGAGAGAGAGAGAGAGAGAGAGAGAGAGAGAGAGAGAGAGGGTTTAATGTCCACTTGATACACATGGTCATTTCGGGACTAACATATGGTTTAATTTTATTTCAATAATTCGCTTGCATGTAGGGGTGTTTAGCAATTGGAGGAAACCGGATGACCCAGAGAGAACCCACGAGGTTGGACAGGCGACCCTACTCCTTGTCACGTACAACCGGGGATTGGAAACCACGCCAGTCGACTCTTAAAAGTATAGAGCATTTCCATATATCCGAGTCCGAAGCCATGCGAAGAATATTCATGATTTTTCAAGCCATCAGGAGCACTGACATGTAAGGTGGTACCTAGCTCTTCACGTATTTCGCCGAACACAACTTGTTAGAAATTATAGTAAAAACAGAAACGATTGAATGTAAATCAGTTTATATACATTCATATTACATTATTATATGCGTTGCGACATATTTGTGTCCAATTCTAGGTGCCAAAGAATAGGGATTTAGCTCCCTTTAAAATAAGAAAACATTGTATTGAACACATTTGATTAAAGATACATTATGGGAGATTCGGTAACAAGTTGGCAGTTCTCACTATAATAGTTAAAAACTATATAAGGTAGAAGGCAATTTGGTGAACATTTCATTCAAATTGATCCACTATGAACCGAGAACTAAGCGACTGAAATTCCCATAAGCCTCGGTTATCATTACTAAAGTCAGTACGATAAACAGCATAGTCTCGATTATCCATTTAATCGTTTAATGAGAAGGAAAGTTATGCAGTAAATCGGCTTACAATCCACTAAAGATCGCAGGCTAGCGCAGCCATCTAGAGTTGATTATGGCCTGGATAGGTTAATTAAAGGGACAATAACACTATTGCTGGCGTGAAAGCTCCAGAAAATAAATAATATCTCTATCTAAGTACTAGATGTTTAAGTGTCCTACCTGTTGTGTAAATTATCCATTACATCCTATTTTACTTGTCCAGAGGGTTCGAAAATATTTTAAAATCGAAGTTTCATTTGAAAAGGTTTACGTTAGACGTTTCAAACCATTATGTTGAATTTTTCAACATTTTTAAATAAGGTGTGTTAAGATGAAATTTGTATCATCAATTAATTGAAATATTCTAAAATAGTACAATTTGTTGACCAGAATAAAGATTGGGACATATTATTCAGTTACAACAAGAGTGGTATTGAGCCTTTAATGTCTAATTAATAATTAAGATAACATTTCAGGCCTAAAGAAATACCTGAAATAGGCAGATTTAGCTCTTGCATAATGTATGTTTAACATGCATGGAAGACTGAAACAGGACAGGCTTAACATCCACTCAATACAAACTAGGTCATTGCAGAAATACCATAGCCCCTGGATTCATTCACCTTATCTGGTATGTACGTTTATTTGTTATTTCTGCATATTGTGTCTTGTCCGTAGATGTTTTGTGTAATTATGTGTGGTGCTGTCCTCATGCATTTACTATATGGTACAAGTTATATTTATAGCACGGCTTTCATGAGTTAACAGGTTTAACCAGAGATCGAAGGCCGAGGGGTTAAACCTGTTGACGAATGAAGCGTGCTATAAATGACTTGTAACATTGACAACTGCTCAACATGCTTATTGTTATTACACAGAAAACCCACCCCAATTCTCTATATGATTTCCACTAAAACTAGTGTAAACCAGTAAAAGTGTGCAATAACATTGAACATGTCTAGTTATTGCACGGTTAAGCTCCACCCAATCTACTAAAGGGAAAACAATCTGCTCATTCAACGAAAAGAACAAAGGAAGATTTCACGTCCATGTTACAATATTATTTCAATAGTTCGCTTAGGCGTAGGGATCTGCTTGTTATATGAGAGAATTGTTAAAGGCTCAATACCACTCTTGTTGTAACTGAATAATATGTCCCAATCTTTATTCTGGTCAACAAATTGTACTATCTATATATATATTTGTGACTGTCGTTTGGCTGTCTGTCTGTCTGTTCGGGGTTGGCGGCTACACTAGGTCTGCCCCGAGTCTGAAATTTGGGGTATAGGGTTAGCTCTGACCGGGGAGTAACATAGGCCAGGTGGCGTTAGTCTACCACTTCCAGTTTCGGAGTTATGACCCCCGAGCGAAGCCGGTCTGTTCGGGGTTGGCGGCTACACTAGGTCTGCCCCGAGTCTGAAATTTGGGGTATATGGGTAGCTCGGACAGGGGAGTAGCATAGGCCAGGTGGCGTTAGTCTACCACTTCCGGTTTCGGAGTTATGACCCCCGAGCAAAGTCTGTCTGTTCGGGGTTGGCGGCTACATTTGCCCCGAATCTGAAATTTGGTGTATAGGGGTAGCTCGGACCAGGGAGTAACATAGGCCAGGTGGCGTTAGTCTACCACTTCCGGTTTCGGAGTTATGACCCCCGAGCGAAGCCAGTCTGTTCGGGGTTGGCGGCTACACTAGGTCTGGCCCGAGTCTGAAATTTGGGGTATAGGGGTAGCTCAGACCGGGGAGTAACATAGGCCAGGTGGCGTTAGTCTACCACTTCCGGTTTCGGAGTTATGACCCCCGAGCGAAGTCTGTCTTTTCGGGGTTGGCGGCTACACCAGGTCTGCCCCGAGTCTGAAATTTGGGGTATAGGGGTAGCTTGGACCGGGGAGTAACATAGGCCAGGTGGCGTTAGTCTACCACTTCCGGTTTCGGAGTTATGACCCCCGAGCAAAGCCGGTCTGTTCGGGGTTGGCGGCTTCACTAGGTCTGCCCCGAGTCTGAAATTTGGGGTATAGGGGTAGCTCGGACCGGGGAGCAACATATGCCAGGTGGCGTTAGTCTACCACTTCCGGTTTCGGGGTTATGACCCCCGAGCGAAGCCAGGTATCCTGCTAGTTTTACAATATTCCAATTAATTGATGATACAAATTTCATCTTAACACACCTAATTTAAATATTTTGAAAAATTCAACATAATGGTTTGAAACGTCTAACGTAAACCTATTCAAATGAAACTTTAATTTAAAAATATTTTCGAACCCTCTGGACAAGTAAAATAGGATTTAATGGATAATTTACACAACAGGTAGGACACTAACACATCTAGTACTTAGAATAAGGCTATTTTTTATTTTCTGGAGCTGTCAAGCCAGCAAGAGTGTTACTGTCCCTTTAAGAATAACAATAACTTACTGTGATCTATATAAAATACTCTTTCATCAGCATGAACTCTTTCTTCCCAACCAGGCTACAAAAACAGCAAAAACTTTAAACATCAGACTATTCCAGACTAACAGCAAATATCACCTTTTTTTTTTCTAAACAATATTTATTCACAGAAACTGGATTGGAGAACAGGCAGAAGCCTAGAGAGAGAGAGAGAGAGAGAGAGAGAGAGAGATGGAGTTTAAGTTCACTCGACACAAACTAGGTCATTTCGGGATTAACATATGGTTTAATTTTATTTCAATAATTCGCTTGCGCGTAGGGGTCTTTAGCAGTGGGAGGAAACTGGAGGACCCGGAGAAAACCCACGAGGTTGGACAGGCGACCCTACTCCTTGTCACGTACAACCGGGGATTCGAAACCACGCCAGTCGACTCAATGACAGACTTTATGATACAGCGCGCACGCTAACCATTCAGCCATCCAACCCCCAAGAAGCCTATAGATCCGCTCTCCTAACAAAATATTCTTGAATGATTCTCACCGTTTAGTTCTCTATAACATCTCTTACGGTAAATATAGGTTACTTTGATAGCCTAACAATTCAACAATTACAGTTTCCAAATATTGTGTAAATTTGTTAGATTCATTAATAGTATGTTTTAATTCCCCGTGAATACTTGTTGGTTTTTATCAATAACGACATGACTACTTTAACAAAGACTGAACGTGGTTGTTTTTTTTAACAATATTCCTACTTTACCAGAGAGAGAGAGAGAAATGGGGTTTAACGTCCACTCGACACAAACTAGGTCATTTCGGGACTAACATATGGTTTAATTTTATTTCAATAATTCGCTTGCGCGTAGTGGTCTTTAGCAGTGGGAGGAAACCGGAGGTTGGACAGGCGACCCTACTCCTTGCCACGTACACTTTACCAAAGACTGGACGTGTTTGGCAATCTGGTTAAAACACAGATCCTATTTCGTTTTGTTTTTATAGTTCAAAATTTCGTTTTACTTGTCTTTACTACACATGGATCTGGAAGACTTGTTATTTAACTTGTGTTCTGCTTGAAATGAGGGGTCAGCCAATCAAATGGTCTGTCGAATCGAGTGTTTGACCTTTTTTGCCCGGAACTGTGGGTAATCCACTAGTAACATCAATGCTGATTGTTTAATCAAAGGTCATGATGACATAGGTCAAAAGTCGGTCTTTTGATCCCTGACTTGACCTATCGCTATAACTTGTCAGATCTTCATATAGTGTAGGCCATCGAAAGTATAAAAAAACAAAACGAAATATAGATCTGTATTTTAATCAGATTTCCCCTGGGCCTCTAGAAAATTTTGAAATTTGTCAATTCTGAGAACGCAGTTTAGAGCGCCTCTAAAATTCCAACATAAAACCCTTTAAAATACATGTACATAATAATGAAAGAGACAAAAGCCTGATTATTTACAAATGAATAGACTAGTAAAAAGGTTGAAAACTTTCATCGTTAGGGCATGGATATACAAGTATACCCCAGAAAAGGGCAGGGTACCATTTGTATACCCTGGTACCTGGGTTCCGGCGCCCCTGATAACAATATTTCTACAATATATGGCTGCTTTAAAAACTTACCGGTAATGGACCAAGGTTTCTGAGGAGATCTTCGTTAGATGATGGTCTAAACATGGGTGATGGTGACGATGGATTAAGACCGTGAAGTGAGGAACGATGGCTACGTCTTGGATCATCCTGTTAACAGAAAGAGAGAAATGGAGTTTAACAGACATTTTGGTAATTATGGGACTAACATTTGGTTCAATTTTTATTTTATTTCAATAACTCGCTTGCATATAGGGGCCTTTAGTTCTGTGGGAGGAAACCGAAAGATCCGGAAGAGGAAGAAAACGCATAAGGCTGGACGAGCAAACCCTACTTGTTAATTAATAAAATTTTGTGAAAATTTTGAAGGGGAAGTCCTGGTCTAAAGTCCAGACACAAACTAGGTCATTTCGGGCCCAACACACGGTTCAATTCTATTTCAGTAATTTGCTTGCGCATAAGGGTCTTTAGCTGTGGATGGATACCGGAGGCCTCTGAGAAAACCCAAGAGGTTGGACAGACAACGCCTTCTACTCGTCAGATACACTTGACTCAATGACAGAAATGAAATGAGGTTTAACGTCCTACTGTTTTGCTCTGAAGAGTCAATGAGAGAGAGAGAGAGAGAGAGAGAGAGAGAGAGAGGAATGGGGATTAACATCCACTCGACACAAACTAGGTCATTTCAGGACTAACATATGGTTTAATTTTATTTCAATAATTCGCTTTAGCAGTGGGAGGAAACCGAAGAAAACCCACGAAGTTGGACAGGCAACCCTACTCCTTGTCACGTACAACCAGGGATTCGAAACCATGCCAGTTTTTGTCTCAATGACAGACGCGATTAAACCACTAGACCACCCAACTCCCCCCCATCAGAAGCAACAACAGTCTAATAAGAAGTCTTTTTGTCAAATGATAACATAGTTTTTACTCACCCATGTAGTTCTACCAACATTATGGTCAATGAAAAATAGGCGGCCATTAGGTGCTCGTCCCATAGCCCAACCTGCAGGTAAAGGTTCTTCATCTTCATCAGCCTATAAGAAGATTATATTTTATCATATCAGTAAAGAGAGAGAGAGAGAGAAATGGGGTTTAACGTTCACTCGACACAAACTACATCATTTCGGGGCTAACATATGGTTTAATTTTATTTCAATAATTCGCTTGCATGTAGGGGTCTTTAGCAGTGGGAGGAAACTGGAAGACCCGGCTCCTTGTCACATACGACCGTGGAATCGAAACCATGCCAGTTGTCTCAATGACAGACCTTCTGATACAATGCGCACGGGCTAACCATTCGGCCATCCAACCCCCCGTTATTGTATCAGTAATCAGATGATCTAGAAATGTATTGTTCCTCGGACCCAACCCCACCATAAGAGAATCAAAGTGCCTCTTACCTCTGGAATAGATGAAGATACGCTGCTTCTGGTTGGTCTAGTTGGTGTCTATAAATATTGTATGGTAGAAATTAACTCAACATAAATTTCATATAACGAAATTAAATGGGGGGTTAATGTCCTACTTTTCTGCTCCAACTGGGTTAATGAAGACGGGCATACGCCATACAGTGTGCTATGAGGGAAATTTTGCCTGGACAGTGGCACAACCGCCTACTCTTATATCGAATTCCAACTGCCATGGGATCTTTTACAGGCACGTCAATGTGTACACAGGACTTCAGTTTTTCATCCCATCCGAACAGCTGTTCTTGTCAGGCCCTCCGTCCCACACCCGACAATAACAAACACTAAACCGGATGGGGGTGACAGCAATATACAACCACATTTCAATGTGAGAAACTTCCAATTAATAGAAACGGGTACATGTAACACAAACCAATTACAGATGGTTTGATGGGATCAAATGTGATATACAATAATTAATATACAATATCACAAAACCATTGTTTGTCAGTAAAAATACTAACTTCTTCGGGGATGAAGAACTAAATACAAAATGACTGGAAGTCAGTTATGACATTAAAGGAAGTTAAAATTTTTGGATAAAACAATAGTTTTGTGATATTGTATTCTATCAATTATTGTTCACATTTCAATTTGAGCATATAAACAATAAACCTGTTAAAATAAACTGAATACATACAGCTGATAAATCCTGTTCACTTGCTGAATGTATACTGAGCGTATCTTCTTGACTAATGTGACGGCGATGTGCGTACATCTCCGCTAACTCCAGACTACGTTGTTGTTGTAGTTCTTGATCTGATACTTGCTGTGCTCTATTTTCCGTAATAATAAATCAATTGTAATTATTTTAATCAATAAATAAACAATCATTAATTAGCGACAAAAAATATTTGTACCTGTACCTTACAGGTTATGCCTAGGTTAGACTAGGCTTGTAATAGAGGAGGTTATGCCTTGACTTGTAACTGAGGAGGTTATACTTTGCCTAGACCAGCCTTGTAACTGAGGTTATGCCTAGCATAGACCAGTTTTGTAACTGGGGAGATTATGCCTAGCATAGACAGGCCATGTAACTGAGGAGGTTATGCCTAACGTAGATTGGCATCGTTACTGAGGAGATTATGCCTAACGTAGATCAGCATCGTAACTGAGCGTAGACCTGCCCTGTAACTGAGCATAGACCAGATCTGTGTAGACCGGTCCTGTAACTGAGAGTAGACCAGCCCTGTAACTGAGCATAGACCAGCATTGTAACTGAGCATAGACCAGCCCTGTAACTGAGCATAGACCAGCCCTGTGTAGACCGGTCCTGTAACTGAGAGTAGACCAGCCCTGTAACTGAGCGTAGACCAGCCCTGTAACTGAGCATAGACCAGCCCTGTGTAGACCGGTCCTGTAACTGAGAGTAGACCAGCCCTGTAACTGAGAGTAGACCAGCCCTGTAACTGAGCATAGACCAGCCCTGTAACTGAGTATAGACCAGCCCTGTAACTGAGCATAGACCAGCCCTGTGTAGACCGGTCCTGTAACCGAGAGTAGACCAGCCCTGTAACTGAGAGTAGACCAGCCCTGTAACTGAGCATAGACAAGCCCTGTGTAGACCGGTCCTGTAACTGAGAGTAGACCAGCCCTGTAACTGAGCGTAGACCAGCCCTGTAACTGAGCGTAGACCAGCCCTGTAACTGAGAGTAGACCAGCCCTGTAACTGAGCGTAGACCAGCCCTGTAACTGAGAGTAGACCAGCCCTGTAAGTGAGCATAAACCGGCCCTATAACGGAGCGATTAGGTTTTCATTCATGACTTCAAAGTAGACTAACTGGCCATGTTTCTACTTCTGGTAGGTTTTCATTCATGACTTCAAAGTAAACTAACTGGCCATGTTTCTACTTCTGGTAGGTTTTAATTCATGACTTCAAAGTAAACTAACTGGCCATGTTTCTACTTCTGGTATAACTTTGACAGTCATAACTGTTCGAGATATGTGAACAGCTCACAGGCCATTTCGAGGAGTCCAAGTGCTTAAAAGTTAATTGTAACAATGTGAATAATTATTATAAGGTGTAAAACTGTTCTGCTGTTGAAGTATATAACATGATATTAAACAGAATAGGATTATCCATAATATGAATACAATCGGATTAAAATACAGATCTAAATTTTTTTTTTTATATATACTTTCGATGGCCTCTACTACATGAAGAGTTGTAGTGGAAGGTTGCGTCAGGGGTCATATGAGCAGCTTTTGACAACATGACGTCAGACATATGATTAACCAATCAGCGTTGATGTTTCTAGTGGGTTACCCACAGTTCTGTGCAGCCAACGCCAAAAAATTACCGTAACAGACCGTTTCATTGGCTAATAGCTCACGTCATTCAGAACGTGGTTTATATAACAACTCTTACAGATCCTAATGTAGTAAAGATAAGTAAAACAATATTTTGAACTAAATAGATCTGTGTTTTAATAAGATTGAGATGAACAGAGAGACCTTAAAGAAGCATTATGTAAGAGTTAAACCTGTCTATTGCCAGTCTTTTATTTTGGCTTCAAATTTTAAATAATCTATTATTTAAGACATCTATTAACATGACAAGCCTATAATCAACTCTCCAGGCCATTGGATGGCTCTGACTTCAAGTGGATTAGTACACCTGGGCCCTGTTTTTCGAAATCTTAACTAAAGATAAAATTCAAATTTTAGTTGATACTCCAATCTTGATTGGCTAAGCACTTAAATCAATCTAATATTATCCAATCAAATTACTAAAATTTGGATTTTATCTTAGTTAAAATTTCGTGAAATAGGACCCTGGCCTATTTAATAGTATAACGATAAAACAGATAATAGACAGTTGCTAAGATAATAAACAATCCACACTTTATTTTGTCAAAATTTCAAACACACGGAATAAAGTAATTTGACTGAAAATTTCAATGTATTCAACTTTCATTACCTATTTTTGAACAATTATAGCAAAAACAACCAGCTCTTGACTGAAATGTTCAATACATTCAATTTTCATTATCTATTTTTGAACTATTATAGCAAGAACAACCGGCTCTTTATCTAAGTCTTACATAATGCATCTTTAAAAAAAAAAGAGTTTAAGAATGAAACCATCACCAAGAAGAAATAATCTCACAGTCTTGCATCATATTTACCTTGTTAAATGAAATAGAGACGGAGAGAAATGGGGTTTAACGTCCACTCGACATAAACTAGGTCATTTTGGGACTAACATATGGTTCAATTTTATTTCAATAAATCGCTTGCGCGTATGGGTGTTTAGCAGTGGGAGGAAATCAGAGGACCTGGAGAAAACCTACTCCTTGTCACGTACAACCAGGTAATTGAAACAATGCCAGTTGACTCAATGAAAGACCTTATGATACAACGTGCATGAGATAACTATTCATCCATCCATCCCCCGGTCACCTAGGTAACCTCATGGGTTTTCCCTAAGTCCTCCAGTTTCCTCCTACTGCAAAAGACCCCTACGTGCAAGCGATTTATTGACATAAAATTGAACCATATGTTAGTCCCAAAATGACTTAGTTTATGTCGAGTGGACGTTAAACTCCATTTCTCTCTCTCCCTCAACTGATTATGACAAGAGTTACCTGTCACAGGTGAATAACACTTCAGATACAGATTGTATATACAATCCTAGGAAAGTAAAATGATTAGGAACTGTGAGTATAGAAAGCCTGGAAATAAGGCACCAGTCACAGACATCGTCATGCACAAATAACGGTTTTGTCAGCCAGGGACAGTTCATGATTTTGTCTGGCACAGATTTTTTTTTTATATTTATTTATTTTTTTCGTAACATTACTGAAGTCTCTGATGGTCATACTGGTGGATTTTCAACCTAAAGCAAACTGCATTATTGTGACAGATGAATCTCTAAAAAACACTTCACAATATAAACGAAATATGTTCCCCCAAAATCTTTAGATAGGCCTGTTTTTAATCCTAATGAATCTGGGCCAGGAGGGGGTGGGGGGGTGGGGTGGATGGCCAAATGAAATGGTTAGCGTGCGCTGACGTTGTTTCGATTCCCCGGTTGTAATAAGGAGCAGGGTTGCCTGTTCAACCTCCTGGGTATTCTCTAGGTCCTACGATTTCCTTCCACTGCTAAAGACTCATAGACGCAAGTAAATTATTGAAATAAAATTGAACCATATGTTAGTCCCGGAATGACCTAGCTTGTGTCGAGTGGACATTTGTCCCGGCCCTTCCCCCCCACAAGGTTAATCCGGCACTGGTCTGAGTACATATTAGTGTGGTAAAGGTCATGTAAATTGAGATGTCCGAAAGATGCAAATTACGATCAGATGTTTTAATACATGTCCGCCAGAAAGTTCGAATTGTCCGTCACAAAGTTCAAAATGTCCACCAGAAAGTTCAAAATATCTCCCAGAAAGTTACAAAATGCCAGGCAGAAAGAATGTCAGACAGAAAGTTCAAAATTCAAAATGTCCACCTGAAAGTTCAAAATATCCACCTGAAAGTTCAAAATGTCTGACAGAAAGAATGTCAGGCAGAAAGTTCAAATTGTCTACCTGAAACTTCAAAATGTCCACCAGAAAGTTCAAAATGTCAGTCAGAAAGTTCAAAATGTCCATCAGAAAGTTCAAAGCATTATTTCCAGGCGTATGAGTGTGGAAGTATGATATTAAACTTACACCGTAGGTCGAGTCCACTGTGATCTTCTTGTTAAATGATTAACATAATAAACTCTTTCATTCCCATCTACCCTCTCCTCCCATCCTTCCGGTAAACGACTATCACTGAATAGAATCAGGGGCAAATATCACCATTATTGTAAAGTCTGTGAGTGGCATTGCAAACTACTTGTACAATATTGTGAAATATGAATATCTCTAAATGTTTTTATTCGTTTTAAAGTATGGATAGTCACTTGTGGGATAGAGAAACCCTTCCAAACTACTTGTACAATATCATGAAAGTGGAATGTTTTTATTCATTTTAAAGTATGGATCGTTATTTGTGAGATTACGAAATCCTTGCAAACTACTTGTACAATATCATGAAAGTTGAATCTCTCTAAATGTTTTTATTCGTTTTAAGGGTGTTGCCATGTCTAAGATTCGCACTAACTTTTCAAACTATTTCTCCGAGATGCTTTAGTACATGTCTTCTTTTCCCCTGACAAGGAGTAGGGTCGCCTGTCCAACCTTGTGGGTTTTCTCCGGGTCCTCCAGTTTCCTCCCACTGCCAAAGACCCCTACGCGCAAGCGAATTAATAAAATAAAATTAAACCATATGTTAGTCCCAAAATGACCTAGTTTGTATCGAGTGGACGTTAAACCCCATTTCTTTCTCTCTCTCTCCTTTTCCCCTAAAAACATAAATCATGAACAGACAGAAACGTTCACTTCGCCGGATAGGTCAGGATGGTCGGTCAAAAGAGCGGCAAAGTCTACTCATTGCTAATTCATGATATTTTGTACAATTTTTTTACAAATCGCACTACTTATTACACAAGGACGTCACGATTCGAAAGGACCTTTTTTGTAAAACAAGGAAAACGATGAAATAAATACAAGTTCTACTCAAGCAATGTTAACAAACTTGGCGTCAAATTGACGCTTACATTCAGAGGAACATTTCTATGGGACAAATTGTGATTATATGAAATAGATTTTATTTCAGACCAGTTTACATAACGACCTATGAATTTTTTTGATTTTCTGGAATTTTGGCATTATTATTGGCACCATGAAAAAATACTCCCGTAATTTTATTAAGAACTAGGTTTTCTATTTGCACGTCAAAAATTATTTAAGTCGGATTAGGCAAGACTGAGAACTTTTTAGATTTATGACAAAAATTTATCATTTTTAAGCGGATTTCAAAATTTATTATCTTTAAAACCACAAGAGATTTGTGCCCATACTATGACTTGAATCGCAGCTTCAGATGTCTATTTAAAGATTATACCAAAATTTATGTGGAGCAGAGTTTGAAAAATAATATAAAATTAATTGCAAAGTTACCATAGGTTAGACATGGCAACGCCCTTAAAGTATTGATTGTCACTTGTGGGATTGCGAAATCCTTGCATTGCAAACTACTTTACAATATTGTGAAAGTGGAATCTCTAATAGGAATAGGAGTCGACAATCTAATTAAAATATAGATCTATATTTCGTTTCGTTTTTTATACTTTCGATGGCCTACACAACATGAAGATCTAACAAGTTATAGTGGGAGTTCACGTTCTATGACAACAGGTACCAAGCAAGCGACATTTGACCAGATAAGGTCAGTCATTCGATTAACCAATTAGCGACCGCCATGCTTTTTTAAATCTACCATTGCTTTGTTTTCATTTCTATCGCTGGTAATGTCTACCCACAGTTCCGCACAAAAAAGGTCAAACGCTCGATTCGACAGACCATTTGATTGGCTGACCCCTCATTTCAAGCAGAACACGAGTTAAATAACAAGTCTTCCAGATCCAAGTATAGTAAAGACAAGTAAAAAGGAAATTTTGAACTATAAAATTGAAACAAAATTGGATCTGTGTTTTAATCAGATTGATGAGTCGAAAAATGATTCAATTCATTCAGTGCTTACAAAGTTATGATTACTTGAAAATTTCACAATATTCGTCATCCTCTACTGGATACAGCTACCTATAGTTCTTGCTGAAATCTTTTATTCGGCTTCTTTTAATTGGATTGAACTCATTGATATTTTCATTTTCTAAAACAGGCATTATTATGCAAGAGTTAAATCTGCGTATTGCAGGTCTTTCTTTTGGACTTAAAAAAGAGAGAGAGAGAGAAATAGGGTTTAACGTCTACTTGACACAAACTAGGTCATTTCGGGACTAACATATGGTTTAATTTTATTTCAATAATTCGTTTGCGCGTTAGGGTCTTTAGCAGTGGGAGGAAACCAGAGAACCCAAAGGAAACTATTAATTGGACATTGATTAACATGACAAGACCATAATCAACTCTCGATGCCATCGGATGGTGAAGATTTTAACGAGATTAGAATGGTTCGACCATTTAATGATTTAATTTAAAAATAAAGGAGCGAGTCTAAGTCTTGAATATACCAGTACCGTGGTTACAATTAATGCACACATTTTTAATATACTGTATTTATTTTGCATTAACTATTTTTTAAATATTATAGCGAGGACGACCCACTCTTTATCTTAATCTTACATAATGCCCCTTTAATCAAATGTTAAAGAATCAATTAAGTTTGATTTAGAATGGTTTAAGTCATGGAAATAAAAATTCAAATGACGCACAAAGATTTCAACTTTTCAACTATAAAACATTTCATAATTAAAATATTACCGAAATGTAATGTCTCTTATAAATCTTTCCCTGAAGTCACCAAAATCAAGTTGTTGTTTTTTTTTAGGAAATTAATTAAATAGTGTCTTGTTTCATTATTTAGTCTAGTTCATGATGACAAACCAATAGTTCTTCATTAAGCTAATTCAGTAGAATAAAATATTTCCGAAATACAAAATATCTTGGAAGCAGGACAATTTCTGGCAGGAACAACTCCCAGCCATACTGTTTGTTTTTTTGTGATGGCTATGATCTTTTTGTTACCATAATAATTTTTGAATTAACACCAAAAAAGATAAAAGCCTAACATTGTAAAATCAACAAGGTTGGGATTTTTTTGGTTCACTAAAACAATGGAAGATGTTTCCTTTAAGAAATTCTCCTGGTTTTTCATAATTATTTAATTAACGCCGCAACAATAAAAGAATTAAAATAATGCACAATGAAACAAAATAGTTTCAAAAATTCATGCCATAAAATTTATTAGGCAGACGTTTTAAAGTAGGGCCTACAACAAATTAACTGTGAAAAAATCCTCAAAAAAGCTGACAACAGCAAAAAATATTTTAGTAAAAATAATTTTCATGCCATACCAACGAAGCCAATGAAGATGTTAAAAATTACAATCACTGTTTTCAATGTACAGATTCCCAAAGATTAATACACCTTTTCACAATGATCGTAACTTGTGAAAGCAGCAAAAATATATTATAGTAAAAATAATATCAAATTTTCATGCCATACCAGCGAAGCAAATAACAAAGTTAAAAACTACGATGACTGTTTAGAGCGTACAGATTCCCAAACCTTTTCGCAAATGATCGTAACTTGCAAGCTTACAGAAATAAAATTAAAGGCGACCAGTAACTAAAATCTTTACCAAAACAAAAATGTTTAGCTCCCTTCATATTAAAACAGGCAAAAAGAACACAGTGGCACGGTTTCGTCTGATGAATGTGAGAAAAGTGAAAGCTTTATATTAAGTAGTAAGATCAATGGTTCTCAACCTTTTTTTGCCAACAGCACACCTTGGACCACGTGAAAAAGTAGCAGCACACCTGGCTAAATATATATGAAAAATATTTGAATTTTGCAAAATAAAAATATGGTAAGTCAGAAGTAGTGCTCCTACGACTAGTCGGATAGCCGTAAACGGTTAGAACTGGGCGGTTAAACGGTTCGAATTCAACGGTACGGTTATTCGGAGATGTCCCCCATTACATAGAGTTGTGTCTGATTATATTCCTCTTTATAACAAAACTTGACCGTTGTCATTTTGTATTTGATGTTTGAAAATCTTAGAATGTAACAGTCGTCATACGATGTTGACTGCTAAAAAATAATACTATTAATTAATAGCACTCGTCGTAGTCATACGGCAAAGTCAACGGACCTTGTTCTGACTTTTGCTATTGTTAATCCAATCTAAATACTTCTCGGCATTTCTAACTATATTCTACCTTGTTTATTATTTACTTCAAAACGTAACCACCATTCAAAATATAATCATAAAGGCTAGAAAATGACATTATACTAGATTCGTTACGACATTCAACACGTTTCATATCTCGTAATTTCTCGCAAGATTCTACTTTGGTTTTTAGTTAAATTAACCAATCATAAAAATTCTACTTGCAAGCGAGGAATTATTTCTTTATTGTCCAATCAATAGACGCCTTCCAATTTACTTTATTCTATTTTTAGTAACATTGTGTAATCGTAATATTATCGCCATCTGTCACGTACGAAGGGAACCAGAGTATTGTTTTGTATGTTATCGTTATATTGAATTAAAAAATGTTTCAAATGAACCAAGTTAACCAGGTAAATAAATAACTACGGCCTTAGATAGTTTAAATTTTCTTCAAAGAATTGTACATGTCTGAAAATATTCCTGAAATTTTTGCGCGTGTAATGCCTTTTAGGCGAGAATAGCATGCGCACGAGTAATGACTCGCACCTCCTGACAAGCTCTGTTTTATGTTTAAAATTGATACCATACGGTTAATGGTTACTAACCGGTTAATAGCTACGGCTATTCGAATAACAAAAAGTCCTAACCGTAGGAGCACTAGTCAGAAGGCATACATCTGTAAATGAGACATGCCATAGACACATAGAATGACTCAAACTAAATAAAGCTATGAACTTATCAGTGGACACCGGTGAATACTCAAATGGGATCACATGGTTTTTTGCATTTTCTTAGTGTGCCGCAGCACACCGGTTGAGAATCACTGGGTTAGATAATAGAATATAGACCAATCTATATACACAGCAATCTTATGAATGACAAACAATAAGTTATAATGAATGGCTAGCTACGTGTACAATCAAAAAATGAATGACAGACAAAAGTTAGAGTTAGTTAGCTACATACAAAAAGAAAATGAATTAGATAAATAAAATAATAAATAAAAAAGCAAACCATGGCCGTGAATTTCATAGTATGACTTACACTCTCGGTCGCTCCCACTGCGTCTGTCTGTTGGTGTGATTGACGTAATATATACGACCCTGGGCATCTTCTCGTTGCTCCCATCCTGGAGGAAGCGGCTGCTCTCCCCTTTCTGATGAGGTTCTTGTCAATGACTGTGTAGGACCTGAGGCACCGGTTTCATTCAAGGCATTATCAATATCAACCATTTCCCATCCAGGCTGTGAATTTGAAACACCCTGTGTATATTGACAGCATTGATCATAACATAAATACATATATAGATATTCAATACAAGAGAGAGAGAAATGGGGTTTAACGTCCACTCGACACGAATTAGGTCATTTCGGGACTAACATATGGTTTAATTCTATTTCAATAATTCGCTTGCGCGTAGGGGTCTTTAGCAGTGGGAGGAAACCGGAGGACCCGGAGAAAACCCACGAGGTTGGACAGGCGAACCTACTCCTTGCCACGTACAACCGGGGATTCGAAACCACGCCAGTCGACTCAATGACAGACTTTATGATACAGCGCGCGCACGCTAACCATTCAGCCACCCAACCCCCCATATTCAATACAAGCTTAAAGATACATTATGTAAGATTTAGATAAAGAGCTAGCCATTCTTGCTATAATAGTTCGAAAATAGATCATGTAAAATGAATAATTTGAAAATTTCATTCAAAATACTCTATTGCGAGCCAAGATATTAGCCTTTGAAGGTTTGGCAAGACGTGTGCAATAATTTCAACCACCTTATTGGCTGTTCAAAGCTAAGTCTTGCTCCTCCATTTTTAGATTAAATCAAAGTATGTCTGAAACGTTCTATTCTATTTAAAGATACATTATGGGAGATAAGATAAAGAGATGGCAGTTCTCACTATAATAGTTAAAAACTAGATAGTGTAAAGGTAATTTGCTGAAAATTTCAGTCAAATTGATCCACTATGAGCCGAGAAAGAAGCGGGTGAAATTTTTGCATAGTCTCGGTCATCATTACTAAAATCATTAATATAAACAGCATAGTCTCGATTATCCACTTTTTCTGATTTAATTATCAACAGCCGTTAGCGGCATATAAGAATCTAATCCATCCAAAAGCGAAGGCTAGCCTTGACATCGAGAGTTTATTATGGTCTGGATCAGTTAATTAATGTCTAATTGATAATTTAGATAACATTTCAGGCCTAAAGAAAGACTTGTAATAAGCAGATTTTGCTCTTGCATAATGCATGTTTAATATCAGAGAAATCTGATGCCATCGTGGTTGATTATGGCCTGGATAAGTTAATTAATGTCTAATTAATAATTTATATAACATTTCAGGCCTAAAGAAAGACCTGAAATAGACAGATTTAGCTCTTACATAATGTATGTTTAAATTCATGGTAGAAACAATACAATTATACGTTACTTTTCATCATAAATAATCGTGTCTTTACAAAAAGAATAAATGAAATGAGGTTTAACCCAGTTAATGAGAGAGAGAGAGAGAGAGAGAGAGAGAGAGAGAGAGAGAGAGATGGGTTTTAATGTTCACTCAACACAAACTAGGTTATTTTGAGACAAACATATCGTTTAATTTTGTTTCAATAACTCACTTCCGCTTAGGCGTCTTTAGCAGTGGGAGGAAACTGGAGGACCGAGAGAAAACCCACAGGATTGGACAGGCGATCCTACTCCTCGTCCCATACAACCGGGGAATCAAAACCACGCCAGTTGACTCAATGACAGACCTTATGATACAACGCACACATGCTAACCATTCAGCCATTCCACCCCCACCCCCCTCAGTTATTATCGTATCATGAGGAAAGAGCAGAGAATTAAATACTACTAAATGACTGGCGATATTTTTAGATATGAATTGAAATGGAGATTATAACGTCCTACTGTTCTGCACGCACGGCTATTGAAGACGAGCATAAGACATAGTGTGCCACGAGGGCAATTTTGCCCAGACAGCGGCGCTACAGCCTACTCATCAATTAAAATCCAACTGTCAAGGGATCTTTTATGTGTACATTGTAACCTCGGTTTTTCATCACATTAGATGCACCTTTCTCAGTAGGATTCCGAGGTGGTTTCCCCTTGTCAGTGGTGCAGAACGGAGGGCCTGACAAGGACAGCTGTCTAGTCCTTCGGATGAGACAAAAAAACGAGGTCCTGTGTATACATTGGAATGCACGTAAAAGATCACTTGGCAGTTGGAATTCGATATAAGAGTAGGTGATAGTGCCGCTGCCCCGGGAAAATTTCCCTCATAGCACACTGTATGGCGTATGCCCATCTTCATTAGCCCAGTATAGGAGCAGAACAGTTGGACGTTAAACCCCATTTCATTTCATTTTCTCATCAGGGAATGATGTAGAATTAAATACGACTGATGATATTTACCTCGTTTGATGTTTGTCCTGACGCCTCCTCATCACCTCCCGTCGACTGATCTGGTGACGGTAAATAACCCAGATATAACGTTAGATGTCCACGAACTCTTGATCTAGTACTAAAAACAAAATCATTCGACCATCACATACAAAAATCTTTTATTTTTAACATTTACGTTATTTGTAAAAGATTCAACCAATGAACCAACACCACGATTAATTGATTTCAGAGACAGACAAAATATTATGAAGACTCAAGTCGTCACCAACCTGCGCATCTTTGCATACCAATAACTAAGTTAAATTTCTTTCCATCCAGACACAAAATTAAATCCGAGACATTTCTAATTAGCTAAACCAGGTACATCTTGGGTATTCCCAGAGAGAGAGAGACAGAGAGAGAGAGAGAGAGAGAGAGAGACAGACAGACAGAGAGAGGTCATTTTGGGACGAACATGGTTCAATTTTATTTCAATAAATGAAATGGGGTTTAACAGCCTACTATTCTGATCTGAATGGGCTAATGAGAGAGAGAGATTTTAATATGCACTGGACACAAACTAGATCATTTCGGGACTAACATATGGTTCAATTTTATTTCAATAATTCGCTTGAGCGTAGGGGTCTTTAGTAGTGGGAGGAACCCGGAGGACCCGGGGAAAACATACGAGGTTGGACAGGCGACCCTGCTCCTTGTCACAAACGACCAGGGATTCAAAACCACATCAGATGACTCAATGACAGACCTTATGATACAGCGTGCATGTATTTTCCATTCGGCCATCCAACGCCCCCAGATCTAATGAAAGTGGGGTAAAAGCCACAACTACTATAATAGTCAGTGCAGGACCACCACACTTCACACAAACAAAGTTTCATGAACATATTTCAAACAATTTATGAGATAATCTGGGACCAAAAAAAAATTTCAACATCTCTCCCATAACTTCGTTAAGCGCTTGATAATAAAGTCAAGAGAAGAGTAATACATTGTTAATTTGTTTAACACCGCTGAAATAAACTCTTCAAGTAACTTGTATTCCATATAATTGTGTCATGTGTTATAATACGTTTATCTTTTTTACCTTCTTGGTCGTAAAACAAAACTTTTTGTGCTTATGTCTCGTCCGGCCAATTCTGTGAGGATGTATGTGTGTCGGAGATCAATCTCCACCAAACCCAGGAAGTCATCTCTCGTCTATGAAGAAAAAATCATGGAATATCATAATATAAGGATAGTCTATTTCAGATCGGGTGGGGATATCGGAAATCTCTGACTGTCTGAACCGTCGTAAATTTTTAACAGAATTCTTCGATTATAAACAAACTACTTAACTTCGGTTATTATAAACTTAACTGTGTGTTTGGAATCAACTGCTGTTAAATAAAATCCATTACACAATTACATTTAAATATCCCAACAAATAAAAACAATGTATTTACTTGTATTTTCGACATTACTTTTGTCATGTGTTGGGTGAAACCAAAGAAACTGTTGTAGGGGGGGTGTAAGCGTAAGTGTACATGTATGTAGCTAGGAGCCTCCTAGACCTTGTGGGTTTACTACCGGTACTCTCGTTTCCTCCCAAAGAAAAATACCCCACACGTGCGCTAAGATAATAAAAACATATGACGACTTGACTGCGATATCACCCTTGGTGGAATCAGACGTAAAACACCACGACAACAACATAATAAAAAAATAAGACTACACTAGGCTGCGATATCGCACCACGACAACAAGAGAAAGAGAGAGTGAAACGGGGTTTAACATCCACTTGACACAAACTAGGTCATTTCGGGACTAACATGGTTTAATTCTATTTCAATAATTCGCTTGCGCATAGGGGTCTTTAGCAGGGGAAGGAAACCGGAGGACCCAGAGAAAACCCTACTCCTTGTCACGTACAACCGGGGATTCGAAACCACGCCAGACTTTATGATACAGCGCGTGCAAGCTAACCATTCAGCCATCCAACCCCCCCACGACAACAAGAGAATGTATACTTACCACTCTATTGGAATCAAAGACTTCAAATATTACTTTATTATCTAAAGGATTTACCTAAAATCAAACATATTCACTCAATGAAACAACGCAATCTCATTAAAACACAGATCCTGTTTAACTTGTCTTTACTACACTAGAATCTGGAAGAGTTGTTATCATTGACGTGTTCTGGATGGCGTGAGGGATTAGACAATGAAACCATCTGTTACAGCGACTTCTTGGCCTTTTGATGCACGGAACTGTGGATAAACTACTAGAAACGTCAACACTGATTGATTAATCAATGTCTGACGTCATAGGGTCAAAAGCCACTTGTATGACCTCTGACGCGACCTATCGCTACAACTTGTCAAACCAGGAAATGAAATATAGATCTGTATTTTAATCAGATTGTAAAACAACGCAACCTTTTAATTTTATCAAATTTTGGATGTCAATAAGAAAATACAATAAAACAGTAAGTGTAGATTTTGGAAAACCACTAAAATAAAATTAAACACAATATGATTAGTTATATTAAAGTAAAGTCACAAACCAGAATAGCTTGTCATAAATCAGCTTTTAATCATATTAATTATTAAAGGCTCAATACCACTCTTGTTGTAACTGAATAATATGTCCCAATCTTTATTCTGGTCAACAAATTGTACTATTTTACAATATTCCAATTAATTGATGATACAAATTTCATCTTAACACACCTTATTTAAAATTTTTGAAAAATTCAACATAATGGTTTGAAACGTCTAACGTAAACTTTTTCAAATGAAACTTCGATTTAAAAATATTTTCGAACCCTCTGGACAAATAAAATAGGATGTAATGGATAATTTACACAACAGGTAGGACACTTAAACATCTAGTACTTAGATAGAGATATTATTTATTTTCTGGAGCTTTCAAGCCAGCAAGAGTGTTATTGTCCCTTTAAATAGATATATTAATTAATTTAGAAATTTTAACAGTTTAAGCACTGGTACTTGGAATTTTCTTGAATAATGTCCATTGCCAAACAATTTACAAATTCCAAGCACAAGTTTGTTTCATTAGTTGATATTATTATCTACTTACCCGGAATATAAATTCTTCTCTCCATTTTGGATTCAAGCTCTAAAATAAAAACACCAAATTATTATAAACATGGTGACAGAGAGAAACTAATATGAATGAATGAATGAATGAATGAATGAAGTTAAATGTTAATGTTCCTATTCTGTACCCCTACATCTTTAATAGAAGGCTTGATCTCACTTTAATCAAGGCCTTGACGTAATACACTGCATATTTCGGCACTAATTTAGAATGACTCAAACTAAATAAAGAAAAACTCAGCTATGAATACCAGTGAATACTCAATTGGAATCATGTGGTCTTCCGCATTTTCTTAGTGTGCTGTTTAAAATTTGGGGGCACACTGGTTGAGAATCACTGGTCTATATAATAATTTGTATTAAATTTTAAGCTAGAAACAAGGCCTACAATAGGCAGGTGTATCTCTTACATGTGTAAATAAAATCAAAAGGGCATTATGGGAGATTAGATAAAGAGCTGACAGTTCTCACTATAATAGTTAAAGATAGGTTGCCAGGCAACGAAACCTACGCCCACAGCAGCTAACTCGTCCGGGCAGTCAACAAGAGTTGTCACATATTTTTACTTTTTTCGGTAATGAAACATTTATAATACATTAAAATCTGATTAAGAGTAACAACTCATTAAGTAATTATCAGAAAACCATTAGAATTTGTTTGGTTTTTATAAAGTTTTGCCCCATGCTAACGTTTAGTATAGGAAACTTTTAACATCATGGATTTAGCTGTTCAAGTCATAAAAATTCATTGAAAATCAATATATTTGTTTGTCTCAAGACCTTACACTCTGTGTATGAATCTGAAGTCAATCGGATGATAACTTTAGCTTCTAGAGGGTCATAAGATTTTTAAAAGTGATCAAGGGCCATAACTTTGGCAGTAATTATCGGAAATCGTTGAAAATCAATATGATTCTTCGTCTCATGACCTCAAACACTCTGTATCAATTTAAAGTCAATCGGATATTAACTTTAGCCTCTAGAGCATTTACAAGATTTTTCGAAGTGATCAAGGGCCATAACTCTGGCAGTAATTATCGAAAATCGCTGTAAATGAATAAACTTCTTCGTCTCATGACCTTAAACACTGTGTATAAATTTAAACTCAATCGGATTTAACTTTAGCCTCTAGAGCATCCACAAGATTTTTCAAAGTGATCAAGGGTCATAACTCTGGCAGTAATTATCGGAAATTGCTGAAAATCAATAGGCTTTTTCATCTAATGACCTTTAACACTGTGTATAAATTTAAAGTCAATCGGATATTAACTTTAGCCTCTAGAGCATTTACAAGATTTTTTGAAGTGATCAAGGGCCATAACTCTGGCAGTAATTATCGAAAATGGCTGAAAATGAATAAACTTCTTCGTCTCATGACCTTTAACACTGTGTATAAATCTAAACTCAATCAGATATTAACTTTAGCCTCTAGAGTGTCCACAAGATTTTTCAAAGTGATCAAGGGCCATAATTCTGGCAGTAATTATCGAAAATCGCTGAAAATGAATAAACTTCTTCGTCTCATGACCTTAAACACTGTGTATAAATTTAAACTCAATCGGATATTAACATTAGCCTCTAGAGCGTCCACAAGATTTTTCAAAGTGATCAAGGGCCATAACTCTGGCAGTAATTATCGGAAATTGCTGAAAATCAATAGGATTCTTCGTCTCATGACCTTAAACACTGTGTATAAATTTAAAGTCAATCGGATATTAACTTTGACCTCTAGAGCGTCCACAAGATATTTTGAAGTGATCAAGGGCCATAACTCTGGCAGTAATTATCAGAAATCGCTGAAAATCAATAGGCTTTCTCGTCTCATGACCTTAAACACTGTGTATAAATTTAAAGTCAATCGGATATTAACTTTAGCCTCTAGAGCGTCCACAAGCAATTGTGGACGCCGGACCGACGGACGAGCGGACGGGGGCAACGACAATATACGACCACATTTCAATGTGGGCGTATAAAAACTATATAATGTAAAGGGAATATGCTGAAAATTTCAAATTGCTCCACTCTAAACCGATATATTAGCAATTGAATTTTAGGCCTAGTCTTGATCATGTCGGTTTTTGCATTTAACCATTAATGAGCGTTGAGCAGCAGATCGGATTCAAATCCAGTGAAAATCAAACACATAAGATGGCACTGAGAGTTGATTATGGTCTTTTTTTGTTAATAAATGTCCAATTAATAGTTTATATAACATTTCAGGCCTAAAGAAAGACATGCAATAGGCAGATTTAGCTCTTGCATAATGTATGTTTAACTAACATTCCAAAGCAAACCAAAAAAATAAGGAAAATATGTTGATTCAAAGATTCATATTTTTTAGAATTTATCTGAAAATGAAACAAAAGGAATTAAAAAATTGATCAAATGTTTATAATCGTATATTCAAACCACATTTGAATAGCAAGTTACGAGTAGAATAAATGAATATTAAAATAAGTATTTGACATGTCAACTACTTACTTCCCTGTAAGATAAACGTAAAATACAGGTAAGCCATATTATGTATTCAGGATTTTATTTGTCCCCGTTTTCTAACAGTTCTTTTAGGATGTATTATGTAAGAGCTAAATTTATCCTGTTCAAATGTTATATAAATCATTCGTTAGACATTTATTCACAAAAGAGAGAGAGAGAGTGAAAGAGAAATGAGGATTAACTACTCGACACAAACTAGGTCATTTTGGGATTAACATATGGTTTAATTTTATTTCAATAATTCGCTTGTGCATAGGGGTCTTTAGCAGTGGGAGGAAACCGGAGGACCCGGAGAAAACCCACGAGGTTGGACAGGCAACCCTACTCCTTGTCACGTATAACCAAGGATTCGAAACCACGCCAGTTGACTCAATGACAGGCCTTATGATACAGCGCGGCACATGCTAACCATTCAGCCATACAACCAACACCTCCCCCCCCCCCCCAGTGGAGTCACATATGCCCATAGTCAACTCTATAGATCAGGGGTGTTAAACTTATTTCAATTCAGGGGCCACAAGAACTAAAATTTTACTTCAAATGAAATGATGTGAAATGGGGTTTAACGTCCTACTGGGCTAATGAAGACGGGCATACGCCATACAGTTTGCTATGAGGGAAATTTTGCCCGTACAGCAGCACTACGACCTACTCTTATATCGAATTCCAACTGTCAAGGGATCTGTTACGTGCACGTCAATGTGTACGCGGGACCTCGGTTTTTCATCCCATCCAAACGACTAGACAGCTGTTCTTCTCAGATCCTCTTTCCCGCATTACTGACAAGGGGGAACCACACTGGAAAACCTGGATGAACTTTCTCGGCCAATGCAGGGATCAAACACACGACTTCCAAGCTAGCGTCTTATCCACTTAGCCACTGTGATCCCCAAATTGTACTTCAAGTGGGATGTAGATGTACAAAGATTCTAAAAACTAAGTTAAACATCAAGACAAACATCCTAGACACACAAGATTTAAACATACATTATGCAAGAGCTAAATCTGTCTATTGTAGGTCTTTCTTTAGGCCTTAAGTGTTATATAAACTATTAATTAGACAGTAATTAACGTATACAGACCATAATCAAGTCTTGATGTCAACGCCAGCCTGCGATATTTGTTGGATTGTGATCCGATTTGCTGCATAACTTTCCTTCTCGATTTATTGATTAAATGGATAATCAAGACTATGATTTTTGTTGTACCGACTCTAGTAATGATGACCGAGGCTATGCGGAACTTTCGATCGCTTATTTCTCGGTTCATAGTGGATAAATTTGACTGAAATTTTCACCAAATTGCCTTTACATTATCTAGTTTTTAACTATTATAGTGAGAACTGCCAACTCGTTATCTAATCTCCCATAATGTATCTTTAATGATACCCTGGTCAAAGTGTTATATTGTTTACACTTACTTTTTTAATTGTTTTTGTCTGTTTAATATCTATCAAGCCATCATCTCTATCTCCACGGTACAGGGATATTCGGACATATGGGTCACTGTAATAACAATAAATTAACACATTGTTCATTTTGTTTCATCTTATATGGTCGAGCTACGTAAATTTGAGTGTCACCTTATATTTAGATTTCAATGGCTTCTGCCAAGCCGTTTAGCACAAGGGGACGTATTTTTAACAGCATGTTGTGTGCACATACTGTCACTAGCGAGGTAAAATCTTCTTTTACATTGTGTTTACAGAGACTAACACACGACCGTTTAGCAGTAAAAGCTTACAGGCAGTAAAATTGACTGGGGACTCGATTCTTTTTCGACAAGGATTCAATAGGTCGGTTGCTGAATGTACAGGGCGAGTGTAATGAGACCTACGTTCAGAGCTGAACTAACGATTCATTTACTAATGGTAAAATGTTTATTTAGTCTTAAATATTAGATATCAGAAGTCCATCATGTCCCTGTAAGATCACAACATCAATGCTGATTTAAATTACCAGAACCAAATATTTCATGTTTTCAATGTCGAAGACTTTGGATGATATTGAGTTAGCGAATTAGCTATTTTAACGCAAATAAGTGGAGTTACTTCACACCAGTGACCAGAGATGGATGGTCGCTTGTCGGGTTGACTTATATAATTATTGCATACAAGATAATTCAAATAATATAAATTTACTATTTAGAGGTATTTAAAGGAGCTAAATCCCTAATATTTGGGACCTAGAAATTGACACAAATGGGTCGCAACGCATATAATAATGTAATATGAATGTATATAAACTGATTTACATTCAATCGTTTCCGTTTTTATTCTTATTTCAAATCAGTTATGTTCCACGAAATACGCCAGAAGTCTCAATGCAGTGGCAATCTCTAGCGTCTGGTTATTCCAGTCTACACCGATGATATTTATTGCGCATGCTCTCCAGATAAGAATATAGCGTCACCAATTGACATGATTTGTGGAATATGTCCAGCTGCGTTCTTTGAGTCCCTTGTTCCAAATGGCGCTGAAACACATTATATGGTACACGATTCGTGTGTAAAATGTCTATTTTGTCTTGAATATTGGATATCAGAAGCCAATCTTTTCCCTGTAAGATCACAAGACCAATGTTGATTTGAATTGACAAATAATTCGTGTTTTCAATGTCGAAGATTTTTGATAATATTGAGTTAGAGACTTAGCTACTTTAATTATCTTCTACTGGCATTGTTGATAAGAGATTTTCAATCGCCATCACTTCAGTAATGTGTTTATTGAACCGTGAATTAGTCAACAGTGACAATTACAGTGACACAGAAAACCTAGTGACAGTGCAATTTCTATTAAAAACATCCACTTAGACCACTAGCTCGACTATACTATAGTATAGGCCAGAGTAGTACTAGTAGGGCTATTCATCACGGTCCAGTGTTGACAGTCGTTTGCTTGTGTGACATAAGTTATTCTTTATTCAATACCTTCATTTTTGACCTGTACATACAAATAATATACTGACGGAAGCCATTTATTATTAAAATAACTTACCTAGCCCCAAAAATGTCTTTCCTGGCGAGATTTACCCCCTCGACGATTTTGATCCGAAGAAGACGTGTTGTCCCTGGTTGGTCTGACTGTAAACAAACAATTTGTAAATTTACATGCGAGTTAAGAACAATATCACGTGAATGATTTCATAGCTAAATATCTAAAGACAGTACTACTTACTGGGATTTCGGGTAATCCGTAAATTTCAGAATTTGTAGCCATAAACAATTTTCAACAGATCTCTGCTGTGTACTTCGACAAGGTTCGCTAAAACTGATGACGAAATGCGCAGGTCTCGTGCAGTAGCCCGGATGTAAGGCTATTTCTCAATACCACCTGAAGTTGTCCATACGCATTGATGATTGAAAATATCTGCCGTTATAGACCCATTTGTTAATAGTATTGGGGTTTTTCCATAATTCTAAATTATTTTACCACAAATGTTGACGCATGGTCCAATTGCGGATACAGACGTGCGGTGCAGGGGAGTTCACTACCCCCTCCCCAATTCCCTTTTCTGTCGGTTCCATTAAATTATTAAATTGTCACTAAATTTATCTGAATATAGTTCAATAGGCCTATATTCCAATTATTTCATATTTATTTTATGTATCTTTGTTATGAGCCTACTTAATTTGTAGGCCTATTATTATTATATTTTATATGTACATTGAATTATGGTGTCCTCACTGAATGTTTTAGGGGAATTAGATGGCTGAATGGTTAGCACGTGTGCGCTGTACTACGGTATCATAAAGCCTGTCACCGAGTCAACTGGCGTGGTTTCGAATCCCTGGTTGTACGTGACAAGGAGTAGGGTCGCCTGTCCAACCTCGTACGTGGGTTTTCTCCGGGTACTCCGGTTTCCTCCCACTGCTAAAGACCCCTAGACGAGCAAGCGAATTATTGAAATAAAATTAAACCATATGTTAGTCCCGAAATGACCAAGTTTGTGTCGAGTGGACGTTAAACCCCATTTCTCTCTCCCACTGGATGTTTTGCCGGAATAAAAAATTATATTATCGTCTATTTACAGTTTTGGCTAGGATTAATAATGTTTACAATATTTTCAATATATTGTCTTTCGCCAATTTATTTGTCAATTGATTGCAAATTACCAATTACCCTGACTACTTTTGACTGTCGGAATAGTGAGATTTTGTTTGGAGGATTTGGAAAATAACTTTGTAAGTGTGCTATGAGGGAAATTTTGCCCGGACAGCGGTGGGCCTCAATATGAACGACAGACTCACCCTACCTGAAAAAAAAAAAAAGCCAGCTACCATTTAATTTTCGTACGTTAGTTACGTACGGGGTGGGCCTATGTCGTTCAGATTGTTAGCCGCCTTGGCTCCCCGACCTGTTGAGACGCTGCACGAAATATGCAATTTGCATACTGCCAAGTTGCCAATTCCGGATGGCGGATTAAGTCGCGAGAAGGGGCTGACTGGGATATCCATGGGCTTAAATGAAAATGAACGGATAATAACGCAATTTATGGTAATTACCTGATATATAGAACACCGAATATCCCGAGAAACCGTAATTAATAATATATTTTTCTGTCCGGCCCTCTGGACAATGCTTGCCAATTCCTGAATACATGAATCGGTTGGAATTAGGTTAATAAACCAGCATTGCTAAATTTAGTTTTAAATAGAGAGAGAAATGGTGTTTAACGTCCACTCGACACAAACTAGGTCATTTCGGGACTAACATATGGTTCAATTTTATTTCAATAATTCGCTTGCGCGTAGGGGACTTTAGCAGTTTAGCAGAAAAAAACCACGAGGTTGGACAGGTGACTCTACTCCTTGTCACGTACGACTGGGGAAACGAAACCACGTCAGTTGACTCAATGAAAGACCTTCTTCTTATGACACAACGCGCACGCGCTGACCATTCGGCCACCCAACTCCGCTAGTTTTAAATAGCGCTTACCGTTATGCTTTTGTATTTTATACACATGCTGACAGGGACTTATTTTTAAAAATATTGTCCTTATTATATAACATAGTCGTACGGAATTTCATTTTAAATAGGCCCTAAAGCAATTTTAATTATTGTTGTCACGTGATCATTGTGCCGCTTGTCAATCATCCACGAATGAATAAAAACTTTGCAAGTTACGTGATAAACAAAGATAGGTTGCCAGGCAACGAAACATACGCCCGCAGCAGCTAAATCATCCGGGCAATCAACAAGAGCTGTCGCATATTTTTACTTTTGTCGGTAATGAAACATATATATAATGCACTAAAATCTGATTGTAGAGTAACAATTCATTAAGTAATTAACAGAAAATCATTAGAATTTGAGGAGAAAAATGTGCTGAGGCGAGACACCCCCCCCCCCCCTCCCTCCTCCTTTCCACCACTAGTCATATCTAGATGATTTACTAGCGAAGACTTTTAAAAATACTTGTATAAACTTCAAAGGAACAAAAAAAAATTCATGCATAATTGTCCATTTCTATTTTGAACTTTGATATTCATGAACCCCATAGCCTCTTATGCACTTACGCGTTGTTCACTCGACTAAAGATCCAATTCCGTATCAAAAATGTCACCCGAAAAATTGTAGCATCTATATGGTTCTCCATATTAAAACCCAAGATTCCGGCGCCATCTAAACGTATTATATTCATGTGTCCCCATGTCCTTCTTATATTTTAATAAAAACGAAAACATGGCCCTTTTTCGATGACATGTGATATGTTAGTATAATGTCACATAAAGTTAATTAAAAGAAATCCCCGACAAGTTGCGCTCGGCCCCATTATACCCTACTCTTCTTTTCTGATCCCATGGCATATCTTTCATAAACATAATAAATATATCCTCAGGCGTTTATTAATAATATTATTGACAAGTAATTATGGGTGTGGCGCCAGGCAGGGTAAGCTTTCTCTTCCCGACAACTGTTACCACTGTTTGTCGTGTATTATGTACACGGTGAACAGTCCATTTGCTGATTACACTATTTTGCCTATACCATTTTTTAGGACTTTGAATTTTGTCTAATGATTTGGATTGTTCGTACTTGGTTTTATTTTATTAATATCTGAATGGTTATTAAGGAGTGCATAATTGATGACGTAAAAATATTTAGTTCTGAAATAGAACGAGTATTCGTTATCATCGCCCTCGTGTTTTATTGCGTCTTATTCAGTTAGCAAAATTGACACCACACTCTTAATATACAATATCCCTCTATATTATAATCGTATTTATTACGGATGTTTATAGTTACGTTGGTTTTATGGTGTATTATAAATGTATTCTTTTATAACTCGGGGTTAATATATAAAACTCATACACTAGATTCACGGCTAAAATTACAATTCACCTATAGCCTATTTCATAATACATACAATTCGGGATATGAGAGAGATAGAGAGAGAGAGAGAGAGAGATGGGGTTTAACGTCCACACGACACATACTGGTTCATTTCGGGACTAACATGGTTCAATTTTATTTCAATAATTCGCTAATTGCGCGTAGCGGTCTTTAGCAGTGGGAGGAAACCGGAGGACCGAAGAAAACCCATGAGGTTGGACAGACGGCCCTACTCCTTGTCACGTACAACCGGGGAAATAAAACCACGTCAGTTGACTCAATGTCAGACCTTATGATACAGCGCGCACGTGCTAACCATTCGGCCACATCTAACCCCCTCATCCAATCTCGAGGAGCCTTCTGGACAAACGCCGGAATCAAACCTGCGACCTCCTGGTTATAGTGGCCCAGTGTCATATATTCACAGCGCCTGGCAGAGAAAAATGTGCAGTCGTTCGAATGGGACGAAAAACCGAGGTGTGTGTGTGTGTATATATATATATATATCTTGAGTTGTATATATTATGAAATAGACTGTAGGCAAATAGGAAAACATTAGCCGTGAATCTAGACTGTATAGAGTTCACTTCGAGTTTCACTTTATAATACACAATATATAGTCGTTCGGGTGGAACAAAAACTGGGTCATGCGTACAATATTGGTGCAGTGGACGTAAAAAAAACACTCCGAAGCAAAATAGCTCTCATAAAACACAGCATTAAGCCCCATTTCATCCCATGTAAAAATGTCATGGCTACGGTCCAGTGCAGTTGTAGAAAATACGGTGCCGAATTTAGGAGACCTTAAGTTACAGGATATGAATACATTGCAGGATATGAATAATTTTAACTAGGCCAATAGGCGCTAATCAGCCTATATTTTACGTCACGATTAGTAATTGAGTAATACATGCATACAGTTAAAGTATTTATGGGAGTTTTACTTCTGCCAAATTGCGTGGAAAATTTATTTTAAGACAGTCGTTGTAAACATGAATAAGCAATACGAAAAGGATAAAATTGATCGGAAAGAATGCATCCTTGACCATCTCGGTGGTAGTAACCTTATACACTATTGGTGATCAGCGAGGCCCTGTTCTAGTGCGGGGCCCAATTTGGGGAAATTGGTCAAATGTGCCAAAATCCGGCCCTTGGGGACCTATACAGTAAATGATTGCAACCTGTATGGAATTCAGTGATTCGGCACGTCCTCTATTACAACAGTAGGCCTACTATATTTTTTGTGCAGAGTGGAGGGCCTGATAATGAATAGCGTCTAGTACTTCGGGTCGAACGAAAAACTTAAGTCCACCCGTGTACTCAATGGCGTGGACGCATGCACATTTCTGACAGTTGGAATTTGTTGAGGTGAGGCAGAAACGTCAAAGACCCTGAGATTTGTCCTTAGAAGCACATAGGAGGGGTCAAACTCCGAGATCCGTGACCAATTTCCGGGGAGGAAGGTTTGACGATTGATTCTGGTAGGGGGGACTGTTCTGAGGATTTGTGCTGTTTGCAACCTCTGGAAAGTTTGGGCAACTCTCAGGAGAGGCAAAAATCCAAGATGGCGGCCGAAATAGCATCGAGACTTATAGTTGGGTGCAAATGTCATCAAACCGTCCTTGTAATATGTCATTTTTATAGTTTTCAGGGTCGCTGAATCCATTAAGAACACTCCCAAGCCATTTTGATGCACCCATATCCCAATATGGCGGAAATGGTGGATAAAAACCGAAAAATAATGTCATATATTCTGGTAAGGCAAATATGGGCTTGTAATATATCATTTTTAGGGTTTTCATGGATGCTAAGTTCATTTTTGATGGTCTCATGTCAATGAAATCTACATTAGATGTTAAATATGAAACCAAAGTCAGCGCACAGCGGAAAACATCATTATAATACGTAATACGTCATTCATATAGCAACT